ATCAATACCGGTACATAAACAACATTTCGGAAGGCTTTATGTTACTGATCGATATCAATAATTAAAACACCCTGATCCCTCAGCCTGTGTAAGTTCAAGTTTCCATCCCTATTTTGATAGGCTTTCGGATCAGATTTGAATTGCTATCAAAGTCATGAAAATGCTTATAGCTTGATTAATTTAGCTATCAGCTTTTGTACGTGTTATTACAATCATGATTTATTCTCTTGAGATGCTTTATGATCAATAGACCCAATCTTTAACTAAATCCTCTTTTCAGTAAATGTCATTTGCATAACCTTTCTAAGGTTTTGTCTAAAAATGGCTCCGTCCTCACTCTAACCTTTTTACACCCAATAACATCTGCCACCTACCTTCAAGATGATGAGTAAGAAGTGTATTGAAATGTAAAATGTAGAGATCAAGCTACAAAACTTTTAACAAACTTTGATTCTCCTTTCGTGGCACTATGGTCGATTTAACGAAACTTTGACACCAAATAAAAATTGGGGTAACAACCGAACAACAATTTATTAAAAAATGTGAGAGAGATAGATCAAACAACCTTTCAGATACTTAATTCTAAGTATTCTAATTGAAGAAATAAAAACGACAGAACTAAAACTGTCCACAACCAAACAACCTAACCAAAGAAGAAAGTTTTCACTTACAATAATTCGACCCCGAATTATCCAAAGATTTATATGACAACTATGACTACTTTTCTGACGTTAGCATTGACAGTTGGTGTTTTAGCACGAATTTGTACGGTAACTGCACGATTTTACCATACATTACAGTACTTTACTGTCATGTTATAAATCTCCTTTCTCTATGTATAGGGCTTTGTTACCGAGTCAAATTTATTTACAATCTTAATAGACTATCAAACACCCTTTCTTTAGATTAGGTGATTGCTCTTAGGTCATTCCTATAGTAATCTATATAGAACCTTGTAAAATAGCGAAGAAGAAAGGATGGCGATATCATGATTTGGCAGGGTAAAACTTGAAGATATTATCACTTCCTAGGTATTTTCTATACTGAAGTAATAATAGTTTCATACTAGAAGCTATAAAGGACTCCGTTGTTAGTCCTTTACTACAGAAGAAACAAAATTCTTGCTCTTTTTAAACTGTCCCTACCTTCGAATATTTAGGTGTCATGAAATGAGAATCAAATTTCATAAACGTCTATAAAACGATGATTCTATTTCGGGCACTCCGGTCGATTACACAAATCTTCGACACTAAATAAGTTGAGGAAACAAGTTAGCAAACTTATAGAAAAATTATACCACCAAACAACTTTATAATAAAGAAATTAATTTGATCTATAAGTAACAACATGAAAATTTTGGTAAGCTAAGAAAACCATAGCCACGTACGCTTCCATACGATACAAAACCAACTATCAAAGGCGCGTCTAATCCCTCATGAAATATTTCATTTTGTTGATGAACCTCATTGACTCCTTAATAAATGATAGAGTTAAGGTTAGATCGATTGATGATGAGTTATACAAAACCTCTTGGATTATTAGTCCCAAAATCTTTTAAAGGAACGCTCCACACCGTGTGCGCGCCGCCGCACGTGCCATCTTTGCTAAGGGACCATGCTCTCTAAGTTGGATGGATTTGAACAAACGACTCGAAAATACTTTATAGGCGAATGAAAATAGAGTAATGAGTCTATATTCGAGTGTTTATTATTTTAATAATAAGTTGAGCAGATACTGATTGTGGCTGTCCAGGTGATTCTTGGACGAAAACCGACTTAAAAAATCACTGTTCTGTTTCTATTTCCTATCAGAATTTCTCTTGTCTATGATTTTAATTTTTAGAATCAGTCTAATAGATTCTATCTATTTATATATTTTATATTTAATTTATTCATGCCAGTATTCGTATACCCGTGTATAGGCAAGCAGCCTAACAGACTGAATTTGAATAGTATGCTGTATAGTAAAGGGCCAAGCACTGTTTAAACTAACATTATTAATATATGATTACATTGGAATATTTTCTCATTTCGTTTCTAGAAATAAAGTAGGTAAATACTGATATTTGCTATTGAATGTAAATTATAAAATGGAAACTTATTCTACAATTTGTTATAAATATGAAATCTTACCAAGTATTTGAAATAAAAATTTTAAAGTTTACTATAAGACAAGAGCTGGGTGTGTAAATTTTCCTGTTTAGTCTTGGCGATATCGAAATTTAGTGCCGATGTTGTCAAATGCAATTTAAATAAATTTAGAGCTAGTCGCATAATTTTAAATTTTAGGACCGTAATAACTTTGTCCTAAAGAATAATAATTCATTAAAGGCACATTATCTGATTTCTACTTTAGTATACAATTTATCAATCTTAGAAATTCCGATAGTTTGTGAATCATTTATTCAAAAAATTGAATGTCGAATACTGCTGTTAGCATTCCAACGAGTTACAGGTTGTCGATTTAACAATGAAAACTAGCAAATTTATCAACTATTGCTTAGTCATTGCATTTCTACTAGCTTATTCTCACGATTAACCTTGATCTGCATCAATATTAGTTAATAAAGTCCTGATTTACTTTAAAAATCAGAATTGCATTTACTCCTACTTGCAAACTTTTCAAATTTAGCTAATAGCTAGAATAAATCAGTAGAGACCACAACTAAAGTTATAGTTTAGGCGTATCATTAATTTTAAAAGTATGATTACAACCATGAAATAGCTGATTAATTAATTAACCCTTCATGCTCGATCTAAATCTTTTTAATCTTGATGAAGTACGACCATAAGTTACTGCTTAATCTAATGTCAATAAACTTCCGGGAGAATGGTACTCAAGTTGAGGCTAAACATTCATTAATATTAAATAATTGTTTAATCCAATTCTTGCTGTAGAATATTTAATTGGCGTATTATTTTATTCGGCTTCCATTTTGCTCGCCTAATACTGTTTCATTATTTTGCATATCTAGATTAATCATTGGTAATAAAGGCATTTTAATTAATATTTTATAACCTGATGAGAAGTAGAATAAATTGCCGTTGTTCACTATGAGCTACAAAGTAGAAAATTTATACCCTTTGAACACCAATTTGGAATGAAATAACTTTTGTTATATGCTGGACATCTATTTATTTTAGGTAATAGTTTATATTAACCATAAAATTTTATCAACTGGATCCAAGCGACTAAAGGTGGACATACTCGTATAGTTCTTCCTATTCCATTTTATCTGAGTATAAATTGTCTATTAAAGCTTATATATTAGAGATACTTATTTCAATAAATCACTAATTACTTCTGCGGCTAGATAATTTCCAACGAGAAATAAATACAGTTATAATACCTATTCGTATACCTAGGACTAGATCAAATCAAATTTATTCGATATTTAAGTTCAATATTAACTTATGCAGTTCGTTAATTGTTAGATTGCAGTTAATAAACGCAGTCGTATGATAATTAGATGCCTGAATGGCTGTCTATATAGATACGTTAACATTTTTGTGCGAGCGGGTATGCAGTAGACAAAAAAATTGGTAGAAATTTCAAGCGGGCAAAATATTTAGCCAAATGCAGGACTCTGCCGTCTAGGATAGATTTAAAACTGGAACAGATATAACCTTATTTTTCTAATCATCTAATTGACGATTGGTTTACCAGCTTTTATCATATAGTAGTACAATTATTATGTTCTCAGCTGTACTACGATCATCGTGGTGGAAAGTTACTTTAGCATTATGCTATGGATTATACTATATTGCACATTAATTTTAATATCGGTGATAATATATTACAACATCAGAAATGTAATTTAAGTTACTCTTGATGAATTGGTCAGGTGAATATGTTTTATTAAAATGGATGTCAAATTTATCCAACTAGGTTTACTTGTAATATTGATAACAGCTAATAGTAGTAATAGTAATAGTGATCGTAATTAATGATTTAATACAGCATCAGAAAGGCAAATTTGAATTACTCTTGATAAATTGGTTAGGTGGGGACGTGTTAAACAAATAGATATCAAATTTGTTAAACTAGATATTATTGATGATATTGATAATAGTTAATAGTAGTAATAGTAACAGTAATTGATACTGTATTACAGCATCAGAAAGGTAGTTTGAATCACACTTGATAAATTGGTTAAATGAACATATTTTATATCAATAGATATCAGATTTGTCGCACTAAATTTATTGGTTATCCCGCAGAGCTATAGCTGCACTTAGTTTACCAGTAGATACCATCGAAGTACGACTAATAGGATTTTGGGATAACAGTCTGTTGGATAAGACCGTCCTTCTCTACAGGTTATGAAAGCACTATTTGGAGTCATTCTTCAGACTGAAATGGAATAGTTTTATTCTGTTTTATTTATTAGTTTTATATCCCTAAATACTATTTGATGCAAGTAATATTAATCTCACAGTTCAATGACTTCAATCGTAAATTGAGTACAGAAGGCGTTTACATTTTAGTTAACATCGCAGAATAAATGAAACGACGTGTTATAAAATTGGGCTTTATTTCCGGACATAGGTACTTTTACCGTCATTAAATTGAGGTGATTTGATCACCAGATATTCAAAATGATAAAAATAGACTATATAAGATCTATTTAATTCAAGATACCATTAATACAAATTTTTTGTAGACATGAAAAATCGTAATATTTGATAATTCTAAATCCTTTCATGGAATATGCATAACCAAAGTCCATTTGAAATAATAAATTAATTATCAGATATACGAATTATAATAATTATCATGGTAGCAAATGACTATTATTATTTACTATATATGTTAAGCATGGTGTAGCAGCACCATTGAGAAGCGAATCGACTGGCTTAATCGATCCTGAATAGGTTAGTACCTTCTCGCCTAGAGTTGAAATAATAAGGCTACTCAACAGTATTGCCCAGCGTTTAGAAGTATTTTCGTAGCAATTTCTGAGTTCAAGTTTCCAAAAGTTGAAAAATTAGTCCGTTGTTTTAATTGCTTGATGTTTCACCATTGGTTGGCAACCGAAATTGAACACTATAATTCGATCTCGGTCGATTTCGATTACGCGGGCTCTTCATAATTGAGCTTACAACAATGCTATTATCCTTAACGGTAGCGATGCTATTATTAATTTCAAGGGTATGATTATCCAACCGCTGTGATGCTGAATGCCTTTTTGGTCTAGAAGAATAATTAATGCTAAAGATTTTCGATTCTATTTCTTTTGGAGTCACAGAAGGTGATTTATTACCCCCATTTTCTCGAGATGCATTATGTAAATGATGTTGTCTTGTAATATTTTCGTTTGATAATTTAGCTGTCTTAATTGATGATGAAGAAAGACGATTACTTGGACTGGTGGTCCTATTAATTTTTGTCTCATTATGCAGATTGTCATCCGGTAAAATTTCATCTTGTTTTTCCTGCTAGGAGTAGATATACATATGAACAAGATTATTACTGAGTAAAGAAATATATGAATATGATGTAGTAAATGAAAGGAAGATGAGAGAACTTACTTCGACTTGTTGCTTGCATTTTTCTTCTATTTTAGCTTCCTTAATATGAGACTATATGGAGAGAAAATTTTGTCACAAGTCTAAGCTAGTTATCGATTGGTAATAAACGTATAAATTACATTAACTATACAGTTTCAGCCCTAATCATAAAAAGTTTAACCGTAATAACCCCTTATATTCAATTCAACTTGCAACTTACGGGAGGAGAATGCGAAACTAATTCTTCTAGTGATAATGGTTGCCATGCTTGCTTATTTTTAGCATTATTTCCATTTAACATGTTTTCTTTAGATTGGTGTAATTTCGATTGATGGCCATTAACACAAATATGATAGCCATCGCCTTGATCGAGATAGCCGAGTAGAATTTGCTGTCCTTCTTCGACTTTGTAGAACTTATCAACGTAATGGCCTAAAAGAGGCGTCGAATCTCGGCTGCTAAGCTCGTCATATAGCACTAATTAGAAGGAGAAATTCAGTAATCCTGTATTAGTCAATAGCTGAGATAAATTTTTATGACCTAACTAGTGTTAGTTGTACTTGATTCTACTACGTATAAGATTATCTTACACTTGAAAAGAAAGATGGAAAGAATTAAATTATCGTGACCAGCAATCGCTCTGTTAAATCAATTCTTGATATGAAGTATTATATCAAGTCTATTCCGTGAAGTGTAGTTATTCACTTCCTAAGTATTATTGCAGTACCTTGGTTAACATCTGCTGATTTGTTATAATCGCTGCTATGTAGATAAGTAATCCAAGGCCGATGATGGTCCATGCCATGTTTTGGTGGTAAAGGCTCCCCAGGTACAATAGGTGGCTTAATGGTATGTTCCAAGAGAATATTATCTTCAACTTCTTTAACAGCTTTCACTGAATGCCTACGCAATGGCTCATCATACAGAAACTTTAATCTTTGCGCTCTTATGCTTTTCATTCTTGTAGCAGAAACTCCATCAACAGTTTGAGGGCGTTGACGAGGTGCTTGATTTTTTAGGTTCGATGGTGAAGTTTGTACGGTAGGCAGGCAAGAATTGGTTGACGATAATGAAGCTAAGACAGAGATACCATGTTATAATTTATCCTTCAGGTTTATTTCATTATGACAAGATTTCATATCGAGTCAAATCAAGGAGAAAAATAATTGCTCGATAACTTACGACTAGTTTTAGGACGTGGAATTTTAATAATTAGCGAATTTAACGAAATGGAATGAGAGTGATGAAGTGGTAGCTTTTCCGGTATTACAGCATCTGGTTAATTTAGGAGAAAATATTTTTACTTTAATATCTGATCTAAATACCGAATTATGTTAATTTTTATAAACTATTAACAGTAAACCAATAACATAAGTTCAAAATTTGTAAAGATCAAATACAGATGATGCTAATGAACTAAATTCATTCTAAATGCATACTAGCCAATAGCTATGATATATGCCATAGATTTCTGTAGATAGTAAAATATTCTTATTACAATATTATATAGCAGATATAACCAGTAGTAATATAAGAAATGACTTCTGAACTGATTTTATTCTGAATATATGCTAGCCAATAACTATGAGATATGTTGTAGATTTCTGTAGATTGTACAATAATCCTGTAATAATATCATATACCAGTTATGCAATTATGGTAATATAAGAAATGACCTCTGAATTGATTTTATTCTGAATACACACCAGCCAATAAATATGAGAAATGTTGTAGATTTTTGTAGATTATACAATATTCCTATTATATTGTTATATGCCAACTAGTAGTAATAGTGGTAATATAAGTAATGACTTTAATTGTTAGGATCATCAAGCAAAGAATCGGCAAGGTTTACCTGATTGATTGTTAGTGTTGTTCCTATCTTGGCTGAGCTTGCCTAATCTCCTAGGACTTTTGATTCTAACAAGATTCAATATAAATTTTTCTTTTACACAACGATATCGATGACTAATTCAAGACGACGGTGCGTATGTAATTCTATAAGTCTTAATATTAACCATCCACATCAGAATTAATATTACAAATAATCATTTTTTGCGATTGGAAAGATCTCGAATACTAGTCGAGTCTACTTTCCTGTGAATGCTAGTAAAAGTCATTCAAGTCTCAGATTATACTAGAAAAGGACTTAAATTATAATAAACTGTAACAAGTAAAGAATTCGAGGCCATACTATAGAAGATTTTTCAATCTCCTATTAGTAAACCTTCAATTTCATGAAGTTTAACCCATTAAATTACTTTAAATTTTCAGTAAATGTATAGCCATAATTTTTCTTATCGTACTTTAAAATATTAAATTTATTCATTGCTGGCCACGTTATACGTATGGTAATGCTCTTAGATTGGCATTAAGATTTGCTTACCTTGAATTCGGTCGTGGAGTCCAGATCGTTTCAAACTTTTTAATCGCATCGTCATTATCACTCAGATTTCGATTTAATTTCTGCACCAATTCACTCTATTAATAAGATAACAGTTATAATTCAATTATTGTAGCATGATAAGCTAATTATTACTAATTTAACTTAGATCTCAGAGGGATGTATACTATAATAGCTTAGTGAAGTCCTTTAGCGTCATGTAAATGGTGATCATGATAGCAAAGAACGATGTAATATCATCTTCTGGAAATTACAAAGAATTGTTAACGATAATATTTATAAACTCGATATTTATCAATAGCAAATTTAATTCTGTCTAGACGAAGTGGCATAATTTTAATTCGTCATAATATGCCACAATAAAATAATCTTTTGTATCCTTAAAGACACAAATTCAAACATTAACTAACCTAAAGTAAAGTAATATTGCAACACTGTTCAATAGTAAATCGTAATGAATTAAGGAGGTTATGAATTATTAGACTCAATTTATCATGTTTATTTGCCTTTGATATCAATTTTTAACCATCTAGTTCTGTCAAATCAGCAACATTACTATTTTTCGACAAATTTGATTTGTTATAGAAAACTAGTAACATCGATTCCAGGATAGACCGTAACAGTATCATATTCAAATAGAACAGGAAGTAAAAGAAATGATTCATTGGTTTATTGCACGGACTGCATTCGTCTGCTTCGGTTTATGAATGCAGTAGCGGTTATAGTTCTTAATTATCTTTCTTACCCAATTAGAGATTAAAATTTGTATTGATTGCCAATAACTAACTCAGTCGATATAAGTGTGTTAACTATTTAATAAATTTAAACTTTACTATCTTGCTCATTTACGGGAAAAATGAAATACTCAGAGGGATTTAAACAAGAAACTAAAGTCAAAATGGATATTAATTGAAAATTTTCCTTACCTTTTCATGATTATGAAGGACTTTTTTAGTGCTAGGAGCAAAATTTTTCATAAATAAGTGACTTCGTAACGTTACAGATGTATGCGGGCGTTGAGGTTGCACTTTATTGGAGAGGGATATTACTACAGGTGATATTTCGACCGGATGGCGGTTTATGCCTTCTCGTTTCTTCATGATTAAGGTACTTCCAAATTGAAATAACGCAGTAAAATCTCAATGACTGTTTAAGCAATTCTAACTCTGTTCAACATACTAAGGGGTGGATTGAAAGCAGCGCTGACAATAGGTTGCTTCCTCTTTCCTCTGAGTTAAATCGAGGGAATAATTTTCATTTGCATTAAGAAAGCGTCAGCTACTGTAGTAGTCTCCAATTTACTGCCTGGTTGAAATAATAATTGGCTCTTTATTCCATTTTATCATTCTTGTCAATATTATTCTTGAAAATTCCTTACTTCTACCACCAATCCGATAATCGATTATACAAAAATCTTAACGTTTGACTTAGACTAGCTTTGATTTGCCCAAATTATTCAATTTATTGTCTATGTATGAATTTTATTTTACAAATGGTTACTCTAATATCAATAATTCAGGGCGAGTGTTGCGTAAAAGTACCATTTTATTCGGTAAATAATAATCAATGCACTAAAGTTGCCATAGCAACGTTCTAGTGAATCGGATCACACTAGAGCACCGCTATACAAAAGTATATTCTGCATGTGGATTTCTATATAATACAGCACTCGTGTATTCTCCCTTTAGAATATAGACAGCTTTCTAAGCTTTATTTTAGCCCATTTATGTTTGATAAACATAGAACAACTAGACTTCGGCATTGAGATACCACCTGTAGTTTGCTTTATAACTCTGTTGTACTATGGGAGATACTGAACGTAAATAAAATACAAACTAATGTTATAATAAATGATTACAACAATGTTATTTGAAACAGATAAAGTTTAGAACTCTAAATAGATAAAATGTTAGCCGGGATCTAGTTACATAATATCTTGAGCTTTTGTAGTAAAGGCTACAGTGGTAAGCCTCTACAAAATTGGCCAGATGAAGGTGTATTGCATGCGTATGTACGATTGATTAATTAATTAGTCAGCCTTATAACCAATAGAACTGTTGTGCCGGTGGATAGGCTTTTCTATGTATTCCTTCGCATATAATATACAGAATTAATCAGAAAACGCCTATAAGTGTATTTTTACTTTATTCATAATCTCAAATTCGTATCGTTTGGATCTTGTTGTACGAGTGTGATGTTATATAATATTTTAAGCTTCTTAATAGAAACCATAATGTTAAGCCGCTGCAAAATTGGCCATATGAGAGTGTATTGCATGCGGATACACGATTGATTATAACTATTCAGCTTATAGTAAATGAAACTATGGCATCGATAGATAAACTTTTTACTGCTTTCTTTAGCACATGATTTAACAAATTGATCTGAAAACGCCCATATGTGTATTTTCTCTATGTTTTAGCAGCTAATTCATAGAACTGATTAAATTCTGTATATAAACCGTAAACTGCGGCACAAGGGTGAGATATATCGAGGCTAGAAATGATGTTAATATAATATATTTGAAAGAAAATTGCATTTTAAAATATGTTGATCTTCAACTGCTTTTGTCGTTTATTGATACTAGTAACAGACTAATGATTAAAGGGATAGCGTTGCTGATGGCGGATTTTCTGAATACTTGCTAGTTTAATTCAGTCTCAAACAGAATAAAATTGTATAGCCTTACACAACATATTGCATTGAATCATTTTTGGACGTGTTATAGAGAAATACAGAATGCCTAATTTGTAAATTACTAGGCACTGGCATATACATAACTAGCGAATATAACATAATATTGGGCAGCAAAAGGATAGTGGTTTAGTTTTGTATGTTATTATGATCTTTTTGTCAGATTTAAACACACTGAAGCTAAAGAGGTGCTAGCATCATTGCATTTTTTTCTTTTATCCTTTCATCTAAGTTTATAGAAGTAGACTACCAAATACATTTACCTTCAAATTCATGATTTTAAGATCATCATGTACAGTATATACTTCAGTTATTATTTAAAAATACTCTTTACATATTTTCTAGACATTTAAATTTGTTACATCTATCCGTACCTTGGTTGTTTGCTTCTTGATTTGTATCGACACTATATATGCTTTGAGCTATTAAATAAGGTATCAGTATGCATTACAGGATTAGTTTACTACCTAAAAGAAAGAGATTTTGCATAGACTGACATAGCAAGTTTTGCGCTGCTGATTAGCTCAAGTTACCAATCATATTCAAATGTTTATTATAAACTTATAGTATTTTATTGCAAATACGGTTTACAAATTGGTATTACAGAAAAGAAATTGCCCAACAAACATTTTAGCTTAGGTGGTTGTAAACATCCAATAACTACAAGGCTAATAGCTGGTCTATAAAGATTAGACCTAATATACCGAGAATCATAGAATAATCGATAATTATAATTTATGATAGAAATTCATTTAATAACGATATACTATTCAGCAGTTAAATAGCTGAAATATAAAACTCTAAAGGCAACAAAATTTGCTTTCAAATTTATATAGAGGGAAGATAATTTTTCTATATTGTACCGTAGATAATGTACTTAAGAATTAGTGATAACATAAGTATATATATAGCATGAGTGTAGGACAATAAGAAAAACAATTTACCTTAGTTGTAGATATATTATAAATTCTAATTGTTTAAGAAATAGAGTTTAGTCTATTGAATGACTAAGTTTGTAATAGTGTATGGTAGCTCAATGTTTCTAAAATTATAATTTTCTTTCTACAGATGAATTAATTTCTTCAGTAAAATTGAAGGCTATCACAAAAGCATGCGAATACAATAAATTAGGGTATTGTTGTAAAGTATAAGGTATATAACTGATTGTAATCAGAATGAAAACAGAGAGATTGGAAGGGCTACATTAATGCATAACTTTCCATATTACAAATATTACAACCCAGTAATAATGAAAGGATACAGCCTAATAGGATAAAATTTAGAGCGAGAAGATATTTAAAATAGATTATATATCGTCAGATAACTTGTAGTATGGTCTTTTAAGATGTTGAGCTTTAGTGAAGCTCAGTTCATGGGCTAGTCGTTGCAGATGCAATGATTGAGCTGTATTTCATGAATTCTAGTTGGCCATTAGTGAATCAGTAATGTTAGGTACGTATCTATTAGATCTATCTGTGAGTAAACGCTATACTAATACTTAGTGATACAACTTTGAGTATACTCTATTTAGGGCTTCATCGAATCTAAGCCTTGCTTGGTGCTTGCGAAGCGCTGAGTACTCTGTATGTCGATCATTCCAGTAATCGTCATCATCTAGTTGTATAGCTAAGCTAAGGTAAGTATAAGCAATAGGTGAATCAGTATCTAATTTAAGAAAATCAGCCAGCCTTTAAAATTTCAATAACACCAAATAAATTTAATTTATTTTCAAAGTCTAATTCGAATTTAAGTTATATTAGTGTACTAATATTGCTTTCAATGAAGATAGTGAATTGTGTGCTTATGACAGTTAGTACCGGTAGTCAATCATAATAGAAACTTTGACATTAATACAAATAACTGCCAATCAGAATAAAAACTATTCTACGATGGCATTAATATCAAAGTTCAAATCAAATAAATGCTTAGCTATACATATCAAGCAAGAGAACATCTATATGTACTGTATGCGACAGCGAGCATTTAATTATAGTTCAAAATTTGGTATTTTTGAATAATAATTGTTATATAAAATAGAAAATGTAAGGTCATAAAGGGTAACAAAAGTGAAATAATTCATTGCCTGGTGTTGCTTATTATTAAGATAAGGTTCTTATTTTTTAGAATAGCTTTTCTAACAATATAGGGTAAAATACTAAAATCAATATAAATCAAATTGTATTTTTATTGTCAGAATATTCAATACTGATAAGGTGAAAATTAATCCCATATTCAATGAGGATCAGTTTTGTATTGTCAATATCATCGCCATAAAATTATATGATCGTATACGGGAACTTATTATTAGAACAATTACCAAATGTTATAAGACGGTAATAAATATTTATTTCTCCCAACTTCTATAATTACGGTAAAGTCTGGAATAAATTTTATCCAGACACTCGTCAAAGAGGACCCGATGAGGTTTTCCAGTATACATCGACATACGATTTGACCAATAGTTGTTATCATCCAGCTGGACTGTAACGCTATATACGGTAGGAAGGATGTAATAGGATGAATAATAGAGATCGAAACGCATTTAGACTAATTGATTATTTAGAGCATTGCAGACTATCTACAACATCGCAATTCAGATTTGCAGATGGACGTTTGCATTTTTACATAAAATTATATAAAATTGCAAATATCCACCTTTAATAATAACTACGGTCAGAGATTGATCAATGAACAGTTGCATTCTACGATTTTATGGTATTAGATATAACTTCAATAGCATGGTTAGCATCATCTAAATTGATCAATTAAGTATAGAAAATACATCTGCCAAGTATCAGATGATTAATAAATTACTTATTTACTATCAACGAGACAATATCTACACATTGTATATTCAACATATTTTTTGCATTCTATCTCAAATAAAGGCTAGTTAACGAAAAAAATGTTGTAGATTGATAGCAGTATCATGAACCAAATGTAATATGTATGCGCTTTTTCTATTTTATAGTATTGTAGATAAATAACTTCGATAGCATGGTTAAGACTACCCAAATAGATCAAATAGGTATAGAATATTGCGTAAACTAAGTATCAGATGATTACTAAATTATTTCGGTTACTGTCAATAAGATAATATCTACACATTGTATATTAAACATATTCCTTGCATTTTATCGCAAGTAGCTAACGAAAAACGGCGATGATTGATAAGAGCATCATAAAAACAAAAATAATGTGTATACATCTTTTCGTATTTTATAGTGTTACATATAACTTCGATAGCATAGTTAGTAACATCTAAATAGATCATATTGGTATAGAATATTGCATCAACTAAGTATCAGATGATTACTAAATTACTTTAGTTGCTATTAATGAGATAATTTTTCAATATTGTATATATTCAACTTATTTTTTCCATTCTATCGCAAATAAAGGCTTGCTAACGAAAAAGTAGTGATGATTGATAATGGCAATATAAACCAAAAATAATGTGTGTATGCTATTTTCTATTTGAAATATAAAGCTCAGCAGTATTGCTCTTCAACTATATTACTCATAGACTTCTATATTATTGGTAATTTACAAAAAAAAACATTATCTGAGATGTTAATATAATGTAGAGATCGCATACCTTCTGTTGTTGTAATCATTTTCAAGCTTTGAATCCTCAATAGTATCCCTGAAAAATTGATCGATCAGAATGATATCAGCTTTCTATCTAGGGCAGATTATGTCATGTAATAGACGATATTCGGTTATACCTAAGTATATCTAGTGTATCTGTATCGGTATCTGTTGTATCAGTCTAGATAAAATATCAAATCATTCGTTAGCAATATTTGTTAGATTTCAATTATAAAACATGAACGGTGATGTTCTAAAAATGATCATGGTCATAAAGGAATCTCAACCTCGATATCCAGCTCTTCCATAATCCTTTTGACCTTGTTATGGATTCTTTTCGATACAGAATGGCGGTCCTGTCGACTTTCCCATCGACTAAGACGACTGTGATCGAGAACTGGAGACAAACTACGAGATCGATACTTCGTAACCGGATCTGAGAGAGCACTTCGACCGATGCGTTGCTTGCCTACTGCTGTTGGAGTTGATGCTAATTTTCGGTCTTAATAAAATAACATAATTATCAAACTTGATTATCTTCAAGTTTTATAAGTTATCATCTGCATTGTAGCAACGTATTATACTTTCATAACAATTTTGTATAACTATTCTATTAGTACGACTCATCATAAGTCCTAAATGAACAGGATGTATTAAAGTAATCAAGACTCAAAATTTTGAGAGAATAGCGTTATTGCGGACATTTACTATTTACTCATAGACTTTCGTCTAGGTACGGCGATTGATTTTTACTATATCTGTATTTTGTAAGTCATGACCAACTAGATATTCATACATAACTATATAACTCGTTTACGGCTTAACAATATTTATTAAGGGTACAACTAAAACAAGCAATTACTTGCTATTAGAAATTACTTTCGCTATGTATACGAATCGTATATTGATAATTTGAAAGTATTAAGAGGGCGTAAAATGCAATTGGTATGGTAGTATACGATATCGTCCTACGAATATTATATGCTTCCATTTATTATCAGCACATTATGATAAAATAATAATCAATTTATTGGTGGAGATGCAACCCAATACTGTATTTCTCTGATATTAAATTAAATTTAATCTCATTTAGACTATAGGTATTTCTATTCACATCTTCAATATCTATTTATGAATTGTGTATTAAATACAGTAAAATCAAATCCACTTACCTATAGGTGATGATGATCGGTAAGCTGGCGTCGTTGATGTAAAACTTCTTTGTTCAAGTAACTGGTTAATTTTATTTAAAGTTAAAGGATCGTAAATTATAAACCATTTTGAATAACTTAGGCTATAAAATGTAGCTTGCTAGTACCTTTTCATTTGCTTTACCAACAACAAAAGGCTTTCTTTTAGATTGATATCGTCGATTACTTGAGATGTTACTCTTTAATGGTGATCTCAATGTCGACGATAGAGGAGCCGTGGAAGAGCGGTAATGTCGTCGCGTACTTGGAGTATAAGTGCGAGAAACATACGGAGATTGTGGACGATTTTTTGATAGAGACAAGGATTTTGTCTTGTTCAAGATATCAGCAACTTCGATATCCTATATGAATCCATGATAAGTTTGGGAAGCCATAGAGTTATAATTTATTTATAGCATCAAAATACGACATAAAAAGTACTTAATTTATGAAAAACAGTTGGACCAAATATTTTCGTCTACTTACTGTAGAATCAACCGAAGTATCACTTTTCAATTGTTCCGAGTAGGTTGGCCATGCTACCTCCTTCATCGTAGTCTCCGTTGAAAATTCTAATTGAGGTGATATTCCCTAAATTTCGAAGAAATTTGGGATGAAAAAGCTATAGGCAAATACCTTAAAGGTACTTTTGATATAATATTTCTTTCATTATAATCTACTAAACCTACCTTAAAATGTTTCGTTCTATCTAGCAAAACTGTTCTTGTATTGCTACGCGATGAAATGTAGGTATTGTGAGGAAAAAGAAAATCTCGAGTTGTCATTTCGCAATAGGCAAGAACGATTCCAGCTGTAATCAAAATGAAAAGGGTTTGATATGATACAGTATTATCTGAACTATTAGAAAATTGATGTGGGAAAAAAAATATGTGACTAATGCTTTATCGATCTTACGTCTATAGTGATTCCCTCCTTGTATTAATTGAATGCTAATTTCTTCCTCTTTTATTTTCAAAAATAAGTTACAATAGAATTATTAGTCCATTGATGAATACCATAAATAGCTATATATTAGTAAACCATCAGTATATGATATCAATCACTCGAATATAAGTTCATTCTACATTTAGGGTCATTTAAACAAATATTTTATAATACAACATCATTATAATTGACAATATATCATCAAAAATTACCACACCTTCTAGGACCTCCGCCAATTGGGAAGGATCTCGACAATTTGTAAATATCTAAATTATGGATCAAATCGTCAGTATCAACATGTATGATGGCTGGATTAGTAGACAAATTCAATTGTAATAAAGTCGATTTAAAGGTGATGCTATGATGTGGATACCTTTTCAAATTGCAGTTGCTCGTTAAATATTAGGGGAAAAATAGGTAAAGATGGATAGGTAAATTTGGTACGGTTGAATAATCGTACAGCGATGGAAACATCATCGCGATTTTTTAACCAAGTTCCAGGGCAAGTGACCTAAGATTGATATTCAGAAAGTGAGAGGAAAGTACAATTAGTATTGACTTCATCAATGCTAACTGCGTAGTAATATTTATTTGTTTCAACAGGATACAAAGTAGGAGTTTACGGTATGATGATCATCGTCAATATCCGTCATTGCCGTAAGGTCCAGAAAAACTTTATTGTAAGTTATTTCAACTTTTTGATTGAAAGAACGCTTTGTTATCGTTTTATTGATTCCTCATGGGGAAGTATTACACCAGTCGACAGAACAATTTTTCGACTATAGATGTTTATTATAGTACTGTAGAATCACGCTATCGATCTACATTAAATTTTTATGCTTCTCATTTAATCAACATGATCAACCTGTAAACATGATCGTATTGTGCAGAAAGGGAAAAAATCAGATACCACCATGGTGGTTATAAAGTAATCAAGTCAGTGGATCACATAAAATAAAATATTGATCTATAAACAATGAACCGTTCTATCCAAATGATCAACCCCACGCTTCCAATAAAATAATAATCATTAATCAAAACAATCGCAATGTGTTGGAAGATTTGGAACTTACATTCTTAATGCGGATATTGGCTGTCACATCTAACGACCTAAATGGCATCTTCAATCAGTTCCAAGGGAGAATTATCGTTTCAAGATAAAGTTGAAAGTATATGGTGATCCAATCAAGCCCGGAATAGCCAAGTAATGGAATCGACAGTAGTAAATCTTTCTCTTAATGATAGAGCAACGATTAGGCAAGGGGGTTTACGAACAGTAAATTAATTGTAGAATTGACGCCGATTAATCTTGTTACCAACGCGATGATGTGCCAATCACGCGTCAAGACAGACAACACGTGATGCAATGGACATGCGCACTGTACTGTTTAAATGAAGCAGGTATATGTAACCGCATCGGTATGGGGGAGGGATTGCACATTTCTATAATTCGTACATTATGGAAGGATCAATAGACTCGGTTGGGGTTTCTTCTTTCCAAGGAAGACCTTGTATTAATGTTATATATTAGATTTCTCCTGTCTGTACCTCTACTGGTCTTGGTTGGGTTTATTCTTTGAAGGAAAGGTCTTATTTTAATGTTGTATATCAGATTTATTCATTCTGTACCTCTACCAATGGTCAACATAATAATTGTAGTTTTTATTAGTGCGATACTAGTATTTCATATAGGTTATCGGTAATGTATAGATATGCTTGCGAACATTTCTATATTACATCATGGAAGGATGAACAGCCTCAATTAGGTTTATTCTTTTAAGTAAAGACCGTGTTTCAATGTTTTATTTTAGATTTATTCATTCGGTACCTCTATCGATCGTCAATATGATATAGGTGGTTTTATGTCAGTGCTATACTGGTATCGGTATAGGTTATTGGAAATGTTTAGTCTTAGCCGTAACATATAGATATGATAATTAGCAATTCTATACTACATTGAGGAAGGATCAACAGGCTCCATTGGATTTATTCTTCCAAAGAAAGACCTTGTTTTAATGTTGCACTTTAGATTTATTCATTCTGTACCTCTACCGATTATCTGTATGATAAATGTAGGCTTTTACTAGAGCTATACTGGTATTGGGATAGGTTATCAGTAACGTATAGATATGGTTATAAACATTGCTATACTATATTATGCAAGGATCAACACACTTGATTGACTTTACTCTTCAAAATGAAGACCTTATTTAAGGTTGCATTTTAGATTTATTAATTCTATACCTCTATCGATCGTCAGTATGATAATGGTAGTTTTTATTCGTACTATACTGGTATTGATATAGGTTATTGACAATGTGTAAATATGGTAATGAAATAACATTGATGTCAATCGGAGTAATGAAGAGAGGCTGATTAATCAGCCTAGGATAAGACAGTGAAAGGGAATATATCTGAACAAGGATATACTATATGATCAATAGACTGCTCGATTAGTTCTTAATGGCTTCTCTGATTTATTCTTACACCTCTATATTACACTAGAGTGGGTATTTAATGAAGCCTTGATTAGCATTATCTTTAAAATTGTACTTTGATCGGTATATCTATATCGCTAATGTTGATTAAAAGAGAAAATTTATTAATAATTCTGTACTTGTATCTACATAGACGTTAATGAACACTGATTGACGTTAATATAAATGGAATAAGGAAAAGCGATTGATTAATAATCAATCTTTATTAAATACATCAGGGAGAGACACAATGATATACTGTTTAGCAACAGACTTTGCTCGGCTAGGTCTTAATGGATTCTCTGATTAATATTTGATTCTTTTTTCTCTATGCTATACGAAAGTGCACTAGAGTTGATTGGATTTTATCTTCATAGAGGCCCTAATCAACGTAACATTTTTGATTGTGTATTTTTCTGTACTTAGTAATATCGTCAATATTGATTATATTATAAAATAAAATATTTTCGTACTGTACTGGAATTTATGCATACATATGCATTACTAAACAGTAATCGTTGTCGAATCAGAACTGAGTAATAAAGGGCTGATTACTCGGCTTGCACTCATATCGTACGAGAAAATACATAAGTATAGCAGATAACGCGTTATCAACAGGCGCTGCTTGATTAATTCTTAATAAAGTCCTTGATTACTATTCCATTAGATTCACATATCTCGATCTATTCGCATATCTTCATGTCGTATGTACGAAAAATGGACGGTAAATTAACTTACATTTCAAAGATACCGGTATCTGTTATTTTCACAGGTAATTAATAGCAATATACATCAGAGAAATGATTAAAGGTTGACTGATCTACTTGTACGATGAGTTGAACCAGCGCATCTTTAAACTTTAATATTGTACTAATAAATTCAGCTCGATTGATTCGTAATGAAATGCCGAATAATATTTAGATTTATTCGATATCTGTCCTCTATAAGAAATAAGAATTGGAATTTAATGCTTTATTTATGTTTTGTCCGTACGGTATGTATCATTATTTCAAGAATAACTAATAGCAGACAGTTTAGAGCAATGAAAAGGAACTGATTAAACAATCATGCCAATAGTAAAAGAAGGAAGATTTACACATCATTATACAGTAATATCAATAGACTTGATTCCAGCTTTATTAATAAAGTGCCTGATTAATATTACATTAGACTTATTAATATCTATATGTTTACATATTGTCAGTCTGGAACGTCAACTATAATTCTATGGTATGGTAGTCGTATTTGCACATATGTTTTATTTTAGCATTAATTAAAATGAATAGAAATCAAAGCGATGAAAGAACTTAGCTAATCAATCTCGTCAGTGATATGTGGAGGAGGATTTATGCTCGCACATTGGTATTTTTTAGCAGACTTAATTAGGTTAATTCTTCTTGATGAAGTTTCTATTGAATACTAATTTTAATGCGTCTCTATGTTTTCATATTCAGCTATAAGAATAATATAATTTATCAATCATTAGTACTTTGGTTATGCTTATGCGTATATATTATCCTAGAAGAGATTAATTAATATCAAGTTTTGCGTGTCTTTTATACTCCAGTGTTAACGACTCAGTCTGATTAATACTTTTAAATAAATTGCTGATATTATAATATTATAATATACAGTACAATCGATGTGATCGATTTTATCCAGACGTTTGTATTTCGTCTATGTAAAGTGTAAACTGTAATTTTTAGGTATTTTATTGTACTTACACACCATTTTAGCAAGTTTTTATATCGGCATACGATAGTATAATAAAGAAAAATTGACCAATGCGCTTTTATGAAATTGTTAACCTCGATTAATTATCAATAACGCTGATTCTAACAATATTTTTGGGGGAATTAAATTAAAAATTTATACTAGTTCTTTTGATTGTAATTCTAGTTACTATGAAATGAAATAATGAAAATAAGTCGACCCCGTCATCTGTAAATAACACTACCCCGTACTGGGACTACTCCACAATTTTTACCCGGTCCAAATCCAAACTCACAAAATCCTAAAAATAAGAAAAAAATGAGACTCTAAACATATAGTACTTTAAAGTGCAAACAATTGGGATTCTGTGAATTTGGATTTGGACTAGGTAAAAATTGGGGAGTAGCCCCTGCCCTGTAATAATTATACTTTTGTCCAAATTATATATTCTTACTTACTACATAACACTATTATCTGCAGTAATATCAACAACATCAAAACTAAAGATTCTGTATCCTTGCATATTACTCACACAACACTCTAACTTACAATGATGTATAATTAATAGATATTGCTAAATCGTTCTTTACAATATTGTAATTTATTTTAATCCTTAGTGTACAGTATAGCTTCATATTTAGTAATAGAAGCTGTTACGATCACAGGATACTAGGGAGGCTAAGGGTTCTCACAGAAAATACAAATACCCTTTCTATCATAGAAATAGGGACCTTTAATACTCCAAAGCACCAATATAGCTCCAACTGTCTGTATAGTCAAAATCCCTCGTGGCATTCGCCAACAAACTCCTTTTATAGTCAGTCTACTTACAGTGCACCATAAGATAATATGCAACATATGAAACTGTATTATACAATACTATATATATATACTATATATATGTGTGCCAAAGCGAATTGCCTTATTAGGGTACGGTGTTAAGAGTTCTGGTAACTTCGAATATCCTTACAAGTAATTTTGCACGATGGTAGTTTTAACACGACATAGAACCCAACTCTTTCTATTAACCATATAGGGATTAACGTTTTATTACAGCAAAAGATGTATAGTACATAAGATATCATAGATTAAGTAACAATGTAATTAATTGTGAGTAAAAAATGACTAAATAAATACAAATAACAAATAGCTATATCGTCAGATGTTCGATATCAAAATGGCAATCTCTTTATAGTATCGTATTCTATCAATAAAAATGTAAGACATATGACACCGACATATGACAATGAAGTTATATTAACTATTGAAGCGCTTTCACATGTCTAGGGTGATCTTACGTCTATATGTAATATTATTTAACAGCATGAAGACATAGCCATTGCGTGTTATGTATGATAGTCTAGCAGCGTTAGGAAAAAAAGTGCTACATTAGAGCATATTTGAAATTACTAAACACTAATTCCAGGTACTAAAGGTGCAGCGCAGTTATTTTGATTGTGAAAATTAAAGATCACTTCGGCCGGAAGATTTAGCAATTATTGTTGATAATTCTGATCTATCAGCATCAGCATTTGAAAGTGAACGTAAAATTGATGATTATATAAACTTCTAAATCTCAGGAAATACATTAAAGACATGATCGATTCAGAAGTAAATTATTTTAAATTGTCTGGAACAAATTTATCACAACAACTATATACAATTTGTTAAATTATAGATTACTGTCTACATTTCATAATACATTTATCTACAACATTAGTAGTAAAAATACGAACGTCACGTAAGCTTTTCAAAATCTCTAGTGTCATAACATTTGAAAATGTATAATTTATAAATTTATTTAAAATGGTTCATGTACTAGCTTGAAACCAGCTTCTATCAGAAATAATATTTTATTTTTCATTGTCTTCATCGCTACTCCATGTATCCTGATAAAATTTAAAATTTGTCGTATTCGAATCTTTCGTTCTTTCCTCTTTCTATACGAGCGTTAAAGATAAAGTATAAAACAGTATTATCAAGTCTTAGCCCGAATATAGTGTAGTAATATTTAATTAATACATTAGAGGTTTCGTACCATTTGAGATTTGGCTTTAATATATCTTTCATAGTGATCATTACATGACCACACCAGTATATTACTGTCATTACCGCCACTGTATAATTCCTATATTATTGCATCAACACACGACAGCTTATGCAACTTTTATCTATTGCAACAGTTACAAGTACTATGCAAAAAAGTATCAAATACACTATTTCATTCGCATTTTACACCATTGCAATTAATATCTCTTTAGCTTAACATCAAAGATTGTCTAACCTGCCTATAAGGATTATAGCAACAGCAACTAACATTGTTGTAATGCCCTCTAAGTGTTGATAACTGTCGTCCTGTCTGTATCTCATAGGTAGCGATGTTACCTTCCGATGGAACGAAGACATAATCAGACAAACCTCCAGAAGACAATGAAAACTTATAACCCTTTGAAGAAGTATTATAAATTTTTCCAAAATTGACCTATTTAAAAGATACATTTATGTTAAATTTTCCAGCAGCAACAAACGTTGCTACAATGCCAAAATCTGTACAAATAACATTAAATCTATCAAATATTCTATTTTTAAAGAAAATTTTTAATTAGCATTTAACTACCCAAGCTTACCAAGGTATTCTTTCCGTTAGATGCATCCCATAATCTTAGTTCATTATCTGTCCCATAGCTAATTAAAAATCGCCCATCTTCGGTGAAACGAATACCACTTACAGCGCCGTTATGAGAAGTACAAGATCCTAGATAAATTCAAATAATGAAGTAGCATAAATTTATAACTTCAGCCATACTTCCAGAAATAATCCTAGAGATGGAAATATCAAAATGCATGCTCTAATATCAATATACTAACTGGCTTTTGAAGCACTAGTATGCAGCTCTCCGTTATATTGGTCCAGTGCCGCTACAAATCCAGACGCCCGACGAATGTCCCATATAAAAATTCTGTTGTCTCGGCTCAATTGTTAATCGATTTTGATTTATTAGACTTGAAAGAATATTACTAAATAGTATTTACATAGTAAGCGTTAATTTGAGAGGTAATTTCTACCTTCCAGTTGCTAGCGTATATTCTTCAGCTGGTGACCACTGGACAGTATAAACAGAACTTCTATGGCCTAAATAAGAAATAAATCGATGTTGATGCATTTTAAATAGAGCTTCTACATTATTGATTGCAATCTTTATCATAAGTTACACAAGCCGAGTATCTTCTAAGGTTGTAAACTGCTGAAGCAGTATAACATTTTATTAAAGTACCTTTTAAAGAGTGGGTCATTGATCCAGATTTTAAATCGCATAGTACTACTACCTCACGCCTACTTCCAACTATGGAGTGAAGTAAAATTATAGAGATTATAATGCTGAAGTAAGATACTTAAGATAAGAACTTATAGGTTATTGGGCTTTACGTGGTAAGAGGAATAAGCTACCGTATCTATCCAATATCAGCAACGATTATTGAAACTTTTACCTGCCACTAAGTAATGCTGTGTTGCTATTGGCGACATGTGATGATTATAAATAGGTTTTTGGATATTAAATTCCTCCACCACCTATGAGAGAGAAACTTATCTATTTAGACATCTTAAATTCCCAATCGATGCAAAAATATTTAGCTCAATTAATATTATTATGGCATGTTATATGTGTATGCATTATGCTACACATATAATAACTTTATCGGTAACTGCTTTACAGTATATTATTATAGATAAGCTTAGTCAATAGAATAAAATCAATCGTCTTATAGTGAATAATATCAGGATTCCATCTGATATTGACAGGTTAATAATTATAAAGTAAAGGTCATTACATCTAGGTTATTCGTATCCCAAACTTTTAACAAACTATCCATTCCACTGGAAAGGAACATTCCTGTATCATGTGGATACCACTGGATTGTTTCGACGCTATTCTTATGGCAAGCTGCAGACGATCTAACGATACATTTATACGATACTTTAGGGATGTTTTGCAAAAATAATACACTCAATATTTTTATTAAGTTATCACATGAGATCTAAACCATCATTACTAAAGTCTATACGTAAGCCTGTATAGAGGCATCAAGTCTTGAGCAGGTGTAATTATAAACTAATTCTTATAGCAAGCAACGTGAAAGATACAAAAGAAACTCTCGTATTACCTGTCAACGGCGCAAACTGGCTGAAATTCAGATAATACATCATTTGTTGCGTCGTCCAAGTCATAAAGTACGATTAAACCCTCAGATCCGCTAGTCAATAAACTGATTAAAGATAAATAGTAGTATTCTGTTTTTATCGAGCATTTAATTCGCAGTAACAATATCATTGGTAGATTGATCAAAACGGAATAATCACTTAATGCTTACTATTTTCCTTCAGCTAATTCCAAGTCTAAGCAATTGATCCCAGCAGAAAATTTTCTCTTGAAACTGCAAGTTTTGCTAAGTTCCATTGATAAAAGGCGGTGTGCAGCCTGAATTCGAGGTAGAATCGAGGGTGATTCTAAACCGCTTTCTCTTAATCTTAGATGATGCAGCATGATAGGGCGTCGATTGGATTCACTATAATTCTATCCGTTTACCTGTGATACTGTATCTTCAAGCAACAATATTACAAGATATCATGGAAGGGTGCTAATGGTTGCAGTTGAAGATAATTTAATTTATCCCCGTAGGATGGTATCCTTATACAAATACGAGTACCCTAATATAATTGTTGCTGCTGTTTAACGTTGACTTTCGTAGCAAAATCTGAGCTATTACCACGACCATTTGTTAAGCGTTACTCAATGACGATATTTTCTTCTTCTTAATTTAGTATCGAGACAAACAATAAAACTTACTCAATCTATGATCAAAAGTACAACTCCCATTAATTGTAACAAAGCCAATCAATCGATCAATGTATTAAAATCAAAGTGATAAACGGTCATCATGACAACAACACTTTAATTTCAGTAATAGCTGCAGGAGCTACCGTCAAGGTCGATGTTGCTGTTCAGGCTTTGGTCTTTGATGCTGGTATGAGTTTAATCTATAATCAAAAGTACAACTCCCTATTAATTTTAACAATGCCAATCAATCAATCCATTAATTTCAGTAATAGCTGCTGGAGTTACCGTCAAGGTCGATGTTGTTGTTGAGGCCTTCGTCTTTGATGCTGGACACTTTAATTTCAGTAATAGCTGCAGGAGCTACTGTCAAGGTCGATGTTGTTGTTCAGGCTTTCGTCTTTAATGCTGGTATGAGCTAGTTTGACCTATTCATCCAACTTTCTTATGGTGTAGAGTTGAGTATTTGATGCTACTATGAGCTCAATTTATCCATTCGTTGAATTGAACTAGGCCAAATTGGATTTTTGCTAACAACTACCGATGCGATTGCGGAATTACTGCAGTAGTAGTTATGCAAGTTATGGATGAACGAAAGTAGCTGCCTGTAGATCAAGTCTCCATGGTATTTTGAAGTTGAAAGAGGCCAATCTGACCGTAGACACTATCTCATAGTGTTTCTTGTATTACTATGTCATGTATTGGACAGTAACCGACATAATGCTAGCCTTGAAATGACGTAATACGGTACTGTACCGCATATTTAAGTATAGTGTAACGTATCGGCTTTTGCTCAGTACCGTGTTGCTTATATCACTGCGTACGCCATAGTATTACTACTTGGTGCAGACCATCGCGTTCAGCCGAGATGGCTCCTGGCCATGGCAAAGTTGACTTTCCTCTATACTGTGTAGATTACAGAGCTAGGAGCTTATAGTAAACTCCATTACAATAGCCCACTGCTAAGTTCTGTATGGGGTTCTTCCTCTAGAGCAGTTGATACTGAGCTGATCTAAATCTATTTCGTCGTCGTCGTTATGGTAGCCAGGACTTGCAGCTGCAACAGCATTAGCTTTGAAAGAGTGCAGTAAAGTACTACTAAAATTAGGCTCAAGACAGACCAGGTGAATGTCCTGTACTAGCAAGTGAAATTTCCTCCTTCGTCAAGGATTTAGAGGTATCTGTTGCAGTGGATTACAGTGATCACTCAAGTCATCTTCCTTGTTGAATTTCCTATCAAATTAAAGCAATCTCATAATGGTAAGAATATCAAATTTCTGCAGGCATAATCGGTGTTGCCAGATACTTTCAGCATGATTGTACACTCAATTTGACTAGACGAGATTATTAGCTAGCTGTTTCTTCTTGATTTGTCACCCTTAAAAGTATGCGTATCAATAATACTCGTATCATGAATCTTTTAGGCTGATAGAAAGGCAGTAAATAAATATTATCCACCCGATTGGAGACCTGAAAAGGTAATTTATACTTATGAAGATCTTATATTGTATAGCAGCAGCTAATTCAGCACCTACTCTGCATGGCAGTATTGCAACTCTTCAAGCAAACTTTCTTATTCATTCATTTTTCATACTTTCTATTTATATTACAACCAAGTGATGCTATTATTTTAAAGATGTTATTAATTTTCAACGGCCATAGAGAATGATACAACGTCGCCAAGATATTGTTGTCAGTAAGACTATGTCCTAATCTTGTGTATTTCTCACTTATTTCTGTAGGGTTCCATCAATAAATATCGCGGTAGTCACCCATTGAGAGATAGGGCTAGAAAGCTCGATCAAGGCATCCTAATTATAAGGTTTGTGATGAGTATACCTTCTCTAGTTGATTTTACTACGCCAAACCTATTCTTGTTGTATCATAAAATCTCTCATTGATTCATCTTATTGGTAGATGATTTCAATTATTTTATTCCATGTTTGAACAAAAATTATCATTTTCTTTATACCAAAGATTTGAAATGCCATATAATATATGGTGTGATGGTTGTGGTAATCATGTTGGAATGGGTATGTTGATGGAAGACATTATTATTACTATTCAACACTAAACGTTTGAATAGCTTGATACAGAAATAGGTGCAGTACGCATCTCATAGAATATATCATAGTTATAATCTGCAGCTCTTAAAAGTTTGATTATCATTGTGCAATATTGCCCTAATTGGAGATAATTTACGATAATGTACTGTATAAATTTCTAGGAGTTAGATATAATGCGGAAAAAAAGAAAGTTGGAAATTATTATACAACTCCAATTTTTAATTTTCGGATGAAATGCCACTTATGCGAGAATAAGATTGAAATGGAAAATGATCCGCAGGTTTGTAAACAGAAATTTATTCAATAATTATCTGTAACAGGAAGTTGGCTAGTTGGTGATGGTACGATACGTTACGTTTCCTGTAATTCACATCTAAATGCACATAATTGAAGCCTTGGCAAACAGTAACAGTTTTGAAAATAGTAGTGGCGGTGTGTTGCACAAGACTGATACATTTCAGGCTAAAAACTATAGCGTTCTGGATTTGATAGCAGTATAGCTTGTTGCTATATAAAATTTACGATAATGTTTTACCTTAACAACTATAAATTGTAGTGTACAAGACATGCATGTGTTATACTCTATTGAAGTTGTTATAATGTAATTATTGAATAGAATTGATAAAGATGAAGTCACCTTAATATCGGGTATGTGTGTTGTATATTGTTAGAACTGCGATTATAAAATTGTCAAAGGAGCTTCCAGAAAGAACGAGAGGTGGGAGGGTAGTGAAGGATCCATTTCAGTTGATGGTTAGCAAGTTCCTATAGCATTTGTTTTGAACATGCCATATTTCATACCAACTTTTTTTCGCAGTCTATTCATATTATTTTGACTACTAATTAAAAACTTGTAGGAAAAGATGAAAAGAAAAAATTACTTTCAAATGCTATGTACAAATTGGAGCACGATATCGAAGATGCTGAAGCAGGGCAGCAAGCCGCTCCATCTCTAGATAAATTAGAAGTCAGTCTTATATGATATATCCTATTAAATTATACGTACAGGGCTTGGCATTCAACTTTTGTGAATAAGATAAAAACTTACGGGCTAAAAGCATTATATATTCGTAAGTCATAATACGAAAATGTTGTTGTATTTGATCAATTTACAGCGGCATATGGATGTTTGGAAAGACGACTTTTCAGTCAATCAGTTACTACGAAATAAATTTAGGGTAAGTACATCTAAACTACTTGATTCTAATAATATAGGTGTACTGTATTGATGCTGTAAATTGCACAGTGCAATTCTTTATCCGTCATTATTGCATGCAAATAAAGCTATGGGTAAGTTTTCCCTTTCAAATGTTAATAATATAGAAAAATAAAGCAGTAACGAAACAGCAAGCGCTTGATGACGACAAGTTGAAAAAGAAATTTTCTATCGATATATCATTAAAGGAAGAAAACGATGAAGATAAGATTGCTGCGTCAAGGATTAGATTTAATAAAAAGGGTGGTAAGACGTGCAAACATCTTCTCACTTGTGGTGATATTCTTTGTTATTGCTGTAGTCATATTTTTTGGTGTAAACACAGTATTTCGAATATTTTTCAATTTATAGATGCATTCGAAAATAAAAGAAAGCGTAGATTTGAAATTAAAACAAGTTCAATATTTAATGATCCAAAAGCCGAATCATTCGGACGGAAGGATCACCAAAATAAAGGAAATCTATTCAATAAGAAATTAAAAGGTGCTCCTGATCATCCTAAATTTAAATCATTAACAAGTCCTGAAACTAAAGCAAAATTTGGTAAAGCAGCGATCGGAAATACTGCTGGGTCGCTAATAAGGCGAAAATCGAGTGATATTATGGATAAATGTGATAGTTGCAAAGCTGAAAATTCCAAGACTAGTGCTGCAGATAATGATTCATCGCTTGAAGAACAGAATAATACCTTATACGCTTTAGTAAATTATGAAACCGACAGTGATAGTAACTCTGGTCAAGAAGATAGCTGAAGAGCTCTTCAATAAAGTTATTTTATTTATAAGCATCATAACGTTTTGATAGAAAACTTCAGTATGGATATACGACATCTACGAATATGTACATAAATGTGGCAAAAGTCTATAATGTTATAATTGAGTATTACAATCATCATTAAGTTTAAATTATTATTATTTAACAAGTATACAGTACAGTTGCATCGCAAAAATTTAGCAGACAAAGATTTTTGTACAGTCAATACATTTAGCTAAACTTATTATGTGTCAATAATTCTAATTCTAACTTGTGCAGGTACCTTGATATTGTTGACGTAATGTTTAAAAAAATCTTTTAAAATATTAAAACTTGGAACAATTTTTGATTCAATACCTTTGCAAGACAGCAATCATTACCAGCTTATAACGATGCCAAATTTGCAAGGATTAAAAGTAATAGTATATATAGCCAACAGTTAAAATTATTGATGTTGTGTTTGCTTCGAATATTGTACTTGTAAAAGTTTACATCGTTTCAAACCATATTGATATTCAGTTTACGATAAATTATACAAAAATATAATAATTAGTTACAACTCTGCTGTAGTTGCAGATGGCATGGGATCTAAAAGGTGACATATTTGCAAAACATTAGATAGAAGTAATGAATTTTAAGTTACGCAAAAAAGAATCGAATGTAGTCTACTGACCTGATTTCAACTGTAATACTTCTCGACTTCGATTTATAGCTTCCAGTTTGTGTCTAAAGTGATGAAAAGTACAACGTAACGTGTCAGTTGTATTCATCAAAACTGCGCTGACTTGCACGTAAAGTAACACTTACTTGAGAGTTTGTGCTTCATATTCACAGTTATCAGCTAATTGTCGCAAATTCAATAACAGTAGAATCTTTTCTCTAAAATGGAAAATTAGCATTTTACAATCTAGCATTACAAAGATTTTAGCATACCAGCTTACCTTAAGTCATTGAACGCTTGGCATATTTCTTCAGTTGGCATAGGTGCAGGCGCTACATAAGAAAGGGAATTATCAGATTTTTACTCTACATGTGAATACTTACAACCAAAAAGAATTATCTTTACGTTTTAAACTGGAATTACTTACGAAGATCGTATTCTGAAAGAAATTGCTCTACAGCTTTGGTTTTTTTCTGACCAATTGACAAAGGCAGTTTCATCTAGAGAGAGTAAAGAGTGATCAGCGAAAAATAGTACTACGATTCCGGAATTTTAAAAAATAGCGCTCCTACATTCCTAGTCTTACCCTACTGCTGCGAAGCCAAACACCACTAGACTTTTCAGGAAATTTGATGATTGCGGTATCGGTAGATGACTAAAGGAAAGGATATTTACATCATATTTTATAAAAGAATATGGATACATAATCAAATTACAACGTGAACGAATACTCAAATTAGTGGCATTTACTTGATTATGATCTCCTTTCTTTTTCAAAGACTTCTTCTTAGCTGATTTACGGCCTGAAGGGGGATGTCTACAAATAGTTTTCGTATAAATTAATATAGTGTTAGTAAAATAAGTGCAAGTAAGCTTACTGGCATGCGTATGAAATATCATGCAAGCTTACTTTGCTTCTTTCTTCTCATTTGCAGTCATGAGGCGAACGAGCCCTTCCTGTCCTTTGACGCGTTCCTTACGTTGCGCCTCAATCGCCTTAAGCTCTACCATTAGCATTTCTTCTTCTTTAACCTAATAGAATGTATGAAATTGGGATATGGACGAAATTGCATGGTCATGGACAAAAACTATGAAGATATGTCGACTAAACGAAAGCGATACCTCCTCTGAAGTACGATTGTATAACTTTTCGAGTTGAGATTTACGAGAAGCTTCGTGTGCAGCATCGAAAATAAATATTTTTTCGTCTAAACCTCGTGCCTATCATATAGCATGTTAAACATAAAAGTAAAATAGTTATATTATAAAATCGATATTATAGGTCATAATTAACTATTACCAATGGTCCTATAGATAATTAAATTTGAATATGTATCATGTTATGGTAATAGACTAACTTTCATTATTGTAAATAGGTGCAATGAAAAATCTACTAGTTCACATGGAAGCATACCTTTATCAGTCTATTCCTGATATCATAATATCTTTCAATTAGATCTTCCATGGTGCGATTCTGTAATTTCAAAAATGCAATAATTAATTTACTGTTGAACGATATCATGGTCTCTATATTAGTTAGATGATTTAATTAAGATTGATACCGGAAATCGAGCGGAATCAAAACGATCGTAAATGACTACGAATTGCAGATGAAAAGTCCTAATCAAGTACAAAGAACACATTAGCTATTACTATTAACAATTATCACCATTGACCAAGTGAATGAGTCTGGTATTACCTGCAAAGACTAAATAAATGATCTGTTTCTTCTCTAGTCCAATTAGATCCAGTATCATCATGCAAATATTGCTAGAATAGCAATAGTTATCGTTACTTGCCAACCAATTTATATAAAAGGGTTAAAATTAAAAGTAGCTCGGTTGAATCGAATTTACTTACCTCATATTCTTCTGGTGTATAGGTGAACACTTTAGGTTGCTGTTATAAAAATGTAGCGCATTTAATCACGATAAAAAAAGTGACCGGCTGAACAGAACTATTTGAACCGTAAATTGACGGAAAATCGGCTAAAGTACTCACGATATTAAACTTGGAAAAAGCATAAGGCTTCGCAACATCTGCAGCTCGCCTCCAGTGATGAAGGCTTGCTCCATCCTATAATAATATCAATATAAGCTCATAATGGTCAGTCTATTTTTTAACTATTACAGGTACATTTTGAAAACAAACTCTTCGCTATTAGCTTTTTAACAGAAGATTTTAATATAACTGTGTGTGTATGATTCGATTCGATTTGTGAAATACCACTTACAAATGAGTATATATCTACCATAGCACTACAGCTTACGATGCTAGCCGCAAGGTATATATTTTAATTTTAAAGCTTACCGTTCTAGCAGGATTAGAAAAGGGTGCCCAACACCAACGCCTAGCTCGTGAACGTCCAAGCTTAGCTTTCACTTGTTTGTAACCTCCAGAAGTTGTACTCATGTCTTCCACATTTTGTTGCCTAAGTTAGATATTAATTGTACAGTTATTAATCTAAGCAGCCAGAGCTACACAATATAATAAAGATGTTGGTCTATTGCAAAAGTATACTAATGTTTACAAAAACTTTAACGGATAGTGATTCTCAAGCCAGTAATTTTGTTTCATAAAATTTAAACATTGATGAAGTAATAAAATAAAGACAAAATTAACGTTATATTAATTGCAATCGATTACAGCAATACATTAGCATAATCGATCGCCTTTCTAAAATATAGTAGCAATTTTATATATTCCAAAATTGTAATTGAAGTTCATCTTTCTAGAAATTCTTTTCGTGATAAAGGATGAAACAGCCATTCTCTATGCGTATTTCATTATAAACCGGTAGAGTGCAACACTCATGGTCTTCCACTTATAGAGGCAATCTCATGAAATCAGCTTAATAGCTCGTACGATCTTATATTATCGCGAAGGTAATAGCAACAATATTACTTACCCTTTCTCAAAATTCAATAAAGCAAAGACTTCACGATTCATTCCTTCCGGTCGCTTAGCAATAGCCTGAGGTTTAGAGGTCTTCTTGGTCTGAAGATTATTAAAAAGCGGAATCCAGTTATTCGAGATTGTGCATGGATTGGTATTAGTCAAATAGGTTTATACGCTTACATACTCGTGTTAAGACTCAAAAGAGAGAATCCGATATGGTGTCAATGTGATATCATTGGACATCAATGGCAAATGTTAATTATAGAAATCATCTGAACATACATTACGTATTGATGCCTGATGAGATGATACAGCTATGCTAAAACCGTTAATCATACTATGTCTGTAGACTGCAGTTTCAGGTCACCAGTTAATAGGTTTATATTTTATGACGACATCATTTTATTGTGAGCAATGCAATGTGATAAAATGGATGAAATGCTAATTGTCAAGTACTGGATATACTGTATATATCCAGCATATCCCGGATTCTTTGGTTGTTGCCGGGGACTGACCGTAACCTATGCGTACATCGTTATGGACTTCTACTCCATGACAAGTATCATCAGTCGTTCTAGGAGAAGGCTTACAATGATAACGAAATCAGAAGCGAAATATAGACCTGTTACCTAGAAGAATGGATCTGATTGACATGATCGCTGGCATTGGATATGGTTAACTGTAAAAGCTGTTACACTAACAGTACATTACTGTAAGGTAAAGTTGAATTGACTGGGCCAAAAACAACCTAAAGTGAATTGGAGATGTCTAGCCACCTGTATGTACATTTCTTGCATAAGGCGTGCAACTGTATTTCCAGCTATGCTACTGCTACCCTCTATCCTCATCCTCTACGCATATGTATAATGTAGCACTGCAAATTCGATTTGCCCTAGCCATCAATCTAATTTTACTGTTATAGCAGACTATTTTAATCATGCAGATTCTACTAGGGCTGATTGTCCAACAGCAAGGCGAAAATAACCGGTTGATCCTTTGACAACCAACTATGCAACAGCTAGCCCCAATTCTTGCTAAAGGCAACGCTTGTTTATTTATAGCCACGAAACTATTCTGCCGTTATGGTCAACCTTGGCTAGGTTATCCCTGTTACTACATCTGCACATGGCAAAGTACAGTAGGCAATCTAATCATGAAATAACGAAGAAATGATAGTCTATCCAAGAAATTGGGTTCATTTGGCAGTGAGTTTTTTGGTTCTTTTTTCACGGTTCTACACTGGTCTAGTAGTTGCGTAATGTGGAGTCAACGCTCTTCTGTTGGCTCGATTCTGATACTAACTCTTGCCTTCGGTATAGCACAAGACGTGACAGTGAACGTTACTGACTAGACCCATGTCGGCGTCATCATCGCTTTTGTTAGCGATGATTGCATGTCTGCTCAAAGTAATGGAATAGAAAAAATGAAACAATTTTACCTTATTTGAACCAATAATTGCCTCCTTAGTAACTGTTGGACTTTCATTACTTGTTGGATCGTTAATTTCTAAAATTTCTCTCACGTCGGCCATAACTGTATTAATTTTGGCGCTGCAAGTCGAGTGTTGACTGTCAGCCAAGAGCCATTCAAACAGCGCAATGGTACGAGTGAGCTGACGAGTGTCACTATATTGAGTTGGTGACACCGAGAAGTGAGTTGTACCGTCGTGTACGTCACTTCTGGTGCAGCTCATACAAGCAAGGCATTTCATCACAGTAATCCATAGTATGCTAGTGTCATGTACAGTAAGCGTGTTAACACTGCACTGTACAGTACACTGTACTACACACTACTGTACTGTACAGTTGTCCCGTCCTTCCCGCTATTGTCCTAATTCAGTACAGTGACAGTACGATGATCCGCATCACTATGTCGTTGATACGTGAGATATACTGTACTCAGTATCCTCATCGCAACAGTATTTCTTGGCTTGAGCCCAAGCCAACTTCAGTTCATGCGTGACTGACTGATTGCTACGTCTTCCGCATTTCGCATCAGTATTTTTGCTGCTGATGCTAAAGCCAACTTCACTTCATTGGCGACTGATGCTACGTCTTCCGGATCTCGCATCAGTATTTCTTCGGCTGATGCTAATGCAAGCTTCAGTGGATGCGTGGCTGATGCTACGTCTCCCGGATTTCGTATCAATATTTTTGCGGCTGATGCTAAAGCAAACTTCAGTTGATGCGTGGCTGATGCTAAAGCTAACTTCAGTTGATGCGTGGCTGATGCTAAAGCAAGCTTCAGTGGATGCGTGGCTGATGCTACGTCTTCCGGATTTGGTATCAGTATTTTTGCGGCTGTTGCTAAAGCCAATTCAATTCATTGGTGACTGATGCTACGTCTTCCGGATTTCGCATCAGTATTTCTTCGGCTGATGCTAATGCAAGCTTCAGTGGATGCATGGCTGTTGCTACGTCTTGCGGATTTCGTATCAGTATTTTTACGGCTGATATTAAAGCAAACTTCAGTTGATGCGTGACTGATGCTACGTCTTCCAAATTTCGCATCAGCATTGTTTCGGTTGAAGCGTGGCTGATACTACGTCTTCCAGATTTCCCATCAGTATTTTTGCGGCTGATGCTAAAGCAAACCTCAGTTGATGCGTGGCTGATGCCACGTCTTCCGGATTTCGTATCAGTATTTTTGCGGCTGATGCTAAAGCAAACTTCAGTTGATGCATGGCTGATGCTAATGCAAACTCCAGTGCATGCGTGACTGATGCTACGTCTTTCGGATTTCATATCAGTATTTTTGCGGCTGATGCTAAAGCAAACTTCAGTTGATGCGTGGCTGATGCTAATGCAAACTTCAGTTGATGCGTGACTGATGCTACGTCTTCCGGATTTCGTATCAGTATTTTTGCGGCTGATGCTAAAGTACAGTATACAGTACTTCAGTTGATGCGTGGCTGATGCTGATGCAAACTTCAGTTGATGCGTGACTGATGCTACGTCTTACGGATTTCGTATCAGTATTTTTGCGGCTGATGCTAAAGTAAACTACAGTTGATGCGTGGCTGATGCTAATGCAAACTTCAGTTGATGCGTGACTGATGCTACGTCTTCCGGATTTCGTATCAGTACTTTTGCGGCTGATGCTAAAGTAAACTTCAGTTGATGCGTGGCTGATGCTGATGCAAACTTCAGTTGATGCGTGACTGATGCTACGTTTTCCGGATTTCGTATCAGTATTTTTGCGGCTGATTCTAAAGTACAGTATACTTCAGTTGATGCGTGGCTGATGCTAAAGCAAACCTCAGTTGATGCGTGGCTGATGCTACGTCTTCCAAATTTCGCATCACTATTTTTTCGGTTGATGCGTAACTGATGCTACGTCTCCGGATTTCATATCAGTATTTTTGCGGCTGATGCTAAAGTAAACTTCAGTTGATGCGTGGCTGATGCTGATGCAAACTTCAGTTGATGCGTGACTGATGCTACGTTTTCCGGATTTCGTATCAGTATTTTTGCGGCTGATGCTAAAGTACAGTATACTTCAGTTGATGCGTGGCTGATGCTACGTCTTCCAAATTTCGCATCACTATTTTTTCGGTTGATGCGTAACTGATGCTACGTCTCCGGATTTCATATCAGTATTTTTGCGGCTGATGCTAAAGTAAACTTCAGTTGATGCGTGGCTGATGCTGATGCAAACTTCAGTTGATGCGTGACTGATGCTACGCTTTCCGGATTTCGTATCAGTATTTTTGCGGCTGATGCTAAAGTACAGTATACTTCAGTTGATGCGTGGCTGATGCTAAAGCAAACCTCAGTTGATGCGTGGCTGATGCTACGTCTTCCAAATTTCGCATCACTATTTTTTCGGTTGATGCGTAACTGATGCTACGTCTCCGGATTTCATATCAGTATTTTTGCGGCTGATGCTAAAGTAAACTTCAGTTGATGCGTGGCTGATGCTGATGCAAACTTCAGTTGATGCGTGACTGATGCTACGTTTTCCGGATTTCGTATCAGTATTTTTGCGGCTGATGCTAAAGTACAGTATACTTCAGTTGATGCGTGGCTGATGCTACGTCTTCCAAATTTCGCATCACTATTTTTTCGGTTGATGCGTAACTGATGCTACGTCTCCGGATTTCATATCAGTATTTTTGCGGCTGATGCTAAAGTAAACTTCAGTTGATGCGTGGCTGATGCTGATGCAAACTTCAGTTGATGCGTGACTGATGCTACGCTTTCCGGATTTCGTATCAGTATTTTTGCGGCTGATGCTAAAGTACAGTATACTTCAGTTGATGCGTGGCTGATGCTAAAGCAAACCTCAGTTGATGCGTGGCTGATGCTACGTCTTCCAAATTTCGCATCACTATTTTTTCGGTTGATGCGTAACTGATGCTACGTCTCCGGATTTCGCATCAGTATTTTTGCGGCTGATGCTAAAGCAAACCTCAGTTGATACGTGGCTGATGCTACGTCTGGCAAATTTCGCGTCAATGGAAGAAAATGCAACTGTAGCACCATGGACTCCCAAGGTATTTGGTCAGTTTGAGGAGTCCATGGTAGTACCTTATGCAAGAAATGTGTCGTAGATAGAAGCTGATGATGAGATGGTTTGACCCATATCACAGCCTAAGGTAGCAGCGATCAGGCTCCTTAGACAAACTCTTAAAATATCATTTTGACGAGCCTATGGTAGTACTGTTCATTATGCAGAAATGTGTAGAAGATAGAGACTGATGATGAGGCGTCTTGGCTCATATTACCAACCGAACATAGTAGTAGTCAGGTTAATAAACTCGAAGATACCTGGTCATTTTGAGGAGTTCTTGCTAGCTAGCATACAGTACTATGCAAGAAATGTTCAGTAGATACAGGCTAATGACTGGACAGCTCGAGTCGCTCGACTTATATTACGAGTATAAGGTAGCAGCGGTCAAGCTCCCTAGCTAAACTCCTAAAATATCATTTTGAGGAGCCCATGGCAGTGCTATTCATCGTGTAGAAATGTATAGTAGAGAGAGATTGATAATAAGGCGGCTTGACTCATATAACGAACCTAACGTACAGCAGCAGCAGTCAGGTGAATGGACTCCTAAGATACCTGGGGTCACTTTGAGGAGTGCTTGGTAGTATACTATGCAAGGAATATTCAGTAGACACAAACTGATGATGGGACGGCTCGAGTCGCTCGACCTATATTACGAGCCTAAAAAGGTAGCATCGGTCAAGCTCCTTAGCTAAACTCTTAAAATATCATTTTGAGGAGCCCAAGGTAGTACTATTAGCAGCGGTCAAGCTCCCTAGCTAAACTCCTAAAATATTATTTTGAGGAGCCCAAGGCAGTACTATTAGCAGCGGTCAAGCTCCCTAGCTAAACTCCTAAAATATCATTTTGAGCAGTCCATATTAGGACTATTCATAGTGCAGAAATGTATAGTAGAGAGAGACTGATAATAAGGCGGCTTGACTCATATAACAAACCTAACGTACAGCAGCAGCAGTCAGGTGAATGGACTCCTCTAAGATACCTGGGTCACTTTGAGGAGTGCTTGGTAGTATACTATGCAAGGAATATTCAGTAGACACAAACTGATGATGGGACGGCTCGAGTCGCTCGACCTATATTACGAGCCTAAGGTAGCATCGGTCAAGCTCCTTAGCTAAACTCCTAAAATACCATTTTGAGGAGCCCATGGTAGTACTATTCATCGTGTAGAAATGTATAGTAGATACAGACTGATAATAAGGTGGCTTGGCTCATATAACGAACCTAGCGTATGAGTGGCAGTTAGTCTGATGAACTACTAAAATACCTAGTGAGCTTGAAGAGTCTAGGCTAGTACATTATGCAAGAACTGTTCAGTAGACAGAGGTTGATAATTAATTAATGGGACGGCTCAACTTATATTACGAGCCGTCGGTAGTGGCAGTCAAGCTCCTTCGTTAAACTCCTGAAATATCATGCTGGCTTCATTTGGCCCTAGTAGTTATTACCGCCAAATTAATTATCAAGTCTAAGCATAAATTCTAGTATTCTACCTTTTAGTTACAATAACGGAAGTTTGTTGATGGAACTCCATTTCTTTTCGACCTATGAGCTAACTTTATCTCGTTTTGTGTACCGATACGAGAATAATACTGTAGAATATTGACCATAATAGCATCGAATACATAGTAAAATTCATCATATATAGTGGCCTATATTGCCAGTCAACAATAAAAGTCAAAGACCTTCTGTAGGATCAAGTTCGTTGTCAAATAAGAGAGTGAGCCTGAATTGGTTTGATAATATAAAATTATTTTATTACGGATAATATCTAGTAAACTATCGTATACCGCAGACTGGATCTATTGAAAATGAAGTAATTTGGAAATCAATCAGTATAGAATAATTTGAAAAAGCTATAACTAGATAAATACTCCATTTAATCGTCAATTTCAGCGGTAAAACGTATCAAAAACAGATACCAGCAGCTAAAGTAATCAAGCTAACTGATATATTAACTGTAAATAACAATAGCTATATTAATATAATTTTCTTTCGTTTCGATAATCATATAAAGCTCAGCAATATTACAATTATAACAGTGTTAGTGGAATAAGAAAAGATTCAAATCTCGATCATACCAATAGAATATTTGTATATTACCATCAAGTAATATTGTATACTGGAATTTATAGACAAAACATATATATTTATCTTTCATTGCTTTGCGTCATTTTACTATAATATTCAATATGTCAAAATAACACCTTGAATATCTTACTAGATTGCATTTGATAAAAATAGAAAAATTAGGAGTTTGAAGTATCTTAATTGATTTAGCTCAATTTTTGCTATAATAAATTTTAGCCATATGGAGTATCCGAGTTGTAAAAGATTTTTGTCGGATGGCAGTAGAAAAATAAGAATGATAAAGACAACATCCGACAATGAAACAAGGCTATCAAACATTAAAAAATGAATATTTTCAATATTTTACAATAAGTATGTATATTTAGATGTATTTATAGATTCATCTATAGAAAAAGAAAAATAGAATGATAAATTAAGTATACATATTTATAACAGATGCTTAATACTTCCGATGAAGCATCAGTAATAGCAGCCATACTATGATATTTGAGCGAGTTATGTGATTCTCGCTTGAATATTAAAGTAGATATGGAGTTACTCGTTGGCAACAGATTGTAAAGGCTACCAAGTCAAATAAGTTACCACAGTCGATTTATTCAGGAAGATTGCTCCAATAGCGAAACTAGCTTATCAGCAATAGCGCTCCTACTATGATATTCGAGCGGGTTATACGGTTCCTTCTTCAATATTAAAGTAGATATTGGAGTTGTTTGTTGGCAAGAGATTGTGAAGGCTGCCAGGTCGAATAAGTTGCCACAGTCGATCTATTTATGAAAATTAGGTCAAAAACGAAGCTAGGTTATTATCTATTGAAGTGTAGATGCTCAATAGCTAGCGATCGTAGAATAAAAAAATTCTTGATATAATATGGACTGCAAAACCTGAAAACAGTTCTACATACCTGCTAGAATTAGCCTGAACTGTAGTATCTGCAGCTATTTTAGCTTCGCATGCAAATTGATAGACGATTAATAAGCAATCGCGACATAACTTTACAATCCTCCGACAGCAATTCATTTCCACCTACATAGTAGAAGGATATAACGAAATGTTACTGTATTAGCATAATCATATGCTGTCTTATACGATATTGACCAATATTCGTGATATAAAAATGCCAATTAGGCTATTACTGAAGAATCTTTTTTGCTAATATAAAGTATTTTATTACTCTTACCGTTGAAATACTTTCAGTACTTTTATTAAAAATCACCTCCCATGAATTACTATAAGTAAACATAATAACATTGATATCAGTTAAATCAAATTAGCCAAAGTATCAGTATGTTATTTGTAATATGCTCATAGGTAGCTAATTTACCCGATAGATGAGAAACAATTCCATAGTCCTTGGCCATGGCTCCATAATAATCGATTAAATACGCGGTTAAAGATGCGATTTAATCTTAAATTTTCTATATCTTGACTTCTCCAGATATACTGTAGTACGGAGCCAATATTGGTTTTAACAATATCGACAACCTTAATTGCATAGTTACAACAGTATTAGAATAGTTAATGTTATATCAGTAGTAAAACTGATTGTTAGCAATACCAAAACAAACTGATATAGTTTTATCAGAGAATAAAATTATATTAAGTAATCACCTTCTTCCTCTTAACTGTGTCTAATTTAACTAGCCAATAAGATGCAACACGAGGCTTGTGAAATTTCCAGTTATCCTGTAACTATATTAGAGAAGTTTATTGATTAGACATTAATCAATCAATTAACTATTCATACAGTTTACAATCGCTTTAACTACTTTCTTTTTCTAAAATTTCTAACCTACAACGCGAACTAGAATACCAAAATTATCTTTTGACTATATATTACATTTCTGAATAATTTTAAATTGGAGTGATGTAAAAAGAAATAGTAGTATCCGGGCTGAAAATTAATTTATTCAACTTAGATAAAATACTAGTAGATATTCATATGTAGTAAGAATAGTATTATCAAACTCTAGAGCTACTAATATGCTCTAAAGAAAATCTTTTTAGATACCCTAAGCTGCAAACAATAGTAAAAATGTGAACTACATTTTTTGTTATGCTACAAGCCATGGCAGAATACCATATAATACATGACAAGTTCGTACTCATATTCAAATTATTTAAATCTTACAAAAAGAAGTAGAAAGTCAAATAATCGTATAGCCAAATACTATAGCATATGGTTATCAAGATTCTTATTAAACTAAATCCCTATTCTTATGCCTATTTGACCATATTTTTTATGCAAGTGTTAAGAAAGAGTAAATTTAATTTTTTTGGAAAGGAGATTATTGCTAAGCTATTATACATAGAAATAGCATGCACAGCAGGTTGCCTAAATAATCTCCAGTATTTCTGCTAATACTTGCTCTAATATAGTATGATACATATTTTAAATTCTTACCAACTGAAGAATTAGTTTAGCTTCGTCATCGCTCTTTCCAGGGAATTTAATTTTCATTTCATTTAGAGCTATAAAAGTGCGGTTAGTCAATTCTTCTTCTCGTTGCTTAATAGCAGCTTTGATATAATCATCATCCTAATAGTTGGTAAGCAATTTAGTATTAGTATTGCTTATTGTAGCTTCGGTTATGAATAAGCAATTAATCATTGATGAAAAAATCATTAGATTACTATTGCACAGGTTTTGCTCAAATAGGGTGGATTATTGACAGTCGGTTTCTTATTAGTTCGCACTAATTTGGGTTTATCTTGTTTACTAACAAGATTGCTACTATCGGGTGTAATTGATTTATTAGCAACTGAATTGGTATCTCTTTCTATTTGGCTGGGAGGCATTGAGGATAACACCTAAAGAAGAGTAGAAACGTGACAAGTTTATTTTATTGCCAAAATTAAACGGCATTATTGAATAATCTATTGGGTTATGCGTTACTACCTTGGGACTTTTAGGATTTTGCTTTTTATCCAAGTCAATTTCCATCTCACATTGTTCCAACATATCAAGAATTTCTTCCTCCTTTATATAGTAAAATAGTAAGGGAAATATAGTCATCAGCTATATATTAAATGAATGACAAGTATTTATTATTTTGTGGGGAAGGATCAGCAACATCACGTTAGTAATAGACGTTAAAAATTGAGGAAAAGTCTCACCTGTAGGTATTTTAATGCTACGCAATTATCTTTACTAGCAATTCCGGAGCCTAAAGTCGTTATTTATGGAATTCATTAAGGAACTCTCACATATTAATTATTTGAATTAGCTTTAATTAACAGATGTTTGCTTAGATTAAGATTATGAAATATTTAAAATTTTTAAAACACATAATAAATTGTAATAATGTTGAGAAAGTCAATAATGTTACAATCTCATCATTCATGATAAATTTACCGGATAAAATAACTTTATGGGCAGCATCAATCATTGCTTCATATTTATCGTTGACTTTGCTATCGTCTGTTGGATAAATCCGTCGAAATCCACCCTAGAGCAATAAATTAATACGTTAGACATAAAATGGCAACATTTCAAAGTGGATCATGCAGATGAGGAGTAAATTCTCAGTGATTCCAGCATGTGAGTTATTTACCAAGTTTTTATTTTCATACTCTTCTCGAGCATTCTGTATTCGTATCTGATTTAATCGATCTCGCTAATCAAACCCATAACAAAATATTTTTTTCGTTTAATACACAATTTACCATATCGCCCTTACTGTCAAGGGAATTAGCCAATATTAACCAATAGTGACTTACTAAATTTTCAATCCTTCTCTCAATTAAGTCCTTTTTCTTTTCTTTATCCTATTAATAAGAACAGAATTTAACAAATACAGTAGTTTCGTTTTTTTCAATTAGACTAAATCAAGGCAAGATTAGAGCTTGCAGATCCAATTTAATACGAACATTTTTCCAACTTACAGTTTTCTCTTTTCGACTACGTTGAGTTGGTCTTAATAATCGTCGTCGTACTTCTGCTTTTTGGGCAGCTAAGCCTTTTCTACGATCACTTAATTTAATATTAACTAATCGCAATGTGTCAGTCAGAAGTCTACTTTTAATATCATAATCAATTTTTCCATCGGTGCCAAAACTAGGAGATCGATTAACCTAATTATAGAGACATTGATTAATATAACGCTATTAGCGGTAAAAATAGATGTCTGAATGTCCTTACCTCTAATAGCCATGGTCGTAATTTTCGATCAAGAATAACATCAAATCCAAGAATTTCGAAACACGAGCTAATGGATGTTCCTAGTGAATTAGCCCGGCAAGTTCGATAGATATGAAGTAAATGAGGCGCAGCAGCAATAATTGTCTTGATAATAACATCCTAGTTAAGGTAAAAGCCAGAAATGAAAGAATGCATTAAGTACTGAATATAGCTGAGGCATAATTTGTATCAAATCGAGCTTCTAGGTTCATTAATATTCTGTTTATGTGTCTATCAAAGCTTACTGCTATATTATTCCATAGCTGCGTCACGCTGTAGCCATGTTCTCTTAGCCATGTATTAAAAAATTTAATAGATCTAAAATTGATTTAATCGTTGAGAAAGAAAATTGAATAAGTTGCTACCAATAGAGATTAGAAGTGCTGAAGCTGTATTTGCTTCTTTTTGTCAGTAGTGAAGTAATTTTAAACACCTTTTCGTGCCTCTGTCATGCTCGTCAGCATTATCGAAATTTTCGCTATGTTTGTTGATAGAATAATTGGTTAAATGCATAAATAATTTGTCCTAAAAAGCGCAGAAATGAAATGAATTTTAATTTTAATATGATATTTTGTTTGTCAAGGTACTGCAATTCGTATAGATTTTAGTCGTAAATTGAGCAGTGATGTAAAGGAACAAGTTGAACAGGAAATCGTTGAAACAACATTAAATTTATATCCGTTCGTTGATATAAGTTAAGGAATAGATATTCAGGTTATCAAGAAACAGTAGATTAAATTAGGCAATTAAATAGCCTGTAGTTCTTTTTCTTACTATATTATGATCAGATGGTACTGTATAGGGTTGTGTACTTAGTCTGACCTGTAAAATGTTAAAATAAAACAATAATTAATCAGATCAATGTTAATTATATTAGAAATTAACTTTAGCCTTACAAGCTGTAGGTTATCTTAACTTACCAAGCCGTCGTCAAATAGAAATATTCTTAACGGATCGCATGAAGTCACCAATACGTAAATTCGTAGATCAAATTTTAACCCATCAATCAGCAAGGGCTAAAACGGTTACATTAACATAAAATTAATTGGACGTTAGGGAAGATGTACTTAATAAAAATCATCATACTTCATCCAAAAATATAAAGGATAGATATGATTTAAAAATGTGAGAGATACTAGGATAAAGAAATTCCTAAGTCGCTGGAAAAATTATTGATTTGTGTCTTACAAGCAGACTTTGCTAATTAATATTTCCACAAACCTTTTCCATATATTCTTGAACAACGTAGTTTTCATTCCAAGGAATATTTTCAGAGTTTCTTGTTAGGGTGATACTGTTATTATATTTGTAAAATTTTAATTAATATGATAAATAACTGTTGTTACCAATAACATAACTAAAGTAGAAAGATCAGAAGCTTTGGTAAGCTAATTTCATTACCCATTTCCCATAGCGCCGTTGGACGGTTTACAGATGAAGGTTCTTGTTTTTTTTCGCTTTTTTAATTCTCGACAATAACCTTGATAAGCATTATATCTGGTAGAAATAGTGTTAAGGAGGAATAGCATCGAATAAAGTTGTCATAACGATGAAATCAACTCTGGTATTGATTGTATGTAATGATAGAATTGAATTAGACTTTAGTTGATAAAGATACTCGGCAGGTAATATCCAAGTTCGAGGAAAGAAACCATAATCATCTGGCAATTCTTTTACCATTCTGTATTGAAAATTTGAAAATTTATTTACAACCAATTAAGGTTGGGATAAATTTAGAAAAAAATCTAACTATTGATATGAGAAACTTGGTAAAATTTATTAAAAACTAATTAGTACTGGCTTATAATAATGAAAGGATACGAAGATTGTAAACTAGGCAGCAATAGTTACAAACTATACAACACTTACTTTTGAAGGTTCCTTGCTAAACTGTCCTTACGACATATTTCTCCCATACCAGGGAAATGATTAACTCTCTAAATTGAATACAGGACGATATAATATTGCTGTTACAGGTAGTAATTTATTATATGATAAAGTATACTGTAATCCGAGATTTTAATTTAAAGCGGTATGCGAATCATTTGAGGGTTAATCAAATGTCTGCCTTTCAAATTATCTACCAATTACTTTGTTTTTAAATAAAACTACCCAGAAATTCTCTAAAAGTAATACTTTCTGCATCATATGATCATAAAACACAGTAACCAAAGGTAACATTTGATAGTCTTTGTTTGCAATGATGTAAAGCAAGGAGTTAGAGACTAGGTTGTATCGCAGTTTGAAGGCAAGGATGCAAAAATACTACAAAAATGAATCGATAAATGCTAGAAAAGATTCAACGTTCAACTTAGAATGGATCGTTTCTTATTCTTAGTATAGTAATCGTTAATTCCTTTTAAGGATTATAATATCAAATAGGGTATCGAGTAAATGCTACAATTTCTATTTTTTGAATTACCTGATATGGCTTAAATTCGGCAATTCGTTCAGCAGGAAGGGCAGTATCACACCAGAATAGGAAACTAAATCGAAAAATTAATAGAAATCAATCCGTGAATTCATTCTCGCAATTGCTCGAATAGTTTTAAATCCTAATTAAGAATATGAATTGTTCTAGTCTTTGCGACTTAATTGAGCATAGTGAATGAAAAAATTAATTAAATTATTGATCCAATTTTTACCTGCTGAGATCTTCATCTTTAGATTGGATCATTCCAAAACGCTCAAGTGTTACTTCTTTAACTGTAAAAGCAGAATACACATATCAAATGACAACATCCGTCAATTCTTTTATGTTATAAAATTTACATTTGATGTAGTCAATCGGTGTTAATAAAATTAATTGTGGTCATTTATTGACCAGATGTAGATGATGAGACTATTAAAATAATTGAATAACAGAAAGTTTGTCTACATAAGCTTTGTCCTGGTATGTCATCAACTTCCACTATTAATCAATGATTTGCTTCTTTACTGCTGAAAAATTATTCCAATAATAGCTCATTCTTTACTTCTCTCGTCTCTAACGATGATGTGTAGAAAAGTAAAATATACTTGACAAATGTAGATTTGATTAATCAGCATATAATGAATACTATTGGAGTATTGGATTATATTCAAAAATTAAAGGGAATTGGAATGAAGAGACTATCAATTGATTTCATAACAAAGAGCTAATCCTTATAAACTATATCTCGATTTTTCACTAGTAACAATCACTTCGCTCTTTGTTCGCCAATTTTGGTTCAATAAAATTTGTTCAAGTTTTCTCTACTACTCATATGAAAAATATCTCAAATAAAGTCATTAATAAATTATTCTAGGTTAGATAGAGAATCTTTTGACTGGTCTACTGTTTTATTAAAATTAAGAGTCCCTTATGTAGCTGTATCCGTAAAAATAAGGCGTGAAAAGCATCACAAAATAAATTTATAATGCTATATTGATATTAATAAACTGTATGGAGATCTTCAAGTAAACTTGTTATATTGATTGTTCAGCTCTTTACTAATAACATTTGACTTCAATTATGCTCTCTATCGCCATTTATTTTAATATTATGACTATTTTATTTATTAAGTATATCGTTCTCAATTCTGCTTTATCGTACTCATATTAGACGAAAAGTTTTCTTTAAATCTTCATGACCAACTGTCTAAACAGTAAAAACTTACCAATATCATATTTAGTGCCGGACAGATTAATCGATATTGCACGCTTCTTTTTGCCTTTTTTACGTGTAGTTGATGTAGTTGTTGTTTCAGATGGTCTATAAGAAAATGTTTTAGATGGAGTTGATTCACTTTCCATTTCATATTCTTCTTCTTCTTGTTGCATATTGGCGGCCAACAAGGCATTACTATTTGATAATCCGTTTGCTTGCATCCTTCAGTTATTCTGTTATTATGTAACATTTAAAACCTGGTTTTATTGCTTGGTTCGATTAAGACACTTCGCACCGATTAGTAAACGATGAATGTAAGGTTAAATCTTTCTACGCTCAAAGACTAAAGCTAATTATTAATGATTTGTCGTAAATAACATTCATATGATCGTATTACAAATTAAGGCAGGTTGGATAGATTTGAGGCTTTACTTTAGCCGCCCTATTGCTAATGATAGGCTGGAACGAAAGTAATTAACAAAATCGTCGGTACATTAATCTACAGATTACTTCACTGTTACTATTATAAACAAATCTAAAATAAACGGTACAAAAGAATAGCTTTAGTAGGATAGATTAATGTTAGTGTATTGTAGTCAGCATGATCATTACTTATACAGTAATTTAGTGGGCATACCAAGTAAGGTAAAAAGAAGGAAAATTTTAAAGATAGATTAATTTCACGTTAGTAATCGCTGTGCTGCCTCCAAAAAACCTTGATAGTACAGTATGATCAAATTATAAATGAGTATAAAATAAGTATCAAGCTACTTAAGTTTGATATTAACCATAAGAAAAGGGATAAACGCGACAGGAAATAAAACTGTGAGCAAAGCAAATGTAAACACTGTAAAGTATGATATCAAGGACCAATGTCACGATGAAGTAGTGTGCGTATTTTTAGGGTAAACATCTAATCTCGTTATAATTTTAGATAAGTAAATCTTGTCATAGCATTGGGGTTAACATCTAACTAAAAATAGATAACATTGAATACCATAATAAAGAAGAAGTGGATAGTAATCCAAGATGATAAATTACAAATGTCATAGGATATGAAGCAGCTACTTAATCAAATTAGACTACGGTTGGAAAATGTTGTATAAAGGTTATTTTAACCGCAATCAAAGTTGATCAAAATCAGGGTAATCTTGTTGGTACGGCTGACTAGCAATATAACCAATATTTACCTTCTTTCTTGGTTCAAAAATGGGTTAACATAACAAGGACGAAAGCTTTCCTAACTATGTCCGCATTTAGATTTTTAGTTGGTGATATGAAAATGATTTAGGTAATTCTATAATTTAATTAGGTCAATTTAGTTTGCCACCACGGGATCAAGTTAACTGTGTTACTATAATACGTTTTAATCTTCAGTTTAACGACAGCTCTTCAATAATTCCCTATCTATCACTACATTGATCCTCGCTATAAGTTTATGGTCGCCTAGCAACACTAACATAATCAGTTATCGTCAATATTGTGAATTATTCATTGGCGAGGTGGATGCTATTTTATTGGATCAATATTTCTACACTTAGACAATAGGCATTAAAATAAAAATCAATTGATTGTTAAACGTTGGAGTAGAGTTGTGGTTATACAAATGTATTACTTATCGACAACATGGGATCATGTTAATAATAAAGAGTTTAGTCATGGGTACTCTAATATCAATATGATGCTGTGACTGGCATCTCTCCTGCTGGAAGGCATGGCTTATGAGTTAATTACATGTATCAGAACATAATTAAATATCAGAGTACATTGTCGGCTTTCTAGTTAAGTTAGATTATGTCAATAAAGTCACGCTATTTACTAGATCCTAATTATCTAAATAAAACCTTTATATAAATCCATCGGATAGAGATATGAGTTTAATATACGTTTACAAGTAATTACCTATGTTAGGATTAGTTTAGGTATACACTTAATAATGAAATCCTTATCGAACCATGATAGATAGCTCATAAACGCTTTTGGATTGATTTACAAAATATTGACATATAGAATTGGATGTTATCATGCTATACGTAAAATAGGTAATTGAATTCTAATTAACCAAACAAGGCATTTGCATACACTTTTGGATTGATTAACGAAATATCGATAAATAGAATTAAATATTTATCATGTTATACCTGAAATAGGTGAACGAATTCTAATTAACTAAGCAAGGCCTTTGCATGTGTCGGTTGTATAATGCTTTTTAACTAGTAATAATTTATGTATACGCCTAATAATTAAATCTTTATGGAATGATGCCATATAGTTTATCAACATGTTAGAATTGACATATAAATATGGACAAGTAGAGCTGAGAGCTTTATCATATCATTTAATACGAAAATATGAGCTACGCCAATTTACTATACAAAAAAATTACAATAAAATGTGTTTGCAAGTGTTTATACGTTTGCCATTTATAAATTAAACTTGAGATAAGTAGTTGAAATTATTTTACAGATGATGAGACAAAATTTATAAATCTTTCGGTATTATTTTTCTGATATATCGAAGTAGAATTAAATGATATGGCATAGAGTATAACGTAATATTACTATTTAGTTGCTTCTAACCAGGGATTAGTTAATTAAATAATACATTTATGTGAGTCCATCAAATCGAAAATCACGATAATATTCATTTAAAAGTGATTCTATCTTTAAAGTTACGGCTAGCTTGGATGTAGATTGAATAATTAAATTTCTTTTCAATCATGAGATACGATTTATAAACGTTTCGGAATTGATGTACTATTTAGGTAGCAACATGACCTGAAAAGTCACATAAACGACTTCATCATCGCTAATTTCAATATATAGCAAGACTTTTATATGAATCTGCCGGATAGAAAGATCAGATAGATATACACTTAGAAGTGATTTTACATTTTAAAGTGGTGTAAAGTATGATCAATTAAGGCATACGTTCGGATAAGTAATAATAACGGTATTCTATTCCAACGATTACATATATACAGTACAGTGGATGGAAATTATTAGTATTAGCTTCGTAATTTGGATAAAACGTGATTTAGTGATTTTTGATGTAATTTACTAGGTGTGATGGCTTCATTAAAATTAATTATTGAAGCGAAATTTATCATACTATAAACATAGATCTCTTCAACTTTTTGGACTAGAAGCACCGCAATTTAATTTATTTTCCCTCGGGTAGTATTTAGATTGCTAACTTGTGTAATTCTGAAGCTTGCAAAAAGAACGAATTACTTCCGGTTAGATAGGGATTATAATTGTAGCTATTACAGTAAAATAATCCCTGAATATTTACGATATTGACTGAATTCAAAATAATATTAAAAGAGGTAACAGTTTAAGTAAGTATAAACTAAAAATTACCGTAAACGCTTTAAAATACTGGATAGAAAGTCTCTCTAAGGGGTTCGATATAAGGAAAGAGCTGATTAACATGTATGAGTAGCATTAACAATATTTGAACTATCATAAATAGACATTGTGATACTCACTCTATTGTGTCGAAGACGAAATACGATCGGGCATTAAAAGAATGGTCGATTCTTACATATAAGAGGGGACTTTAATTATATACCAGAAATATTTAGTGTTCTTGCTTCTAAAGAGATATTATAAAAGAATTGGATAGATTCGATGCTATACAGCAGTTAAATTCAGAACAATCAAGGTATCTTTTTATAATAAAATTATTGTTTACCTTAGTTTTCATGATGTAAATTCATCTTACCATAAAGGTTTAGGTTATTTCGTACTCTTTTTTATTTCTAGGTAGATCCTGGCCCTAGTTACTGTTTTCTGTCTAAAAGCGCAATAAAAAGCGTAGCTTGTGTATCGATCGAAGCAATAAGTCTCTATAGGGTGGAAAGATCTCACTTAATTAAAATATTGTTTTATCTGCATTTTATTAATTTACTTCCTCCAACATTGGCTATTCAAATGATATTTAATTTACCAAAGTCTTTAAAAGAAAGATTTATTGTTCTAGTATAGATGCTGGGAAAGAGTAAGATCTGCAATTATAATACCCAATCTTATCTTACAGCTACATAATAAATCCTTCTAATTTGATAATTTGATTAACTTTAAAAAAATAGTTTCAATTACTTTGAACATAATTGAATTAAAAATATAGTAGCATTATGTTCAATGTAAGGAAGATGTTCAAGAAATGATAAATTTTTTGAATTTATTAATATAATCAGGCAGGAAGGATTTCTAATGATTAGATGTTTAATACTTTGCACTGGGTGCATGTTAGGGCGATGTTATATCATGATTGTAGAGTTCTAGTAGAGCTGTGTGAGATGAATGCGTTATTATGATTTAGAAAATCTGGAGTCGTTGTTAATATCTATTTTCATATGCTTGTGTTATTAATTTTACAACGATATAATAGGATAAGCTAGTTCTGTTTTGTATACAAATTTTCTTTATTGCCGCATTTTATAATTACAATTCACGTGCGTATTTTTGGATTAATATCAATCTGAAATATTAAGTCTGTTGCCACCCTGTTGCATGCTATAACTAGTCGTCCTTTGTATAAATTGAACAGGTTCAATCGAGAAGTATTTGTGGTTGTAAGAGTTATATATTACGTCCGATTTCGATATGTTGGAGGGGAATATTCTTCATAGCTAATTGCAATGGACTGTAGGCTGCAGACTATAGCATGGGTTGATGATGTAGTTAGTGATACTGTATCCTAATTGTACGATATCATAAAATAGTGAAAAATTATTTATATTTTAGTATCAAAAACTCTTATCTGTTATTTGAATTCATTACCTACTGCAGCCGTTATTGATGAATTAAGGCATCATAAATAATAGTTACTAACTTATCAACGTTTAAGACATAGTCGTCGATAGCTTAGCTGCTGCAATGTATGGATTACTTGTATTTTTAGCGATTACTAAGTTTATTTTACTAAATATTAAATATTTTACTTTCGACTTAGTTTAATTTTTGAAATAGCGCATAAAAGTGTTCATCAATCTCCTGACGAGATCCCCTCGATATTAGAAACATAATTTTGTGAATAATAAATTGTAATATTAAAGATTGTGAAGTTCATAGTTTAGATAGTTGTCTTTAGCAGTAAAATGGATTGAGTATTATATTCTATAACGTATAGAACAAACGAAAGTATTAACATCTGTATATCGTAAAGCAAATATAACACATTCTATCCATCTGTTGTATTCTATAGAATCTCAATTATAAAGATAGGGTTAGAAATATCAGATCAATCAGTAGAGTAAAATTTCTGTGAGATAACATTGTACTGGTGAAACAGCAAATGATAATTTATAAGACAGCAAAATATTATCACGAATGCAGCGATTTAAGCATAACTACATCAAAATCGAATGCAATGTATATAATATATTGAGCAAAAATAAGTATTGACATGAATATCATTTCTTTCTCATAAATTTAAAGTCATAATCAAACTTTTTGATATTTGAACATTAAGCGAATGTTGTTAGTGCGAAGAGACATAGACAATAAATAATGATATAATTAGTAATATGGCTGGAAGTCTAGGGCCATGGTTTTTTGCTAGATCTTAATTAAGACAAACTTAAGTTTCATCAAACAGTTTTCGTAGTATTTGGGGCCTTTGTGATGGTGGTGTAGAAAAGAAAGTTTTTTGCTCATCTGAATAACGAGCCACGACACCAGGTAAAACATCGCGAAAGCTCCAATCCCTCCAATGAAAATTATAAAGATTTAATAACCTGATGCGATCTTGATCGGTTTTAATCATATCTGGTGGATCTACTTGAGCCAATTTATTAGCGTTGACATCTTCAAATATGATTACACCTCGTAATGCAAACCAACCACCATACTTTGGATGCACACAGGTACCATAGATACGCTGTGATTCATCCCATGGATCGTCATGAACATCGCAACGTTGGTAGTAACGAACAGCTCCTGCTACATGACCAGCAGTTTGAACTAGAACTTTGGGCCGATGTGACGCATCCATTTCAAAGTCTCGTATAATGTGTAATTGATGATCTGGGAAATGATTTCGAATCTTTTGAAAATAGTCAAGCATACATTGATCTAATGGATCATAAACGTTCTGATTATAAGAGAATTCTTCCTTTTCTTCTTCATTCCATTCCGCTTTGTCTTCAAGTGGAAAATTGTCAATGTTGTATTTCTTCATAATAAAAGTCTTAAAGGTCTTGTCAAACATTTGGGGTAAACTAATGATGATAAATGCCAAGGCATTTTGATTGCACTTTAATTTAAAGTGATCATCCACTTGATCGTTATACCAGGAAATCTATTGGAACAAATGAGCTATTAAGACAACGCATCCTATGAAAGTTATATACTGCTTTCTAAGATTCTGAAGCTATAATTAACGATCAGATTAGATGATGAATTTGTCAACTATGGAGTCGTTATGAGCATTTCTGTATCATTTCATTCTGTAGTTTCGCTTACTGTTTCGCACGGCGAATTTTGGTAAGATTATCCAATACAATTCTATCTTTTCTCTATTGCTACTATGAACCGAAAGATATCTGTGCACTATCTATGACCCAACGGTGAAACTTTAAGAGCAGCATAATTTTAATATTGAATCATTTTTTAGCTCCCAATCAATACTAATAAAGCCAATTACGATATCATAATCGATTGAGAATGCTTTGATTCTTATCAATCGCTATTATACACGTATATGAATATGTAGTAGACAGTTGCTATTCCATGATGATATTTCCGATATTGCTTACGATTCAATACATGGTTAAGTACTGTAGTTAAACATTCTATAAATTATGTATCAAGGCAAGCTACTACAGTATATATAATTATATCTACCTTAAAGGGTGCACACTCGAAGCCGTCAGGATAGAGTAATCCTTCCAATTTATTGATAATCACTTGTAACTTTTCAGCCATGATTTGATCAGCTAGAATGGATTTTAGACAATCATGAGCGGGCTCTCAGCTCAACACAACAATCATTGCAATCCTGATAACATTCTCTTTTTATGGTGATCCCATCCAGCAGCTAGAGCAAGCCTCTCAAGCTACAACCATAGAAATTCTGCTCCAACTTCCATATTTATCCAACGTTCAGCTAGCGTTTTCTTCAAGGGCTTGCAATGGATCCATCGGTGGCCTTGCCAACGTGTCCGTCATCTCCACACAATACTTTGTACTGTTTCCGCTACAGTACAATACCTCGTAGAGTGGGCGAGAGAGCAAGAGCACTGAGCGTACGATACAGGATCACCATACAACATTCATCATCCAGTAGTTGACTACCTTGTGTGGTATTGTTTGAGTAATGCTATAGCGAAGCAGGGTATTGTAGCTTGCGGTAGTAACGGGTAAGTCAAAATGTCGGCGCTTTACGATAGGAGAGATATCGCTAGAGACTAGTGAAAGTCCTGGCTCGGCTGCTTGATTGCTGCTTAATGATGGGACCTGCTCTACCTAGATTTGCTTGATGAAGAAAATGCTTCAATAACTTACATATCTAAATTAGAACGATATGGAAAGTAGTACAGCTCTAGGTGTTTACGCTGTCTTTACTGTAGGCATGGGCTAGAGCTAGAGAGCAGATTTGCCGTTGCCATCAAAACCATCAATAGATTGATTATATAATTATGTTACTTTTTAGTGCTTTCAGCATCAGATTTGCACATTAACCAACTACAGTACAAATCTATCAGAGTATAAGTAAATAAATATTGATACGTGTATATTTTACTAATAATTCCATGCCTTATTGCACGGGGTGTGAGCATACACCACAGTGCAGTACATCCCTATGCCATGTCTTTCTGGCTATGTGATTGGTTATCAATAGACTTCCGATATCAATAAGTTTTACTTTTTACCGCCGATGATATTCAAGGCAAGACTTTGTGTCATCCTATCTCTAGCGAATGAATTAATACTCACACGCAGAATCTTAATCTAGGTCTTGATTTCAACTAGTATTAATCAAACTTAAGTGGCACTCAGGCATTTTAAGCCCTCCGATGTCATACTCTGCTAAGAAGGGAACCTTCTTTTACTAAACTTCAATCTGGACAGTAGGAATACACCTTTCTAAAGAATAGACGTACAGTACTGTATACTATACCCGTCTACTTTTCATCGATAGATTGTTTAATCATATTAATGCATGTTGATGAAATTTTAAATAGACTAGTAATTGCTGTAACGGGTATGTCAAGGCTGAGTAGTAACTATGCTACCATACATCAAGAATATAGGCAGCACAATAATATGCTATCAAAATGATAAATAAAGTGACAATACCCTGATTAATACGTTCGAACTTCTTGTTTTAATGCTGAAATTAAATTTCCTTAACTTACAGATTAATTAACAATTGATTCAGGGTGCTTACTACTATGAAGTAATGAAATAAATCAATCACAAGTACCAACATTGTACTCTACGCTTACTTCCCTCATTTCATATAATCTTATAGATTACATATGAAAACTGACTAGGCACGAAGCATTTGTCTAATACCCACATCAATAAAAATTACTAAGGGAATGAAGGCTTTATGGCTCACTCTGCAGCAATTACCATCTATTAAATTACTTTAAATAATTTTATATGTGATCGAATTAGCAAGGGTAACGAATACATAGCAAACTATCCGATGAGTAATATCTATCAATTTTCAATTTAAAAATTATAGTATGATAAATTGTACTTTGTTATAGCGAATAAACTTGCCAACATACAAAGAGAGAAATGAATTAATTAGCCAGCAGTCATTGCAAGCAAGATAATAATTAAAATGAAATTATCCTTAACAAAATTAAATTTCTGCTTTGGTAAAATTATGTAATGACTGTTGGCTCATTCCTTCCGGTATATTTCTGTAAATCTGACACTTTCAAGGCGAGATCAACTAGCGGTTTCATTATCGATGTTATGTCATCATCGAATCTCTCAGGCTGGTCTTCATAACACTCAAAGTAAATGCGTACTGTAGCTCCAACGCTGCCAGTTCCACTTAGTCGAAAGATAATCCTACTTCCATTGGTAAACTGAAGTCGAATACCCTGATTTTTGGCAACACTGCCATCTATAGGATCAGTATAGCTAAAATTATCAGTGTATTCTAACACAAATGATGCGGAAGCTGCTGAAATTTCCTTGCTCTTAGTAGCTAAAGACAATGAGCTCTCTAATACGGACATCATTTCCTTAGCTCCTTCTGCTGGAACCTGTTCGTAGTCGTACCTACGAGGAAAGTAACTTATTTTTTAGCAGCGTCTTTCCAAGCATCATACAGGACAGGCATTTTACTACAGCGACTGCTACTGTTGTTTGTGGCCTATATTTGCAAATAAATTTACCTTTGAAAGAATGTACGTCCATAGCGTTTCCAGTGATCACGAATAACGTCCTCAACAGATGCCTTACGATAAGCTAAGATAGCAAGCCAAGCTAAGCAAGCCCAGATGCCGTCTTTTTCGCGAATATGATCTGAGCCTGTGCCGAAACTTTCTTCCCCGCATAAAGATAACCGGCCTGCATCCATTAAGTTCCCGAAAAATTTCCACCCGGTCGGGACTTCAAACATTTCAACGTTTAAAGCTTTAGCGACACTATAGGCGCAAGCCAAAAACTTTAAGATATAGCTGGGGTAATCCGAAAAGCATAAAATTCAATGTTGTAAATCATTCATTTTAAGGATTATACTGTACCGATCGAGGGCTCTTCCAGTAGGCATACTGCGGGCGAAGCCCTTAATGCCTGATTTCACAAAGTACGGAATAGCTTTATAGTTATCTCCGATAACTAAAATTAAAAAAAAGTAATTCCCTCATCTAACTTTGTCACGTTTTAAGACGACGTGCCGATAAATCATTTTCAATCTTACCAGAAACAGAGTCGCTTGGTGTTACAAAAAATCCATTCTTGCCTAAAATCATATTTCTATCCTGTGTAGTTTATTAATAGTATATTTTTGGCTTGTTAGTACATACGCCTATTGGTCGTTTGCAACTTAATACAAAAAATAGCCCACCCCATCACCGTCGAAAGCGGCTCCAAAATCATGTACGCCGCTGTTCATGACATCAACTAAATCAGATGCGTACGTTAGATTAGGATCAGGATGCCTGCCTGTAGTAGCGACAAGAACGTTTTCAGTCTTTCATGAATATTGCAAAGCATACACGGAAGCAGAAGCTGTTTTGTAATACAATTTACCTCCAAAGTCTTCTAATGGGATGCAGTTAACGACTGAAGATTCAGGCGCACCAAGCTCATCGCATAAAATCCTTTTAGCGTAAGGTCCAGTAACTTTTGTCAACGTAATAGTCAACGTGATCCATAAAAAAATGCTAATTTTATTTCCATTTGAAAATTATCATCCATTCACAACCTGTACAATATCGAAAATTAATTCATACCTCCATTTAAACAATTGATAATGATTTTCAATGGTGATCTCGTTTTCGATCCTGCCAGTAGGTTACGAATACTTTCAAAATCGAATAATTCTTTCATTAGGTCAACATAATCCGAAACAGGATCAATAACTTCGACCTCGAATTGTCTACCATCAACATCGAAGGTATGACAGCCAACTTTAGAAATATCAACCTATAGATTGAATCCGATAGAATTTATTGATACTAAAGAAGATTCGTTATTGATATAGAACTGTGTTGTAAAGTTATTCATGCTAACCTACGGTCTTTGTTGACATTATAAAGCGATATTGAATGTTACCTTTATATCTGGGCAAATTTTATATTCGGTTATATGCTTGGAAATTTGGTAGATCTGTCCCGTTACTGCCTCTACGGCCGGACCTTTAATTTTGAAAAGTCAATTACAAATCTTATTCTAAATGATGCCATAAGGAGTTTTGATTCAATCACATATGTACAGGTAGACAGAATAGATTGCATCCAAGGCAATATTTCCGCATGAATATCTGAATGAGATTTTTATAAATTCTATTCTATTTATTGATTTTGTGAATATGACGTAATAACAATAATTATTCTTACTGTACCTCCATTAGAGGAGTTAAATTTGATGCCAAAGTCTCCTTTAGGTCCGCCAGGATTATGACTGGCCGTTAAGATGAAGGCACCTTGAAATAATTTCAATCCTTAGTATAATTGGAATCTACCGGCTATACAATTTTTGCGTTTCATGTTGACAGTATTGTATATCTACTCTTTCTTTGGCACTACTATGATAGAATCACTGCTGATGTGAAACCTACCATTTGCTTTAGTCTTGCGAACAACTGCAGAAATTGCTGGTGTGGAGAAGATTCCATCTTTGCCCACAATTAGTTTCTTAACCTATACATAGAAAAGGATAACACAGGTATGTTGACATGATACCACGGAAATATTGTATTCGTATTATTGAGTGCATGAACGCGTTATTTCAGTTGCTGTGGCGTTACTTCTACTTATCAATTGATTAGGCTGAATGGGCGGCTGTCCATATACGGTAGCACTCTATTATCTCCCTTTACAAATGCCTATGATTTAGTAGTGTACAGTATATCGATGACTTTGCTCAATCTATCCTACTGTATTGGAGATCAATACATAGGCGTACAAGATGTGTATGTGTTTGTGTAGCTATAGAGATTTAGATTGTACTTTACTAGGACCAATTCAACATGAATCATAGTATCTATCTATTTCAATGTGCAATATGCAGTAGTGAGATGTCGGAGCAGCATCATGCATATTTATTACACAATCATGCTGAATATGAATTGCAATAGCAGGAGGTACAGTGGTGATTATTTCTTGATGCTTCTAATTAACAGCAGCTCTTCTTTACACTGTGACTGATATCAAGAGGTACAGCTATCCCCGTACTACACTATTCAGTATGATGCGAGCATATCAATTGCAAGTCATTGCAAATTGAACATGCAAATTACTCTATTTCAGCAACTTGATGTTACAGCTATCAGTATGTAGCTCCACTACAGTATAATAATGACACGAGTATAAGACAGTAGCACGATCAAGGCAAGGAATACGAGTTAGCTCGTAAGGCTATTGAGTATGGCCATCCATTTCAATCTGTTCAACCCGTACTAGACTGTTGAGTATGATGGAAGCATATCAATTGCAACTCATTGCAAATTGAACATCCAAAATTACTCCATTTCAGCAACTTGGTGTCACAGCTATCAGTATGTACAGTACTGTGTATAATAATAATAATAAGAGTATAGGACTACTGTAGTAGCACGATCAAGGCAAGGAATACGAACTAGCTCATCAGGTTATTGAGTAAGGCCATCCATTTCAATCTACTCAACCTACTAGAGGTTTAAATCTTTTCAATATTCAGTAATTATCATGGCTATGATGTATTTACCCCATTTGCTGCAGAAATGCCTATAATTTTTTGCACAACATCCGTCATATAGTAGCGGCCATCTCCACCCACCACGGCCATGCCATCACTCAATTCTGGAACTGCCGTATGAATAGCTTGGATAAAATTTTCAGCATAGCCTTTTTGTTGGAATGTATCAACAGGCTTTCTCAAGCCTGATGTACCAGGTTTTTGGTCTTCAAAGGCTCGTGTTTGTACGATTTGGACTTGACTTGAGGCCATTTTACTCCCTCCTAAGCTCACTGATTGCTTGATTTGCTGCTAGCCTTGTTTGCTCACGTCCGTCTGATTTTTATACCCACCCTCTCGGATAAAAGAAGAATCACATCTGAGTCATGACCACTCGCCTCATACTGTACCCTATATTCTACCGCTTGAATTGAACAGTCTCTCTTGTACGTGACATACTATTCATTGTGAAATGTACATGCGCAGTACGTGTTGGAAGGGTTGAGTGTCTACCTCCAGCTTTGTGTCATGATTGGTCGAGTGTCACTCTACTTTTGTAGAGAGTCTGTCGTGTAGTCTGTCCGGACACAGCCATGGGCCAGCATACCAATACGTGAACCGATGGTGTCCCAGGCAGCAGCCAGTGCGTGCATGGCTGACCCTTGACAGAGGTCAATATTGACGGTATGAATGGGACTGACTGCAACACCTAGGTCAAACGCCTGTCGCCCGATGCGCTGACAGGACAACTTTGTACTGGTGTGCTAACTTCCACCAGGGATTGACTGACTACTCAATCCGGTAGTACTGATGTAGCAGGTAGTAGAGTCACAGTTGTGTTATACTGGGTCTCCAATATACAGTACAGTACAGTATAGTCCATGTCCGGTTGTCCAATGTCCATGTTAAAGCCGGCTGTGAGTCAATGACGCGATGACGTGGTTCACCAAGGTCGTTTTTCGAATTTTTTGCTACAGTACAGATTTGTCGTTCGATCGGAGACGGGTGACGTTGTTGGTGTCACTGTACAGTACTGTACAGTACTGTACTGTACTGTACACCGTACAGTACTGTACGCAAAAAATACTGTAAAATGGCTGCCTCTGCAAAAATAACGGTCCGCCATTAAAACGATGTTTTACTATCTATTGACATAGTACGTTTATGTTATCATGATAATCTATCTTTGGAGATATCCTTCTACGGATATATATGAATATTATACAGGAATTTCAACGGAATACAACTTGTCCTTCGATCAGAGAGACTGGTGACATTGTTGGTGTCAACATCCAGTACAGTGTACTGTACTGTACTGTACAGTACTGCACCTAAAATACCATTACTGTACTGTACGCAAAAAATACTGTAAAATGGCTGCCTCTGCAAAAATAACGGTCCGCCATGAAAATGATTTTTTTACTATCAATTGACTTGGTACGTTCATGTTATCTCGATAATCTATCTTTGGAGATATCCTTTTATGGGTATATATCAATATTATACAGGAATTTCAAGGGAATACAACTTTAATTTGTTAAGGAAAGAGAGACATCGAAAATAATCTTACTCAATACATGTACAGTATACAGTATACTGTAGAGTGACTACTTGACCAATACAGTCACTGCTTGAACAGTCCCTCCGATTTTTACGCCTCAACTTGGACACAGACTTGACGGAAGGACAGAGCAGCGTCCAGTTCACTGTATCACGGTGATGCAGTCAAGGACTACAGACAGAGAGAGGGACGGAAACGGATTACAGTACCAACAAACGTCTGGTCTGATCACTTTCAGTCCTTTTCATTGTAAATAGCCTACTGTGTACTACTGAGACTTACAGTACAGGGTACTGTAGACCATGAAGTATGGACTCTGCCTACTCTCCATGATTCAAATCGTTCCATCATAACAAATACTCAATAGACTCAATATGGCCAATCACCAACAGCTTTTCTTCGCCATTGGAGATTGCATTTTCAACTTATAGTGGCCGAAGAAGACGTTGAAGACTTTTTGAACTGGATCAGTGATATCTTAACCCTTGAAGGACGGCATTAACTCTGTTCTTGATTCATCATGACTTCGTTAGCGCCCTTCTTTATCGCTTTAATATCCGTCTTTTTAATTGTAGCTTTTGTTCATAACCGTTATGGCAACTGGAAAACGCATAATCCTCTTGTTAGCGTCATTACGTTTGTTGCTTGGTATTTCTCGTTCATCATTATCACCATCTTACCATTAGATGTGGCATCGGTAAGTGCTTGATCGATGGATCATTTGAAATAATCTTAGTAGTGTATTGCTGTTGTCAACACGATGGTCTATTAAACTCTATTTCATCGTCCAATGATGACATCATACTATCTTTGCCAACATGGCATACGTCATTATTGGAAAGCAGACAAGATTCCTTCTTCTGGCTAGTCGGACGACGGATTCAAATATTCTTTAGCATAGACTCCATAATCAAATGAATCAATGATAATTGATCGTAGGATAACATAGATCAATCTTCTTTTACTTTATGTACAATTACTGTTGATCGATCCCATCCTTAAAGTAGTTGTAGGAGTCGTCGCAGTTTGACTTCATCTGTCTTTTCCGTTCTATCATCATCGTTGACGAATACGGTAGATTACTAGATTTCTATTACTCTAGTAGTTAGCCTAGTCTACCATGATAGAGAAGTGCTGTAGAATAGTCAATAGTGATCGAAAGCAAGGATAGACATTGCCACTATCCGTAACAACATGGGTCTATCTTTTTCCAAACATTTCTCTTTTCCGATTGCTTCTCTTAGACTTACTACTGCCGATGTTTATTCGAGAAAGGATTTAATTCATGCAATAATGCAACAGTCGATGCATGCATTAAACCATGGATGTATGTACCACCGGATATTCTCCATGGTATGTGGTTAGCAGTCTATTGGTCTTCTCAACTATTAACATGGTAAGTAACCCACAGATAATACACTGTCTTACTGTACAGTGTTTAAGATAGCAAATACGCTTGAAAGAAAAATGGCCAACTTCAACTCTTTTGTTAACTGTAAATATGCTAATACAAAACTTCTCTGTTTATCATCGTCATCATTAACAAGAATAAGATATTCTAATATCACAGAGTAGTTTTTTTCCCCACCTTAAATGACGGTAGATAAAAATAGTTTGCTTTGATTGCTTGAGAGAAGAAGGTACAATCTCCCTTTAAACCTGATTGATTGCAGTTCCGAGAGAAAGAACAATTACAGTCTATTGAACAATATGGAAAGCCCTTGATTTATTCATTTCATGCTCATTTCCATCAGAAAGTCAATAACCATTGTAGACTACTGTGCAATCATGTATGGTATCAGTTTGCGCTATTTCAAGACGGAATAGGACATAGTTTCAACACAAACCTCCAATCGCGATAGATCGAGATGGAATATTGATTGTAGCTAACGCTTCCTTTCTCCTAATTATAATTAGTATTCAATATTCGATTCGTCAAAATTTCAATCAACGTAATAGCGTAATTATGTATGATATACATATTAACGGGCTAATCGACTAGCTCGTAGTACAGTTGATAGACTGTCGTAAACATCGTAAGAGATATACTAATATCCTTTTCACCAGATAAAAATGATCCATTTTTTCCTCTGTTACTGTAGAGACGTCGATGATAATTATACAATACTTACTGTTAATAAATAATCCTTTATTTACAGTTACAGCCAAAGTTGCGTATCATAATGATCATTACAAATAAACGCATCAATCGATTGATTACGGAATCGATAAATTGCCTGCGATTCCATTTGAAGAACTGGATCGTTGTACTAGTTTGATAGCTAGCTGACAGTGTAAGAAGTATTTCATAAATAAAACTACCAAAGATGGACACGTGGGTTGTAGACAGGATTTCTATGACCACGCATTTCTAATCCCTTGCTATAAACCCTTCCTTCTAGAGTAAACTGCCTTTGTTCATCGTAAACCTACTGCTACATCAATATTAATTCATCTATAGGTAGTGATGATTTTTCACTATTCAAGTCAATCCTCCGTGATCAATAGTTCATTTCATCTTCAAGCTTTTAACTTCTCGGCCATTCTAATCACGCCATAGGATACAAACTTTCACAGCTTCTCCCTTTCCATTTCTCTCACTTTCATCATAAATTCAAATTAACTCGTTGATTGGTTTTGATGTGTTGACTAGGGTCCCATTTGAATCCATCTTAATATTGCTCTGTCTCCCTACCCGATAGCGATCGTTATACTGTATTCTCTCGTAGATAAAACAGAAATCAATTCTCGAACAATTTCGATAACAACTGATAACAATCACCATAACTATCATCCATTTATCATTCTTTTAGCTTAGACAAAACCTTAATTAAATATTGCAACATGAAATATGAACGTGGCATCGTTAATTGTATCTATTCTTTTATGATGGAAGATATTAAGATGATGCAATGAATTAATTTGTCCGTATTCTTGTCTTAGTAACTTTAAAATAGAAGCTTGTCGGTCCGTCATATAATATCTAAATTTCATTCATCGATAGAGTAAATAATGGATATCAGTAAGTTATTACGAGAGGAGATAAATGGAATAAGAAATTATACTGACTAAGTATTCCATGCTCTATTCTACACTATCCAAAGACGTATACGCGTAAATATATACAGGACATGATATCTCCCGCTCCCAGTTTGACCAAGATCATCCAATTCTAATTCCAAAAGACGTTAGCAACACTTGGCGTAAATTGTTAATTTTGATAATGTACAGTCATAGACTACTAAATTTTACCGCTGGTGCATCTAGTAGATGACTTTGATCTACTGTTTTAGTCAAATCCAGGATAAAATCAAGCAAGATAGTAAATTTTACATGTAGATGATCGAGAAGCAAATAGGATAGCAAATCTTAATTCAAAATTATCCAGTTAATATTTGAATTACTCATTACTACTGACAGATTTACTAATATCGTAGACTAATAATTATATTTAATTAATTCATCGCTATCTTGATGAAATCGGCTTAACCTTTGCCCCAATCTTCACCTAAAAACTGTTTCAGTCAAAAATTTTGAAGCTATTCATTGTCGTATAATTATAATTGGTCACAATCGATTTCGATCATAAATTGAAGCTGTTTTGGGTAAATACTTCATTGGGATAGGTACACATTACAGTTACCGTACAGTACATACGAGTAAAGTCCTTCGATATATCGAAGGGGCATACCTTAAAATATTTATAGGTATTGTGCAACCCGGATAACTTGTAAATCTTCCTTTCTAACCTAATGCAACTTGTAATACGTGTTTAACTATGTTTCAGGATTATCCTACCATTTATGGCCTCATTTTGCTATTCTGGAGAATTTACTATTCGTGGCAAATTTAAAGCTGCTCTCTACACTAATGCTATATATTATGGCACTTTCCTCTTAATTTTTATTCCATTGGTTATCTATGTATTAGCAAGACTGGGCTTTGATAATGCCGGGTATAAATAATTGAATAAATAAATATGTAAACATGGTGTTCAATCTTTTAAATAATTTATTTATTTTGCAATACTTTCAAACGAGTTATGTCATATACACTATTCAATTGATAGGATGTGATCGATGTTATTCTAAGATAATTGTTAACATGATTCAAATAACTTGCAATCTACACAGAGAAAAATTAAAAGTAATCGGCATTACTGCATCCAATACGTGGGGTCTCTTCTTACTAGTTTTACTCCTTGGTTATGGATTAGTGGAGGTTCCTCGATCTATTTGGCAATCATCAAGGCGTGGCTATAAACTATCTGTTATTCAATTTCAGATAGCTAAAATGACTACAGATAAAGAGGAAGCCCAGGAAGGATTGGAAACAGTCGTTAGTGTATGTAAACATTATCCATAAATTATAGGATTGAAACAGCTATTTTCATAATTTATCGTCGTGAAACTATGCTTGCGTGTATCAGTTGCTTTGTTCAGATTATACTGTTGTTTTACGTGCAATTATTAATATATGGTAACATCTTTAATGATATTAATTTGTTTATGATTAGGATATAGCAGGTGCAGCTTCCCTTATCCGTCGATATAGTCCTTTATATGAGAATATGAAGACAATATTGAGTAAGGTAGGTAGACAAGTTTGCGAATAGGGAGATCTGACAATATCTTATATCCAACAACGATATCATTTGGTCTATATCTTATAGTGTCCTGAAGAACTACGGCAAAAAGTAGACGCACAAAGGACGGAACTAGAAGATAAAGGCAACGCTAATGAGTTACAAGATATCCCGACAATGAAAAGCCTTGTTAAGTTGCATTCTAGATTAATTTTGGCAAATCAGAAAGTCAGTCGAGCAAATGCGTAAGTCAAATTCCATTACCTGCGATAAACTAATTGAAGTATTTTCTACCATTACGAACAGTTGCTCCATTGATTTGTTATACTATACGTAGGTTGCTACAGAATCTTTACAAGAGAGGTTTTGAGCTTGAAGATATCATCCAAAATGAAACTAATACTACGAGGTATTTTTGTTACTAAGTTGAATCAAGTTAACGATGATAGAATAGTTTGCTATTGAAATTAAAAAGAATGGTGTTACAGGAATCCATCATGATTTATGATGTACCTTTCTTAATTTTTACCACTTTTTTAATTGATTACATTAATTTAGACAATTTGCATCGTCTTTTGATGCTACTTATCAAGGTCGCTGTAAGACTTTTCGATTAACTTGTGGTGAGTTCAATGCATTCTCAATGATTTATCACATATGCTTGGCAATATTGATATTTTTGCCTATCTGATATTCATGTAATAATGAAACTAATACCATATAGAATGGTACTGGAAAGTCAAAATGCTCCCGTGGGTATTAAAACTTATATCTGTGATCCTTGTGATAACAACTATTGCTGTTATTTGGTCGGAATGTACTTTTTTCACACTTCAACCTACACTTTCAATATTTGCTCTTCTCATTGATGTGGCACAGAGAACGTACAATTTTTTCGATATTGAAGTAATGCTTGTAACGAAACTATATAATTTAATGCTTGCTTATTAAATCCTTTAGTCGGTTTAACTATTATGGACTATACGTACACTAAATACAAGACATTTCTTTGTTCTTGATTTCAGCTTATTTGCTTGCTGACGATTGGATTTATGTGTCTATGTGCTTATTATACCGTCTTCAGAATAAGATTATTTAATTACTATTACATTGCTCCACATCACTTAACTAATGAAACGAGTTTACTCTTTAGCGGAACGTAAGTGCCAACATTTTTACAAATAGTTGATTCTATAATTTTAAAAATTAGTATTGAATATCTAATTTCTTAGCTGTTACAATGCTGAATATCTTAATGTTATTGAAATTTTATTTAATTTCATTAATATATATTCAGACTCTTTTGTCGCTTGACTCCTCCGCTTTGTCTGAACTTTTTGGGCTTAATTCATTTGGATAGCGCATTGACCGGTGATAATGACCCTAAGTTACCGGAAACACAGTTTACTGCTGTAAGATATAATAGTTATTATTATGATAATTTACAAGAGTTAAATGTACCTTGTTGATATATCTTTTACATAGAGAGACAAATCTTGATGTAATATAAGAATAATAATAATACTGTATATTTCCTTACTTCATCTAGTATTGATACACCAATTTTAAATTTTATTTAGATCATGGGCCATCTAAAAGTATTATCATTTTTGGCCAGCGGATTTTACATCTATTACCCTATAACTGTGGTAATTTTCTGTTTGGCAACGTATTTGAAGCTTGGTACTCGTGTACTACATTTCTTGGGATTTCAGCAGTTCTTTCAAGACGATACACTTTCAACTGAATTCTTGAACGAAGGAAAACAGTTACTGAGAATGGGTAATGTGACACTGTTATTCATTGCATTACTACCGGGCTTGATTCATGACTATAAACTTATATTACAGAACGAAGGAAACGAGAACACAAAATTAATAGAAACAAACAGGTAATAAATTGTTCAAAGTTCTCGCATTATAGGGATAAAGGTACTTCCTGCCTTTCCATAATAAAATGAATATATCTAATGATCTTGTAGGGCCTTAACTTTTCATCACCCAAGTTGAATGGAACAAGTAGTAGGAATGGTAATGGCAGGAATGGCAATATCAACTCTAATTGGCAAATAAATTCGCCGAAAAATGATAAAACCAATTATCACAGTACTAAATTTACCTCCGCCAAATATAAGAATTCAGATACAGGTTTAGATCGTGTAGAATTACTGAATGCTGTTGAATATGATCCTGATGCCGATATTCAAAGTCAACAACGATGGCCTTCATTAGGAACGAGCTCAACAAGTAACTTTGGCAAAGGGGGATCACTTCCGCGTGGCTTATTTGATGATGTCTAAAAGTAGTATATTAACATCAGTATTGACATATTTAATCCGCCATTTATTTATAGAATTATATTCAGTCTTATTTATTTATATGAAAAACTACCATTTTAAAGAGCTACAACCGTATCATGCAAAAATTGTAATCTTTAGCAAACTTCAATTAAATTTTGACTTCTAACTGTAGTCAGTGGTTTACCCTAATGTCGACATTTAGCAATAGTTAGTATTTTATACCGCAGGATTTTCGGATTACAACATTGTTAATTGAATTTCGATATGATAATGTGAATTTGTACACATCTACTCTGAGATTCGAAAATACTATATAACTAATCCTACCCATTATTGTGAGTTGGGGAGGAAGTTATTAAGTAAAATACTATATACGTATACGTTATATATATATAAAAATATAAATATATAGATATGTATTCATACGCCTATATATGCGTATATATGGTATATATGAATAGAATTATAGGCAAAGTCATGCACTACGTATTGGTATTGGTAATGTAGTGTTAATGTAAGTAAAAACTTTCGGCACAAGATTTTCAGTATCGCCTTATTAATTGCCATAATGTATTCGTAAAGTGCAACAGTAAGACAGACATAATGTTAAATTTTAATTTAGCACATTTCTGTGTGTGTACAGTTGTCATATAACATTTGCGAAATGCGAGAAATATCTGACCAATTGTTTCTAACAATCTTAAAGATATGTTTCTCAAAATTTAACTAAATAATTATTGTATGTAGGTAGTCTAGTATGCTTCAGGAATGCTCTGGTGGACTGGCGACTTGACGCATACTAGTCAACACATAGTAGCATAATTTTATAATCATAAACAATAAAAGTCACCAGTTAAAAAATATTTTTTAATGCAAGACTATGCGAAATGTGATAAAATGCAAATTTATGGGTGTAAATTTGCTTGAGAAGAAATTACTGAACAATCATCAGTATCTGCGCTTGCCAGATTAATTCATACTGCTGTTCAAGTAGATTACTTAGTTTGTAGCTTATGCCACTCTCTTAATTCCATGTATGATTGAGTTTATATCTTAAGAATGCTGATTAATTTTTATAATCTGAAATGAGCAATAAAATAGACATAAATTTATCCCATGCAAGCAGTGTTAGCTACGTTGTATTCAGTATCGATGCACTTTCCTGCGATTAAATCTGATATAAAAAAGTCTACATTTACTGTATAGTCGATATAATTATTACCCGAATAGAAAATCTTAACGTAATCACACCTTTGATGCATACGTATGTATTACTTTGTAATAGATTACAGAGAAGTTGGCTAACATTAAACTTACGCAATCATTCCTAAAAATTTAAGAATTTTAATTCCATACAAACAAGCCCTTATAATAATAATTAATTTATTGCGGTTAGTATTTGAAGTATGTAAAAGTCGAAGTATTTAATTTCCATATTAAGCAACAGAATCTATCAACGTATGTTTACGCAGCTGTTATTTGCAATGATGTTTACAAGCGTTGCAGCAAAACTTTAAAAATAATTGAATTTTCTAAGTTGATTAATTACGCAATATAATAATAAGACAGTATATTAATACCGTATATTACATGACTAGTGAGTCTTTACATATGGGTAGCACCTACATTCTATTCATAATACTATCACAGTAATAGCAGCTGCAAGGCAAGACATTAACGGACATTTGCCAAACTTATTATATAATAAATGGAAGGATAGCCTTTCTTCTTGGATAATTTTTAAATTCTCTTTTATAATTGCGGTGTTTTCCAATAGCCCATACCGTCATTTGGTACAAGCCAAGAAACATAAAGATGACAACTAGATTAAAAACAAAATAGGAGTGTCAACCAAAAAATCGCGAGAACGATAAAGCCCAAATAGGAGCGTTAGTTTAATTTCTGAGCTAACCGGCTAAGCATTGCGTCATGACAGAGAAGAAAAACCATGTTCCGACCTAATTTAGTTTTTCAAAATAAACTTTTAGAATTCATTTATGATTCCTATCGAAATTTGATTACATGCTACAATTAGTATCAACTATAAATATAGTTATACCTCATAAGTATAATTTGGACATGAGACAAAATTCTGAAGAATGGACATAGGATTACTATTTGAATAAGGAATTTTGCGTTCTTTCGTACCTTTAGTTAAGTTATATTATTAGCTAAAACCTTACTCGCCTAACTTAAGTATGATTATTGAAGTAGAATTAAACCTGGTGGCCGAAGATCTCTTAACAGGCAGTGTATCACCAGATTTCCATATTCCATAAGCTGAGCAGAAAACCAATGCAAGTAATAAATAGCAGCAGTAATAAAAACAGCAAATTTAAAATAAGAAACGATCATTTATTTGAATAACTACATCAAAAGGACTATAAAAGGTGTATGATATATTTTACCAAAAATCCTGCAAATGCACCATAGATCTGATTGGTTCCATACTCTATAATTAATAAAAAAGTAATGGCATCCTTGCTAAATTATTCTATTACATAATAGTCATAAGCCAATATGTATGGTATCACAAACTTGGCGAGGTATAAAGAGGATGATTGACGAAATACGCTATAAAAGCTGCAAAACCCCTGTAAAAAGGAGGAAGGGAAAAGATAGATATTACAACATCGATAATATCATTTTAATGCAATTGTCGAAATTAAAAATGTCCTACCAGTAGTAACTGCAGTTCTGAGGTTGGATTAAAGAGGTGTAAATGCCCAAAGATAGCAATACGTTATAATTATTAACTTTTTATACATTTCAAAAATTTGAAAACAGTATAAGAATTTGTCAAATTTACCTTTGCAAGATTACCAATAGGCATTGTAGCGTGAGAGAATCGATGAATAAATAACGTTTCCAAGAGACGTTTCCCGTAATGTATGGTCCAACCGATCAATGCTAATCTAGAAAAACACATATATTATATATTTCAACTTGTGTAAAGCCTATTAGCAAAAATTTAATAGAATAATGCAGATCTTGAAATACTGATGGAATATACATACTGTACAGCAAGATCATATGGCTTAGAAGCAGCACCTTCACCGTAGATAAGCCCTGGTCGTAGGTAGAAGATTGGATAAAGAAAGAATGGACCAGCGTACTCAATAAGAAAAACCTACCAATAAAAATTAAAAGACGTATAAAGTCTATTAGTTTCCTTTTGAAAATAAAAAATAGGACTATTTACATCAAGTGTGTGTCCAATCTTTTCTACAAACTATAAAAACAGTCACCGCATATTTTGCGTTATGAGATATGCTGATTACCGTTTTCCATCCTATCTGTGGTCCTACGATACGTCAGTTTCGAAAATTGTATATATTTTGGCGTCAGGTATAAATGTAAAATAAGATAACCAAAATGGATAGTCATTAAATAAATTTTAATTAAACAGCATGATACTTGCATACTGTATACCTAAGTCCTTGAAGTATAACTTAGAATTCTTGATTTCCAACGTTTCTAGAAGCTGCTCATCCTTAAGTGGCCTACCCTCTAGGAGAGGGAAACCGTGAACAAAGTTAAGCGACAATAGCACATTACTATCCTAATTTCTAGAATGAGGAATTTCCACACGAGTATATATTAAATATGGTGGTAATAAATTGCGTAATTGGTATTAGTTAGCTAATTCTTACTCGGGTCGGTTTTAAATTGTTGTCGACTAGGATAGCATTGAGGTTCTATTAAAAGTAATTTAGTTGAAAATTTTGCATTTTTGAATTTTTAAGATCTGATCTAGTGAATTCAGCTTACTCTGCCTAAAATATTCCTTTTTGATGTCAGCTATTGTCGATTTTGGGTGTACCTGCATAAAAAAGAAGATTGTATTTGAAAATCGGGTTAGTTGTAAATTAGTAATACAAAACTTTACTATTTACTTGAATAATTTAAGTAGTTGAATCTAAGAGTATACAGTAGCAATATAAAAATATGTGGCATAGAGACAGCAAAAGACTGTATTGCCTTCTGTGCCATGTCTTATCTACTCCATGCGTATGTATGCAATAGTGCACAATAAACTTAGTTAATGATAAGGTATTAAAGTGATACATAAAACGTACATGTGAAAGCAATAATAAAGACAGGGACTTCTGTAGCTTGGTGAAGAGCATACTGGTAAGTATTTCATACGTAACTAACTACTGGTTGTCAGTGCTATCGCTACAAAAGCTTTCCTATCTTACACTATCGCCTAATGCTGTCGAGGCAACAGAATGTGATTTATCATGCACGATACCTATAAATTTATCATTATATTTGCAATACTGTCCATATGTAAAAATAGGTACAAGTACAAGGAAGAGTATGCAACTACTAAGTATGAGTGCTATGGCGAGAAGAACTCTCTTCCTACGTGATGCTACTGTCTAATATTATCGAGGCAGCAGAATATGTTCAGCAATGCTAGCTACTACTGCTGTAGTTATAAGTAAGTAAAATATACTCGTACAAAGTGACGGTGAAGAGAATTTACAGTAAATATTTTCACCCACAACTGCGTTTATCTGAATAGCACAATAGCTCTCTTCTCACGTTATACTCACGTTTAATGTTATCAAGGCAATAGGATATGTTCAATAAGGCATGATATCTATCATTATAATATCTTATAATTACTAATGCGGTAATCTATGAAATGTGTTGATGAATTGATAGGATATAATTGTAATTGTTGAACACAGGATCGGTTCAAGTACAAGCTGGCGACGAGTGATGCAAAATTGTAATCCACTCATTATCAACTTTACTATAACTAAGCCGTCATTTAATCAATCTATTCGACTGTAGAAAGTTCATCGATTTAATGAGCTTACATCAAATAAGTTTAAAATCTGTTTTCCTGTTCTCTGGTGGACAATTTCTAGCTAAAAAGGATATGAAAAGGAATAGAAGATTATAGTTAGAAACAAGTATCATCGACTTGATCCACAGATTTTCCTAATGATCTAAAATTCATCAAAAGAGCTTGAATAGCAATTCAAAATTAGATAAGATATTTTTCATTGGCACAGGCTAAACTAATCAATATTAACAGAGCGATTTATTTCCCCTATTATTGCTACTTTATAGGATCAATTCCATGTCCATGTCCATTGCATGTTTGCTATTCATGCCACACCATGAGCATTCGACAGGCTCATAACGAACACTCAAGGATTGCTCATCCGCTGCATTTACTCTGTACCTGGATGGATATACTATACTGCACATAAGCAAGAGAAGAGCAATGGGCTTTTATATCATTAGGGATTACCTTCATCTTTCTTGCAATAATCAATTCAAGCTAATAGCAATAGTAATATCGAGTTTTCAGTCCTGGAAGAAGGAGTAAAATGATCCAAATGCAAGTAAAACCTGTCTGAAGTTTGGACCTTGGCTGCTGCTAACTGGCTACCAACCATCGCATTGAGCATGGGCACACGCGCTGATTGTCTACTGTACAGTAGTTGCCACGATACAAAGTGCAGGGTCGGAGTGAAAGCGATCTTTACCGACTTGGACTATACTCTACTATAGATTGTACTGACTTGCAAGAGTACTCTGGTCTGTGTAAAAGATATGTCATCCATAACAATTCAATTGCTACTGTAGACTGGACTCTAGGCGATCTAGTGCTTGACCATAGTGTTGCAGCTACAGTACGAAGCATCGTCTCGGGTGACATACTTTTTGGGTAAAGCTAGCCGCTATGAACTGCTGCACTTTGGCTGATGGATTCATGAGAGAAATAGAAGAAATAGCAGCTACTGTAGATTTCCTATTCTGTTTTTCTACTTTTTTACTACAAAGTAATACATAGTACTGTATAGTTTAGCTGGCGATAGTGTAGTATTACCTACAGTCCAAATCGCTTGCAGGAACAGAATAATGTCGCCCAACGCTTGACCACGGTATTACGGCTACACTACGAACCATCGTCGTCTCGGGTGACATCATTTTTGGGCACAGCTAGCCGCTATGAACTACTGTAATTTGCCTAATGGATTCATGAGAATAATTTCAGAGAAATAGAAGAAGTATCAGCTAGATTTTCTATTCTATTTTTCTACCTTTCACTGCAAAGTAATACGTAGTATAGTTTTGCTAGCGATAGCGTAGTATTACCTACAGTCCAAATCGCTTGCAGGAACAGAATGATGTCGCCCAATGCTTGACCACGGTATTACGGCTACACTACGAACCATCGTCGTCTTGGGTGACATCATTTTTGGGTACAGCTAGCCGCTATGAACTACCGCACTTTAGCTGATGGATTCATGAAAGAAATAGAAGAAATATCAGCTAGATTTTCTATCCTATTTTTCTACCTTATAACTGCAAAGTAATACATTCAGAGTGATATGCTGCTGAATTTCAACAATGGTACGGTAATCACTGCTCTTGAACAAATCATGCTGGATCAGAGTTAAACTATTCTCTGAAATTTTTCTCATTCGATTTCCCTAAACGTTCCGCTATCCGTAAAACATATATTGAATATAATTTCCTTGCATTCATGAAAGCTTATGTTTCACCTATACATTTAAAACCAAAATAATCACGCTGCACATGAAGTTGGCTTAAATTGAGCGATTTTCGATTCAAATTCTCTTTCTTTGTGTTAACATTTGTCGTGGAATTCATAATGCATAATTGTAGTACCAAATATTTCTAAATCTCATCATTTTTGACCTGATGGAAGGTACTCGTACATTGAGAACTGCGCTCTTTTAATAGGATGAGAGAGTTAGTTTAGCGGAGGGGTATTTCTATAATTTATTCTGGTTTTAATAATGGGATCATCTTGGTACTTAATCGACTATACACGATCTAGTGTGTTATGATGTACTCCAACAATAAGCTCTATCAAGTAGTTACTAGGTTTGCATTAAGGAAAGATGTGAATATTATTTTTTATTGTTTATATCAATTGTTTTCTCAGTATTCTCTGTTTGGCTTGAGAATTTCCTACAGTTTTTATAAATTCCTACGTAGTATACATTAATATCCGTAATGAAACGTACTATCACTACTATCTTCATACATGATATGGCTACTCTGTAATAGAGATCTTAAGTTATAGTGCCATCACATAAGCATAATCACAATTTACATCGGAAAAAGATTCAATTAATTATAACAGTTTCCAACCAAACAAGAGTATTAATAAGAAACTGGTAATAAGAATAGATATATTGAAAGCGGTACTAGATGATGACGGAAAATAGTTTCCGTTATTTTCAGAGTATATTAAAAATTATGAATTTTAAAATAAACATTTTATAAATTACGTGCTACTATATAAAATACCAATACAAGAACAGACGCAATTCGGCAAAGCTTGCATAGGCACGTAAAATATACTGTATGTATGTACAGATGATTACCGTATAAAATCGTTATGTCACTATACTATGGTATTTATGATATATCGTACTCGTGATTCGTAGTTCATTCTAAGGGAGAACCTATAAATTCATGGATTCACCCGTTATTGGTTGGATATGCTATTAGGTAGCGTAGAGATGCGAAATCCAATAGACCTATAATATAATCGGCTTAGTATTGAATTGAAAATGGAACATGCATAAATCGAAGAGCTTAAGAATAGGTAAATTATGTACCGCGTCTAGTATAATCAATCAATCTACTTCTTGTCATTTTCGTCATTTTCTTCAGTAACTGTAATAGTTTGTGGATTCATCAATTTAGTTAATATTTCAACATGAGTTTCCGGCGGCTGAGGGATATTTTTTAATAGATAAATAGTTATGTGCCCATCACTGTCTCCAACCAGCAAGCACTATTCATAAGAATGAAACGAATTATACATTTAAGAAGATGCAATGAAATATTTTCTGTTCTTAATATGAAAATTCGAGTAGAGGTAGAAAAGAAAGGCAATAGCCGAATAATTAATGTACCTCAGAGTTGATCGAGAAAGCAACCGATGATAACTTTGCATATCCAGAAGGATGCGTTATAATAATTGGGTCCAATCTATATCATCGCATAGTATGATCAAATAACATTAGTTATCTCTGTCTGCCCTTGCATATCACGAGAGACGTGCATTAATGATCAATAGTATCTTATAAGTGTTTTATCACTAATATGAACGTATAACAGTAACACAAACTTACGTGCTGACATTTAAATCCCATACTTCAATGGCTCGATCACGAACACACGCAAAAGTAGTGGCAGAAGTGGGTGACCAGCAAATATCGTTAACAGCTTCCTATATTAGTAAAGAGCATAATGGTGATCAACTCATGATATGTTTCGTCGTAGTTTCCGAATGCCAAATACTGCAATCAATATTTAAATATCTCACCTTTGAAGACTGAAAACTGTGAATTGCTTTGGGTTTTTCTTGATTCCATAATTTAACACTCCAATCACCACTACAACTAAGAAATGCGTCTGATACATAAGGAGACCAAGCTACTTTATATACTGGACCCTAAAGTCAATAATCCGAAATTATTTATAAGTGTAATATAGAGAGCTAAAGTGGAACTATAAATATAGTAAAACTCTTTCACTTATTGTGATAAGCAAAGCATGGTTAAAATAAAAAATTATGCAAGTATTAATTGAGTGTTATACCATATGTCCGAAATAGCTTTCCAAATATTGTTCATTGTATGAACAGGAACATTTATGAATATGACCGTCTTCAGTTCCGGTAAGATAGCTATTACAAAAATAAGTATAAATAATCAATGAGATTTCATTACATATATAAATATGTTAACAGCTAATATAAATCAAGGAGATAAGTTGTAATAAGGGTATAGACATTCAATTTCCCTAGAATTGGCCAATATCTAAGGCATACAATCTTACTTATACAGAATTACCGATATCTTATCTGATGATATACGAAATGAAACTAACATGTTTGTATCCTTGGGATAAAAATCGAAGCTTAATCCACCGGAAAAACGAGATATCAAGCCTTCGTGACTTCGCTTAATGTCTAATTTTCGATCTTTAGTTTCCTTTTTATTAGATATTCGTTTTAATCGCATTAAATCAGAACATTCGAAGCCTTTTCGAATCGACCAACGGGTTATACGCCCGTCGGTGGAAATGGATACTAGCATTTCTCCATGTTCTTCGCCTGTTAAACGATCGCGATCAACCCACTTTATTTGCCAGACTGGGCCAGAATGTTTTCCTGGACTCTCACTAAATAAACATTCATGAGTTTATATATTAAAATATCAAATTAATAGCTCTATTCAACTCTCAAATAGAGCTATCATCTTATAGCATGAAATCGTTAAAATTATACGAAAAACCCTCTAACTGAAAAAAAATAACCGAATAAGCTTTCCTACCTACTATCCAAAATCGATTGCGATCCTGTTCCTCTTACATCCACAATTGCTACAGTGCCATCATATAGACCAACCTAAGATATGTATGATTTATTTAGATACCCATGCCAATCTACATTAACTTTAAATGCCAACTTTTTTAAAACAGAGTAAAGTATGATGTAATAATACCCATACATGGCTATAATATCATAACTTACTGCTAAAAGACTTCCACTTGTAGATGAGAAGTCCAAGCCTGTGACGCCAGTATTAAAATGGAAAATTCTTTCAGGATACTTTAAATTTAAGAAAATTAAGGTCAGCAGGATACAAGAATGAACAAAAATTAAAATTATTCACCATTGATAGCATTAATATTCCTTTTGCTACAATATTAATATAGTGCGCATTATGCTGATAGATTCGAATCTTACTTCTGGATTCTTTATTGACCAGCAACAGGCAAATCCACCCTTTTGCTCATTATAACCGAACTGACAATATCCTACTGCAATGATATCCTATTTGGGTGTATTTATAGAATACAGCTTTATAAAAAGCAGGAACCAGATAATCAAATGTAAAATGGATATCAGAGCATAGTTAATACTTATCAGTTACCGGATTGGATTTATTCCATGTCATGGCACTAATATTTCGGCCTCGTGTTATGCTACATTTATAGTCCCATAAGCGCTCTAGATTTGGTAATATTTTTCCAACATCATTGTCTGCAATCCGTGGGCGATTACTACTGGGTGGAACAGCATCCGGATCTGGATTAAACATATCACAAATGATTATTATTACTGCATGTGAATATTGTAAGAGTCCAATACTGGTTAAGCGATTATACCTTAGATTCTTACCTGGTAAAACAGATAAACCGCGATAAACGGCTTGTTTATGCTGATAATTATTCAACGTAACTGCTCTTTCCATTGTAAATAGCGATTGTTTAAAGGCATCCGATCGTAATGCACTATCGTTCACTGGCATTGTACTTGTACTTCCGTCTTCATTCGGTGCACCCGAGATTTCGGATTCCGTTATCATGCTTATACGACTCTCTAAAATTGAAATCGGTACAGATAATTGCATTTAGAGCTGCGGATAAAGTTAGCCACAATATTTAGCTCTCTATCTCTCTGATCCATAATTAATTAATAAGAATGTTTCCCTAGTTAGGACTAACCCATGCTACTGTCTCGCATAGTCATAGATATACTTTTATCTTCATCCTTGGCAATTTTACTAACTCTATTTGACTTCTGAGAAGATGGCACTTCCTCTGCTAAGTCATCATCGGATTCTTGGTCGTTGGCTATTATTATTACATAGAGTAATCAACTATAAGTTGTATGTTGCAATGTAAAATGTCTTAATAGAAGCAGCTTACTGCCTTCCTTCTCCTTATATGTATCGTACATATCCCAATTGGTTGCCATGACAGAAGCATCCTAGAATATTTATATAAAGCTAACATAAGGCATGGAAGTAATTATGGATAAAATTAATACAAATTAACTTCAGTTCTACATACCGTTAAACCAAATCTGGTAGTTTGTACTTCCTTATTTTTGGGAGCGTCGTTAAATGTCTGCATAAATCGATCAGTATATCTATCTCCGTGTCGCTGCTTCAGCATCTATTTAAATCACATTAAGGGTCAGACCAAAAATATCACCCTAAAAGTCGCAAATGGCTCTTTGCAAAATTGCAACAAATAGCTTTTACAGTTTCTTACCTCTGTATATACTGTATTCCTTTCCTTGATTTTATCTGCAGCCTCTGTATCTTCAGAAAAAGAAGTTGTAGGGATATCGAGTAGAAATATGGTCTCTGTTTCAGTTAGGTTGATATCCACCTAAATTAATCACGGTAATTTATTAGATCCGGTTAAAGCGACATTTTCGAAATCCCTTCATAAACCATCAATATTACGGTTACCATCTTTCTTAAGTCACTATCGGTTAAATTTTCTCGGGATTCTTCTTGCATAGCTACGACAAAAAAATGAAATATGACTATGCTATACATATCGCAGAAAAGTAGGTTAAACATGATATAGTTGAAATCTTACTGGTATGATAGGCTGATTGAATTTCTGGGTATCCGGTTGGTTCACCCATATCGTCCATAATCGATTCTGGTGAGGATCTACCAGATGTAATACTTTGACTTGTAGCAGCGCTACTGAATATTGATCTGAAAGTGTGCAATTTTAAGCAAAATCCAAGGAATGTTAATATAAAATAGTTGTAAAAGCTTCAGGGTAATTAAGATATTGGCATACGTGAATGTATAATTTACTTTGTAAATGGTCCTCCAAAGACAGAAGCTTGAGATTCATTTGGCTAATAGAGATGAGGATTAAATCTACTTTATTAATGTCAATTTATCTTGCAAATAATTTATATTAAATGATTAATTACCGTACTGCCCGATTGTTGAGAATCGGCAAATAAATTTGGCTGGCTACGCCTGCGAGAGGAAATGAGTAAGATTAACTTTACCAATACGTACTTGGATAAAGAAATTATTAAAGTACCTGGATGTGTTGCCAGCAAAGGAATCATGTTTTAACAAACTTTTTGGGGTTACATCATTTCCAAGGTCGTCTAGAATCTATTAACGTTACATACATAGAGGTAAGCCATCACTGTGCATAAAGTCGCGTTCTATTAAGTTAGCTTATGAAAAGTACTTATAATGCTTACGCCTAATCAATAGTAATTATAATACCTGAATATCAGCTTTGCTTGACTTGGAGAGATCCTTAATGTTAGGATCAATCATAACCTGGCGACGACCTGTCATGCCATAATTCATACGCGAAGTGGCAATTGAAGCTCGAGTGGCTGAGAATCGAGTTTCAGAGCCTTGCGTGTATTTCGTGCTATTGCGCAACGTAGCTCTGAAGACAGGCAAGAACGTTAAATTCATAATTAAAATTGAGTAGCCAAGATAGATATATTGACCGAAAGAGCTTAGGTAATAATTACTATACAGTCGATTATTCCTTCTTTCCTGGATAATTTCTTATCAACATGATGCATACGCAATTAACTTGAAGTGCTCGTATTTATGATACGTTTACGTATTATAGACTACAATAATTTAAATAGACGATAAATACTTATTTCTACTGTTACTGTACTTCTAATCGTATGATAGTGATTGAAGTGATTTAAATTTTTTGATGATGAGGTCCATTTATTACCAGAGACTATATATGGAAAAGCGTTCGTTTTGAACTAAAATACTACTATAAATTATGAGATATTTGGAATAGGTATACAGTACAGTAAATTAAGTCCACATTAATGGTTATTCTATTAGTACGAAATAATGAAAAAAAATCATTTCTGGCATCTTCTATTCCTAGTTCGATAAATTATCTGTACCTTGATTTGTTCGACATTTTGAAAAGTTGCAAATCCTACATGTATAAACTGTACCCTGTAAACGTTGATCGATTTTGTAGTGGTTGCTATGGACAACGGAGGATTTCCTCAGATACTATAGACCGGCGTACAGTACACTATACCGTGTCCTGAACGATACTGCAGTTGGTAAGAAAATTTCCTTTTCGTTGTATTATAATGCATCTGTATGCAAATGAAAGCAGTACGAGAACCCTTAAGCGTTGTTGTCATTGAGCACAACACTACGTCATCACGGTAGTCCAGAGAAGAAATCAAACCTCCATACTGTGCCAATGTACATTACTGCAGTTTCCGTACCTAAATAGCAAAAGTAGCAAAAAATCGATAACATTTTGACTCATCGAAGAATTTTCATTAGCAGATGCTGCTAACGAATTTAGTTGCTGCCAAGCTTCAATTAAGGCATAATTTATGATATACTGCAATTATAATTGGTCGGGAATATCTTACAATGATATTGATCGTATGATGTCTACCTAAATACTGACACAGTTGGCTAAGAATTGTCGTACAAGGCTCAATTGGATTTGCTAAAGTCCAGTATATCGCTGCTATTGATGCTTGCAAGCGTGAGAATCTTCCGAATGTCGGATTTGAACTGTCGTTTAATAAACACTTTATACTCCATTATAGCGATGCTTTGCACAGTAGCTTTATTATGATGAAAGTGTATTGGCATAGTTTTAAGCAAAGTGGCATTTATTTTCATTCTGAAAATTGAGCGTTTGAAAGTATACACTTGAAATCTATTCTTGAAAGACTGTCATTTCTGATGGATACTACGTGTGGGTCGTATAGTATTTATTAGGCTGTTGAATCTAGAGATATGGAGTAAGTGTTGGAAATAGAATAACCTTTTTTTAACTTATATTTCGCATATAGACATTCACTCCTTAGAATAAATGATCCCTAGTTTATTGTTAATAGATACCCACTGATTATAGTCATTACGAAAATATTAATATATGATCTCAATAGCTCTGATACAGATATACGTATCTAACGTGTCCCCTTCAAAATTAGACGAAAACAAGTCCTTAGTACATGATCTTATACGATTACAACTTTTCATTTACTACCGTACACAGTTTGGTAACCTTGAGAATACATTTAAAAGCTAACGTAATTTTGATAGAATGTTCGCCCTAGTATTAAAGCTTTAAGCTTTATAATTTAGACTCAGATGTATCAAATTGCTTTCATGATATGCACTGATCAAGTAATCACCTTGCTTGAGCTACATAAGTTCACCGTAACAGTGACATCGCTACATTTAAATTGTATGTTATTAGCATGACAGTGAATTTATGTAAAAAGAAAGTTCTAAACGTTGTGCTTACTCTTTCTAATAGGAATAATTCATCAAGGTCAGCCTGCAGCTGCTCCGATGAGCAATGCTTTTTATACATCAATAATCAGTCCTTGCCACCACCTCCTGAGGAACCATTGCAAAGTGATTGTTGTGGTCAAGGTTGTAATCCTTGCGTCTTCGATATCTATGAAAGCGATATTGCAAAGTGGAAGAAGAAATGCCGTCGTATTCTTAATAATGAAGAAGATTTTCTGGAAGATACTACGAAAAATTGTCGTCTGGCAGGCATAGTGCTTGATCAATTTACATCTTTACAGATCATATCCATACAAAAGATTACTGAAAAATTAATTACTTATCGATTTAAATTGCCTAATAATAAACCACTGAATTTAAATCCTGGTCAGCATTTGCTATTAGCCCATAAAGCTAACGATTTTATGCTTACGCGTCAATATACACCAATAAGTTCCGTTGATACCGTTGGATATTTCGATGTTTTTATCAAAATTTATGATAACGGTAAAATGTCAGATCAGATTCGACAATGGCATGTAGGAGATTATGCTATGTGGAGAGGACCTTATGGCGATTTTCAATATCTGCCCAATCAATGCAAAAAGATATTAATGCTAGCGGCTGGAACTGGTGTTGCGCCGATGATACAAATTATACGCTATGTTATCAATAATGAGAACGATGATACTCTACTTCATTTAATTTTATCCGTCAAGTATTATGACGACATAGCTTTAAAACATGACCTAGATGCTTTCAAGCAGTATTGGAATGTAACTGTCGAATACGTTCTAACTTGCGAGAAAGATACGAAAAAATTCAAATATGGTGATAAAATTACGCTTAGCAAGGTTGATCACCAATTTCTTGAAAAAGTCTTATTTCCTCCATCTCAAAATTCTAAAGTGCTTATATGCGGAACAAAATCATTCGAAAAAGACATGATAAAATATTTAAAGCAATTCGGCTTTACTGAAGAGAATTATTTTAAATTTTAGAAATTTGAAAACCAGTACAATAACTAGAGCACTGTGGTACACACTCTAGCAGAGTCTAAATATACTCGTATAGTACAGCGATTAGCTACAACTGACTTATTTACCAATGCCATTCTGTTTAAAGTATATAAACATAAATCACAATTTTTGATGCAGATACTGCAGATATTCCATTGAAATAAAATTGTTCATTGATTTTGAGTTATGGTTAGCATTTGTAGCTTGTCTATTTATTATGGACATAATCTTTACAAGGTAACAGCATCTTTTACGCCAACAACTACTCCTCCCCATAATTCTGCTAGTTGTACGCTAGGTGTTTAATCAATCAGTCAGCGGTAGAAAAATAGAATTTTAAACATCCTCATAATAATTTAAATAAACAATCGCTGAGTAAATTTTTACTTTTACCGGTAATTTTATTATCTTACAATATCAGGATATGATTGTTGAGTGATACTGTAAAGGATACGATACAATATCATAGGTTTGAAATATATAAACTGTTATTGTGCAAGGTAGTACTGTACTCAGTTTGTAAAGGACTCATCATGCCAATGTTATTATTTAAATACAATTAGACTAGCTTTCTTGTTAATAAATAAGAAGTTAGTCGTTCATTTACAGATTGCACATGGCATTGTCAACATTCAACAGCACTTGTGTTAGTAAAAAATTGGTAAATTAACATAATTATAATATTACCTAAACACAGAAGCACCGTACGAATGTTATTTCAACGGTAATCAAATTACATTCGCAAAATATTCATATGGTATCTAATAGACATACACCAGACACAACGATTGCAACATTTACATGAAAAGTCGATTATAATGGTTATTACGCAATAAGAAAGGACACTACCTACTAGTTTTGAGATAATAGACAGTTATCTGATTGCAATTAATTACGTGTTACCAATAATAAACTACGTGCTTACAGGCACCAATGCTGCACGCGCTTATTTTGGGGCAGAATACATATCGCACTGTAAGTTGCTAACGGGTTCAGAATTTTAGTGTGAAACAGCCAATGGTTGAACAGTAACATAGGCACAACGCATAGTAATTACTTAGGTTACGTACGTACGATCTAGAATCATTTGCAATCATCATCTATTTGGAATGAAATAGATTATTTCATAATCTAGCAGTCGCAACATTATACAATCACTAATCATCGCAAATTGCTATCGTAGGTAACCTTTTCTTGATACAGCTGGCACATTTAACTTCCTCAAATTCCAAGCTGAATAAATTCGTCTACTAATTCAATTTAATCATGGGGATAGCTTAGACTGCCAGAGCTTGACATATTTACAAAAACCACCCTTACGTTAGTGCACATAGTTAGATTGCTAGCATTGTATTTTGTACTTTAGTTTTTGAGGATAGAGCTCAATAAACTACTTAGAGTTTGATGAATATAAATTTTCGGATTCGATATAATTCGTTTGAAGTAAGAGCTAGTTTTCATTATTTGTGTACAACACTACAATGATATTTTGCATAATTTCTTTAAGTGAATAGTAGGATCATAGACCTTGGCTGCATCCTACATAAGATAATAGCTTTTTATATCAAGAATACTATAATCAAATTCTGAGGCACCAGAAATCAGTCAGCAGTGGGAACTGTTGAATCTTGCTGCGTTGTAGTTTCTGAATCGAAATTTTTCACGAGAGTTAAAGATCCTTGGTTGTCTTCTGTCTGTTCATAGAAATTACTTTCTTCTAAATCTTCTAAGGTGCAAAAATAAATGTGAGTTATACCTACAATCAAATCTAGGTAATGTCAAACTCTGCTCAATAATAAATATATAATTTTTATTATTTCACAAAGATTTAACATTTAACCTGTTGATCCCTGGTGATATAGGTCATTCAAGATAATTTGTTCATCGCATGCATAGTTATCAGGTTTATGCACATTAGGTACACGCAGACCAACAGGAAAGCGAGAGCTGAGACTACCACCAGCTATGTTGTAACGTAAGGAAACAGTTAATGAAGAGTGTCCAAGTCCGAATTGGAATCTTAGCAAAAATCAGATATTATTGAGAAGACAGTTTACCAATCACATTATTATTCAGAGGCTCTGATGGATTAAGAGGTTGTGCCCGTTCATATGGATTCAAATGAGCATCAACCTCATTCTCATCAAGAAATCTGTCCATGTAGTCGCTGCAAATAAAGATTTCTTAAAATCAACATGCAAAAGTAATTTAATCCTATTAGTTAGACATATAGAACAGTAGACTTACGTGACACCAGGCTGAAAATATCCTTTCCTTTTTCCGTTATTTAACTGCATAGTAAACGCATCATAGCGTTCTGTCTTTTTCCATAGGTAATAGAATTGTACGATTTCACCAACAGAGCGCGTCGGTAATAAGCTTTGACGAATCTGATAGAAGTTCTTCCCACAAAGTTTCAACCCTGTTCACAGAAAATAGGCCAACGTTACATTTTTTTCTGATAAATACTACATGTACTATTACTTTACTATATCATATTATTCATAAAATTTAAATTTCTTATGACCGTCTTCGAATTTACAACATTCATCTTCAGACCAAAAAGGTGCTATGATAGGTAGGTGGTACCAATATTAGTATTAGATGTTATAAACCTAAGTAATTCAATTGTATATAAACCCTTGTACTAAAATTCTTACTTGAATCACTTAGACATTCTCCAGTAAAATGTTCTTTATGATTAATTGCTTTATCTACATCAAAATTGTTTTGGAGCAAAATGAACAGCGCTTTATCATCGTCTTTATTATGATTGCCTAATGGCAAGGTGGTGATGCCTTCAACATCAGGGGATGGCTGGCAATATTTTGAAAGATATTTAACCACTATCACATCCAAAAGACATCATGAAATTAGAATTTAGTACCTTCCAGTTAGTAATAAATAGTTCACAACTGCATCAGAAGCATTACCTCTATCCTCCTCTATGTTGTCGGGCGTCCACAATAAAGTATCTGATAGCACCGTTGAACATAAATACACACACACAATAGATTTGTTAGTTCACGTATATGATAACAAAAAGCTAGAAAAGAGGATTATACATTAATGCTTCTCCATTGTTACTCAGTGCCAGCAACAACACCGAGCAACAGATACTCCAATATTAAAATACCTCCTAGTGCTGGGTGGATACTCTTTTTATCAGATTTCAAGGTATACTCAGGTATTTCGGCTTGATACTCAGGGCCAACACGAATTTCCTGTTGAAATACGAACGAATCCAGGCATGAACAAACGTACGATGCGTACCGTAATAGAGTATATGTAAGATACTTGAAAGTATCTTATCGACACTTCACTGACCTTCTTCCACTCCAACGGTTCGTAGTCTGAATCACTTTCATCGGATTCATCACTGTTGGCATCAGCTTGATTATACACTAAAGCCAGTTAGATGTCTTCAGAATATTCAATAAAGCTACGATTGTACTGTTAAAAGTCACTTACTGTTAACTAAATCTCGGCTATCGGAGCCACTTCCACTACCAGCACTTTCTGATACATATTCATCATCGTTGTCCCTTTTCCGTTTCTCGCCAGTCTTAATTTCAGGTTCATCTATTTTATGGAATGATGCCGTAACAACGCCTTTCTTATCCTCCTCTCCAGAGCTTTCGTCTTTCTGCTGTGATTTAGCAGTCTCGCCGTATCCATACATAGCCATTAATTGTTCTAGTGGCATGTCTCCTTCCTACAAGCGTTAAATCGTTGATGTTATAAAATCATCGGATAGCAGTTACAAGTTGGCTAAGAAGATTACTGTAATTAGCATTTTATCAGCAACTACTCATCACGTAAATTACTTCTTCAAGTAGGGCCAGTTCTTCCGCCTGAGTATCAGCATCAACATCGTCTTGTAATTCCTCATCTTCCATTGTCTGTTCATCATCAAAGTCATCCATCATCATCTCAACCGTAGGCTCGAATTCATCGTCGCCTTAACAACGAAAGCAATAAAATCATTAGATGTCGTTAAAAGTAACTAATTACGATCTGTTTAGTCACATCATAAATCATTTAGATAGCCGTTACATGAAAACTATGGCTCGTTTTAAATTTTTACATTTAAGTTAACAAAGATGGATATTATATTTTAAGCCAGTCAATAAATGGTGATATGAAAAGTCTACGCATCAAGGATATTATAACGGCTAAATGAGCGTTCTTTCCTTTAGACTTTATTCTCAGTAAGTTAGCTCTTAGCTATAAATACTTAACTAGTAAATAAAGCAACCAACGGCAATGAACCTTATAACAGAGCTAATAAAAATAAATCTGTGGGTATAATGCACTTAATTATCCATTACAGTTATATCAAATTTATATGCAGCAACACGTGATGTTTTGATAATTTAAGAAAGTAAAATAATGTCAAAATTGTATCAATATAGGTGATATTGCTGGGTTAATGAGATAAATGCTTATTTGATGAGTTCCAAGTATAAGAGATTCTGAAATAATTTATAATAAAAATTTCAACAGTTCGCCCAATGACAGGATATAACCATTTTAACTAGTAATACATTAATACTTTGTATAAAAACGGACGATAGCCAAGTACAGTATGTTCCAGTAGGTTTGCAAATGACGATTTCGCAATGAGTATGCTGTTATGCATATCTATATTAAGCATGATTGTAGTATTTATTGATCTTTTTAGCAATGCGAAATCTACCAAACTATATCAATTGCGAAGTACCGTAATTACTTCATAACATATGCGATTAATCAAAGATTGCAATGGAGCGAATTCACCCAATTATTATACTTTGTAATAAAGTAATATGATAACTTTTACATTATTACAAATATTAGCATGTTACATAGTGCGAAGGGCGCGTAAATATGAAAAAGTAATTCCAGCCAATATAGTGAATTTAAGAGTTTCTGTCAGATATAAATAAAAACATTTATCATGTTAAACGAGGTAAACTTTTAAGATATTGGATTCTTTTGAAACAGAATATACTTTTATTGTAATCAGTTACTCACAAATTTGCTTGTTTAGTATATAACTAGCTAGGAAAACTTTACTTTTACGCCGATAAATAATTTTTGGGGAATAGATTGAATATTACTGTCTAAGAGTTAAAATCTGCTTACTGTTTCTCTTATTTATAGTGGGTCATAACGAATCCAGATACATCATTAGGTAAATTTAGATAACATGGTGCTATGGATGGTTTTAGCTATACTGAGATATAGCACTAAGAAAAGATTAAAGGGGACTACAACGTTTTGTGCAGGCTAAAAATTTTATCAATAGTAATCTTGCATACAAGGACAGTCTTAAAAGATATATGTACTTCAGTTGAAGCATTATACATTAAATAGGAGCTCATAATGATTGTAGAGAGATATTTTTGACTTAAAAATCATCAGAGAGCAGTCTTAATAAAAATCAAACGAAAACTTTTTAAAGGAAGAGTTGCTAGCAATTATTGATTAAACACGTTCAAAAGTATTATATTACTACCTGTGGGCAGAGTTTCCGGGGATACATCCTATAGAGAAATTATTTTAATACATATATCAGTAACATACTCATTCATTTTACTTAAAAGTAACACTCATGAATGAAATACCAGTATTAAGATGATGTATTCAAAATATAAAAAAAATTTAGCACCGTAGGCCTGTACAACGATTGGTATCAATTGTATTCAAGAAATATTTAAACGTTAGCTAGTAAAAATTGAATCATTAGCGCTGATAATTTGCAGAAATTTCATGAATTGATACCGATCACGAATTAGGGGATCATAGAATGGCTATAGCAAGGGAAATTTATTACTTTTATGTTACTATAAATGCCCAGCTCGCTACTGATAAACTAGGTCGAGTCTAAAAGTGAGAGTATTCAATCTAGATTAAGCTCTTGTATCCTTCCAATACTAATATAATACTGCAGCATAGACCGAATGATATCTATTGAAAGAATACAGTAGAGATTCGATTTAGAGGCTATTCTAGTATACGAATTGGTCTTCTACGGAGGAAAGTACAAAATTTTACTTGTACGATAATTGTACTAAGTCTAGATAGAAATGAGAAATTCGGCGGGCTAGTTATCTCAGCTGTTGTCGTCCGTCACTACAGCGACAGAGTTGCGCCGAAAATACTTCGATTCATAATTACATTAAAATATTATTAATAAAACCGAATATACATAGCAGTTTAGTGAAAAAAGTTTGAAAAATAACCAATTTAGTGTGTAAAGTGGATTATTTAGTTTTACCATCTCAAATTGGATACTTGATAATTCATTAAAATACTACTAGCAACGGAATTACCTTGTTCGCCATCTTCTCAGTTGTCGAATTTCCAGCTTGACTGATTTACAGTACAGTACAGTACCGTCGATGAGTTTTACGCTTGCGCTGTACCGTACACGGTACCGTACAGTACAGCACAGTAGATTCTAGAAACAGTACTGTAGTACTGTAGAAAAGCGTGTAAAACAGATGTCATTTAGAAAGAGATAAAGTCTTAACATTGCATTGCAAATCCGCGCCTCGTCTTGCGACGTTTATTTTACACATACCTTTCACCAAAATGCATAGAGACAAAAGCCTAGCCTTACAGTATTTAACTTTAACGCCTCTTGCCTACAGTATACAGTACTGTACAGTACTGTAAAAGTGCAGTACTGTACTGTACAGTATTAATTGGAAACTAAAGACTGTACTGTACTGTACAGTACATACTTATTGCCTCTTGCCTACAGTCTGAAAGTCCAGTACAGTATTAATTGGAAACTAAAGACTGTACTGGACTTATTGCCTCTCGCCTCTAAAAGTCCAGTACAGGATTAATTGGAAACTAAAGACTGTCCTGTACTTGATGCATCTTGACTATAAAAGTCCAGTACAGGATTAATTGGAAACTAAAGACTGTATTTACTGTACTTATTGCCTCTTGCCTACAGTATAAAATTTCAGTACAGAATTTTTAGTTGGAAACTAAAGACTGTACAGTACTGTACTTTTGCCTCTTGCCTCTAAAAGTCCAGTACGGTACAGTATTAATTGGAAACTAAAGACTGTACTGTACAGTACTTATTGCCTCTTGCCTTTAAAAGTCCAGTACAGTACAGTATTAATTGGAAATTAAAGACTGTACTGTACAGTACTGTACTGTACTGGACTTACAGTACTGTATTGCCTCTTGCCTCTAAAAGTTCAGTACTGTACACTGTACAGTACAGTACAGTACTTATGCTACAGTATCTCGATGGAAAAAAAACACTGTACAGTACAGTACAGTACAGATGATACAGTCTTACTTATGTGATAGTACTGTACTGTACAGGGTACACTGTACTGTCCAGTACAATACCGCACAGTACAGTGTACAGTAGTGTAAAATAAGAAAAAACCTGTACTGTACAGTTCTGTACACTGTGTACTCTACTGTTCCTTGCACTGTAGAGTCAGTTTACAACTAGCCAACAAATTTCTCAACCATCAACACTCGTTTCTTTTCAGTCAGCACCACGTTCAATGGGACAGCATTTGTATTCCCGCAGCCTGTGAAGGTGATATGCAAAAAATTCCTCTTCACTCATATCAAGGACAATAATTATTTAAAAGTAGCATCCAAGGATTGCCTGTAGGCTCGACAAGTTGTAGTGGTTTACATACAGTATACTGGCAATGACGCAAGCAGTGGACCAAATCAATGATATCCTAAGGCTTCTAAATGATTTGGATACGGAAATCGATAAATTCTTTTCCTCCATGTAAGTGCAAATAACAATTTCCTCACTCATGTTCGCTATCCACACAATCAAACACTCTCTATCATAAAAGGATCTCTATGCATAACTCTCTGTTGATGTATAATTCCTTTTAAAAATCTTGCAATCAACATAATGTATTGCAAAATACTGCTGCATACTGAAATTCCACGTAATACTATTACCGATATCTATGCTAGAAAAGATCTAATATTGCATGATAGTGATATCTTCAGATTGGTTTTACATCATTGTAGGGTAAAGTGCTTACTCACTACGTTTATTATTTTATTGTGTGGCAGCAATATACTCTGGGTAAAATAACAATAGACCTGTGCTGCGTAGAATTTTATTCAGTTCATTTTATAAATTTCTGAGCTGCTTGTTGCTTCCTTGGATTATGGCTTCATGACATTTCAGGTTTTGTGTTATGATTTATTCTTACAGGCAGCAATCATGCAGTGTGAGGTACACCAAGACTGATATTGATGGTAAGAGAACTTATATATTTTATTATTAACCCATTGTCCATAGAAGCAGTATGATGGATTATGTTGGCATTTTGATAAAATTACATGTTTTGCTTTGCAAGGACGTACTAGTTTTGAAGCTAATCAATCAATCACGCACATACTACTAAAAGAGAGTACAGCATAACAAAATTGAGTTCAGTATTGATGTGCATTTTTGCGCATTCAAAAGTTGTGAGTATGACTCCTGTGAAGATGGTTGTTAATAATAATGATCAACCGTAAATATACTCCAATAATTAATGAATATAAACTAAATAGCTAAGGGACTGATAGACCAGAGTCAATTCAGCAAATTGTGAATATCATGGATTTATTGATTTACTCAATGACTACAGTTGGAAGAATTCGGTAAATGCTATAGGATAATTATTCATTTATTGAATGCCGTCGAGTTTTAATAGAAAAAGCTATTTCATATCTCGAATGATGCTTTCAATTGGGCATTGCAAAGATAATAATCAACCGGATATATTGTTAAAATCATATCAACACATCGTTGATATTAGTCAACTAATGTAAGGCACAGGGGCTCTGTTAGTGTTCATATCTGCTTAATTATTCCAGATATAAATAATCGATTTTCATTGATCAATAACGTATTATGTAAATTCTTATCGGATAAAGGTGATCTTCAGGCCTTACTAAAGATGCGACAAGACATTGAAAGCAAAGTGAAGGAATATGGGCTAAATTGTGTTCCACTAGACTGGCCAAAAAATGCGAAAGAAAAAGATTTATTGGCCGGTATTAAGCAAGAAGCAAGTGTATTAAGAACAAATAACACTAAACTTCAAGATAGCTGTAGCACCATTCATAACATCGTAGCAAATCAGAGAACAGTATAATAGGCATATTCGGATTGTGAACGCTGTATGAATCTTTCAATAGTCATAATGATGCTTATTCTCGATGAATAGGATTAATTATGTCGTACTAGCATTGGCAAATTATGATCGCAATTAGCTTGTTATAAATAAAATGTCTTTTATAGTCGGTCCTGTGAATTTGTCAATTAGTTACCATTGACTGCTATTGTCAGTGCATTACGTGTACGTAACAATGAATCCTGTCATGAAGCCATGAAGTGTACGTAAATTTCAGATACTATCTGAAACAATTCTGTAATTTATTAACTTTAAAAAGCTGTCTCCGTAATTTTCATGTGATTCGTGTTAATATCATGCTTTCCGTACTGTGCTAAAGATCATAATGATTGCATGGTATGTTTGTATAACTACTGTATATTATGGTTCATTTATCTATGCATACAAATAAGCTTTCTCATATAAGTGAAGAGTAAATTTTTAAATTCGTCATTGATTTAATGGCAGTTTCATAACAGAACATTTGTAAGTTATGAATTTGGATTGCTATATTTGCTTGTAAATATGCCTGCTTAAGTAAGACATATAATGTATCATAGATAGCATAAATACGTACCGTTAGTTTAGGCAATTCGTAGATACTTTTATATGATTTATATACTATGGTATACTATGTTGACTTCGGTTGCGAATCTGCAATTAAAATATTGGTATTCCTTATCGTTATGCCATGGATGCATCATATAATTAATTATATTAATTGTCAAGTTATAACGGTAAAATAAGATGACCGCAGTTCTTCACCTTTCATGATCGGGTGCGTGGAAATAAGAATAACCATCCGAATTTTTCTATTGAGTAAGAGAATTCAAGTTCAGTAGGATATTCCATTTAGACCCTAATTTTCTACGACCTTGAGTTTTAGTTTATAAAGAGCAAAACGAATACAGTAATATTACCTAGTACCCATTTCTTCTTCGTAAGTTAAATTTCGAAAGTAAACATTTGGTATGAATCGATAAAGTGTTAAAGGCAAATCTTCCGGAAAGTTAATTTCATGATAAATAACATTAGCTGGAGAATCTAAAATAACCGCGGATATCAAATACTTAGGGCATGCTATACACTGGAAAACCTATTGACACTAAAGTTTGTCACTAACACTAAACATGCGTTGACAAACTATATTCAAAATTTCGGTAAGCTATTGGTTGTAGATAAGTAGTTATATTATTTATAACTTGTATAGACTTTGATTATCTCCATATTGTTATTTAATTACACTGCTTCTTATATTTCCAAAGTTAAATGTAGGAAAAATTATTACGCGATTACTTTTGGATTGGTTATTAATGTATTGACCAATAGCCATAGGATTTACTGGATTTGATGTCAGCCATGTTATATCGTTCAGTATATGATGCCCTAGAATATCGCGTTTTGTGCAAGACCTAGAATACATACATTACACGTAAAAGTAGATAAGATTTAAAGCTAAGAATCTTCTTTCCATGGTTACGGCTTAATAACATACGCATAAATGGAATTTATGCACAGCTCTATTTACGTGTTTCGTATTAGACTGTCTTACATATAAACAGCTTTAGATATGCCATGATCTTTGCCATCAATTATTGTTCCATCAACACATCGAAACATGAAGGAATTCCGTATCGACTGAAATAGCATCGAATCGTGCGACTGATAAATTGTGCCTATCAGAATATAAAATCCTGTAAACTATAAAAGGCTAGAGCATTATGTTGTAAAGCTATTCCGCAGCTGTCAGGCCATGATAGATCGCACTGCAATTCGATCTAAATTTAAGGCTAAAAATATACCTGGATATAAAGCTACTACTTTGCCAGGTGGTATATACCCATCTGAGACATAAACACCTATTCCTTTATCTTTTGTTTCTTTGCGAGCGATGGTAAATCCGCAAACATTCATCATTATCATGCTAGCCGCTTGAGAGTCCATCGCCAAAGACTCGCTGTCATAATTATGACGATATTTTCTTATGTCAATCTTTTTTACTGCCGTATCCAAACGATAAAATAACTCTTTTAGAGTGTTACAAATTTCATTTTCTTTAACTTGTAATCCTTCAGTACTTGAGTTTTCCTTGGGAATGTATTTTATTGTCCTTCGCAAAAATACAAGTAGACCCAAGTGTTATATTTATAAAAGATCGATATTAGAGCTCAGCTGCGTCCAATGCAAGCTAATAATAAATATATATATATATACGAGTATATACCGGTATAACATACTGCATAAATAATTAATTAATTAATAAATTAATGAGCTCACCTATCTTTCAATTTCCATATTAGGTACGGTACGAAGCGATACTTGTAGTTTTGCCACCACTTTAATACCTTCTGCATACGCTGTAGTTAGTGTGTGCACACATGCATATATATACCTAGTCACCAATTTATGCGTTTATGCTGTAGTACTATGCAATATGTATACAGGATTAGCAGCTAATTAGATATTGTGCAGCAGCATTGATGCTATTTTCAACTACTGTATTGCCTGTTGCCCGAACGAGAGCTTTTATGGAAAGGAGATGCTTACAGTACTGTGCAATATACTGTACAATGTGGCCCTTCGTGTTACTGTCGATTGTATAGCACTGTACAGCACAGTGTACATGCACTCACTCCCTGATATACAGTAGTACTGTACAATTTAGACTGCATTCAAAAATTAATTTTATTTTAAAATGAGCAATATATTTCCCAACAGCTTAACGCTTTAGTGTAGTAGCAATCTGTTGATATAAATTCGACAGGAATTCTATTTACTAAAAGTGGTCTATCTACACCTGTTAAGCCATTTTTTGTCACTTTTAAAAATGGCGTTGTGTCAGTATTTGAAACGGCGAAAGTTCACTTACAGCAAATAAAATTCTTGAGGAAATTATATCAAGAGACCATCACTTATCGACTGTATACTAAACTGTGAAGCTGTTAGGAGCTTGAGTTAACCTTTAGTAAATGAAATTGTTGAAGAAATTATATCAAGAGACCGTCACTTATCGACTGTATACCAGTGTTCCATACAATCCTATTGTTGATTGTTTAATACTTTTCATCCTCCATTATGTATACTAAACCATGAAGCTGCTAGGAGCCTCAATTCACTTTTAGTAAATAAAATTGTTGAAGAAATTATATCAAGAGACCATCACTTATCGATTATACTGTATACTAAACCGTGAAACTGTTAGGAGCTATAGTTAACCTTTAATAAATAAAAGTCTTGAAGAAATTATATCAAGAGACCATCACTTATCGACAGTATACTAAACTGTGAAGCTGTTAGGAGCTAGAGTTAACCTTTAGTAAATGAAATTGTTAAAGAAATTATATCAAGGTCTCTTTAGACCATCACTTATCGACTGTATACTAAACTGTGAAGCTGTTAGGAGCTTGAGTTAACCTTTAGTAAATGAAATTGTTGAAGAAATTATATCAAGAGACCATCACTTATCGACTGTATACTAAACTGTGAAGCTGTTAGGAGCTTGAGTTAACCTTTAGTAAATAAAATTGTTGAAGAAATTATATCAAGAGACCGTCACTTATCGACTGTATACCAGTGCTCCATACAATCCTATTGTTGATTATTTAATACTTTTCATCTTTAATTATGTATACTAAACCGTGAAGCTATTAGGAGCTATAGTTCACTTTAGTAAAAATTGTTGAAGAAATTATATCAAGAAACTATCACTTATCGACTGTACACTAAACCGTGAAGCTGTTGGGAGCAAAGTCATTTTTTAAACTTCAAATTTTAATTTAATTTTTAATTAAATAATATAGTCTACTGTACCGTAAAGCCAGTATGATACCGCCAGCTTTTATATGGTGGCATTACAGAAAACAGACATGACAGACGCAAGATGTTTTTGAAAAAAATCTTTCCAAAAGTTCATACCATAATGCTAGGTTACTGGACGGAAGCCCTACATCAATAATACTGTAGCATGCATCGCTCCATTATCCATACTGTCTGTAGTTGATGCCTTTTCTAGGGTAAAATTGTAGTTGAAAATTCCAATATTTAATGAAGTGTTGACAGAATTGAGACCGCAATTGGTAAGGTGGTCTTCTCTTCCTGTGGCTACAAATTAACACTCTAGACGTAGAATACAAGTAGTAATAGCTAACATTATTATCATTTTGCATTGGGGCACGGTATGCTAGTTGTAATAGCGTTATCATAAAGTACAGTATTGGAGTACATCTAGTTAGTAGCTTTATGTACTAATACTGTACTTACATAGCTTGATTTTTTATTATCATAATATATTTACTGCCATGATCGTTTGTAGAACTTTAGTTCCCCCGATGCATTTCTTACTCCGGACGTTAATAGTATTTGTAGTTGGTGTGTTGCTTTCCCTTGCACTGTTAATACTTCAAATTGAACGTAATGTGGCGTTATTTCCGCCCGGTGTCTTGTCTGATCTTTCTTCTATACCTTGGTGGGTGCCAATCTCGTGTGGAGCTGGTGCAGCAACAATTGGGCTATCGCTGCCAAAGATGGACGAATGGTTTCAGAGAAAATATGATTATCATCATGATCAAGTCGAATGGGTCGGTGTACTGCGATGTGTAGGTAAGTTAAACTCAATAACTTATCAAGCGACTTATAGTCATAATAATGATGTTTTAATGAATTATAAAATACTGTACGATCTTCGTTGTAAGGATTATCGCAAACTCAAATTCGATCAGGAAATGGGTGCTTTATTGCAGTACATATTTCAAGCTCTCGGATTTGTAGCTATAATTGATAGACATCTAGGATTACATCAAACATAATAGGCCTTGGACCAAAACCTTCATCAAATGAAACTTTAACAGTAGAAATGGATAGTATAGAATCTGAAATGATCATATATATCCGAGATTCAGTTGATAATTATAATTATAATCAGACTACTTGCATGACTGTCATGATGGAATGTCTGTCCTGCGTTTTTTACTATACAGTCACCAGCCATAATACCCTAATGTTAATCATACGTTCGTTCATGGACTAAAGTACAATAATGATGGTCAGGCAATTGCACATTTAGTATAATATAACTGGTTAGAATTAGGTACTTATCCATGCAAAAGGCAGCTTTCCACGTTGATCTGTGGCTAATCAGCGGGTTTAATTGATCGTTTTCTTGTATTTTAGGAATCTTTGTCGGGATAACATACGCTAGTACCCTGGCTTATAACTCTGTAAGTTTCACACCAACAGCAAATCATTTCTTGATCAATTTCTTGCAAATTATCAACAGTATAACGCCATTCAAGTCGATGATGTGGACAGTACAGTATTGTATTCATCAATGATCCCTTAGTTTATTGTTCACTTTCTACATCTTACGTTATGAACTTATTACAAAGTTATTGATGTATTCTTGTAGCTACTCGCCAGCATGAGTGACCATCTTATTACCAAGTAGTAAGTCTTCAGTTGCTACAGTTATTACAGTAGTAGTTGATGTACAATGTACATTATTGGTGCTTAAAATATTGTACATTAAATTATAGTAAAGTGCCAAACGTGGTACTTACTGCATATAGCTAGAGATGCGTATATTCGGCACTATATTGATCCAGATATGATTTATTCTATCTAATTAGCGAGAGCGAAGAGTTGTAATCAATGGCAATTCTAGGAGTCATTGACAATGACTAATGCAATTTTTAATTGACATAAGAATTATTACTTACAAAGTATAAATTGTGATTCAAGTGTCTTATAGTAGTAAAACACAGTTTAATTACTGTCATATGTACGTCCTCAACACTAATCTATACCGACTTTTGGATAATAGCGTACAAGAAATCACTGCATAAATACACAAATTAGCATTTCAAATGTTGTACGCGCACAATGTACAGTACATAACTCTTCTCATTAAAGTAATAACTATTAAGTAATCTATTCAAAAGATGGGTGCAATATCCACCCAATGTTGATCAAATCTTGAAATACAGACGTGGGTCAACTGATTTTATTCGAGATAATACATTGAACACTTTAATATTACTATACGTGTATTTAACTAACAGTGGTTTTTGTTGGTACCATAGAACAGTAAATAATAATACATTTTATGATGTAAGAAATTTACTTCAGCTGCTACCTTATCGCGGTTAAACTAGATTCTGTGCTGGTGCACTATGCTAAATTTATTATTTCAGACAGTTAATTTAATTCAAAACGATTGATGCATAATTTTAAATACATTCAAAATTGATGCGGTTACATAAACTGGTTTATACGCTGATGCATTATATCATTTTGGGATCTTGTTTTCGCAGGAAATTCAAATAGAAGTTGCTAAATTTTCAGTATCACTTTCTTTGATGGCTATTGGTCAGTGGTGGTTATTCGATAGATCTGTAAGTGGGTTTGTTCTTGGGGTGGCAGTTTCTTTTACAGCTACTGCAGTAACTCAAATTATTGTCCACTATGGAATATTTAGGTGAGTTCTATTCATGACTTGAATAAGTCGGTGTCTATAACACCGAGTGTAATAGAAGGGTATTCTTTTGTCATAGTATTTCTTTGCTTAAAAGAAGAATACAATAAATAATTGCTTGGTTTTCGAATATAATGTTGTTGAGCTTCTTCACTGACCCTATACACCATATTTTTCTTTATTGGTCATCTTGTCCAATGCCTTTACTGTATCACTACTAGGAGATGTTGTTTAATTGTTGTTTAATACCGCTTACTTTGTAAGTCATCTTAATTATATCCTCTTCTTTGTATTGCATAGCTTTTCCAAGCCTGATTTTCTTAGTATACGGTCTTGGCTACCTGGAGTATTTTTTTCTGCTACAATTGCTATTGGTAGCTTAGGACGACAACTAGCGCAGGTAACGTTCCACTTAAGTGTCTATCAGTTTCAGTAAATGACGTTAGATGAGATTATTACTGTGTATTATATAATCTATTACGAATTCCCAATGTATCTGAAGTACTAAATTATGACTGTATTATTTTACTACACAAGACGAACGAAGCCATACATTAAAAGAAAGATTCATCTTAAGGATAATGAAATTGCTTACATAAACATGTTTTGCAGCTGGAATTCGAGGAACTGTTTAATTATATAATATAAACATGGCTGGCTTCCTCATTCACGAAGTAACGACTGTAACGTGCTTCCTGGGAATACGAACAGATTTCATTATAGGGTAATAGATGTAACTAATTTTCAACTTAGATGCAATGACAATATTAACTTAATGTAACTAACGTGTTGAATGCTATAAAAAAAACTACTACCAGTATTCTAATCTATAATATCATATGGATGTTCTGAAAATGTACATAGTATCAACAATCGGCGAAATGTCATTTCAAAAGGATTGAATTTACTTTACTAAACCTAATTCAATTGGAAGATTTTTATTTAGGTGATTAAAATTAATTATTTCTATTGTTGTTGAATTTATCTGGATTGCATAATAAGAGAATACGTTGCTGACATGATGTTGTTATCGTGGGATCGATTATGTACGTACATTGCATTGTACAAAATAATAAGGGCATTTGTGAACTTGTAAATTGATATCGGATCCTTAATAATAACTACAAAGCTGTGTTAACTTCCAGGAATAAAAATGACACAATTTTATTTAGTTAGCTAGCTTTTATGAACCTAGAGCGTTAAGCGATGAAACTATCCCTGAGGTATACCTGTAAAGATATTGTGTGTTATGGAAATTTCGTAAAATTAACCTTTCAATAATAATGATGAATCAATAGGAAATGCATGATAGCAAACTTTATATTCATATATCAAAAAATAGCAGATTCCCAAGCCAGGATACTGTACAGTATACGGTAATACTGTACGAATAATATTGATCATGCTAACTCCATTCGCCTTCTTAGTTTAGTAGCTGCATAATGATCTAAGTCGTAGACTCATAGGTATAATCATGAACTGGAAAAGATTTTCTTTCCCACTTGATACTCTATGGTAAGAGACAAAAGTACCTACTCGAGTACTTTTTATAATACTGTACTTCGATGTGGCAGGAATTGTACTGAGAAGTGAGTTGCACGATAGCACTGTCAAAGTAACTTTAAAGGCAGTAGTGCATAAGAGAGTATAAAGTGCAGGACATTTACGACATGCATCGTAACAGCATCGACCATCCATTTATGTGCATACAGCATTGAACTTGCACTTTCATTTAAATGATTGTAATAATTATATCAAAATTTCATGGGATGCGGTTTGTAGATAATCATTAAAATTAGTTCGCATATTACTGTATACCCGTGATATCGTGGGAGTTCAGACATCATCATTCAGAAGTTTATGAAGTTCTTTTGCAACCTATACTTTGCGGCATAAACCGGCCAAAAACTAAATTTCAAGTAACCTATTTACCACATATCAAATCGGCGTCATATCCATACACCTCTGGTCTTACATAAAAAATTAGGATGGCACTGTATCTTGTAGATCGAACCAATCAACAAGGCCTAAACAGTATCCGTGCACAATAATAATAGTACGTACAGATAAGCAATCTTTCAAATTTACACCCGTTTATTTCCGATGCTTTACAAATTGATATTACACATTATGTTAAGACGTTACTGTTCACGAGCTTTTCTTTTGTGCTACCTAAAATAAAAGTTTTAAATATCAAAATTCAATTTGATACCTAAATTTAATTTCTTAAAATTGTAAGATAATAGTATTCTTAATTTTGAATAAAGCAATAGAAGGCGAACCTGAGCAGCAATACGGTCTAAATCTCTTTGTCCACCTGAAGTAATGTATCTACCACTAATAGGAAGGAATGAAATAATGTCAATTTGTGGTTTATTTGCGCTATGCTGTATATTACAGTATTATGACAGAAAGCGCTAAAATGCCTACGTTAACAGTACGAGTATCTTACCTAGCATCTGCGACTTTCTGGATAATCTTCATGCCTTCTAGGGATTGTAGAACAGCACGAGCAACTCCACTAATACCAGGAGAATAATGACAGGGTCTTGAACCACGTCGTTTCTTAGCTGTAAGTTGTAAAAGTACTACGTTACTATTATGTGCTATAGTCATAATCTGTACGAATTACACCAAAGTGCATTATGTCACAATTGTTCATTAATTTCGGATGCTAATACAGTATACTGCTGTGTAAACCGAACGAAAAATAGGCTCGAAAGGGTCGTGTAGAATCTCATAATGCATTGCTTTGGTCAAATAACACTTCTTAATTAAGATGAAGTAGCGCACACTGACCTCCGTACTTTCTTCTAATTCTACCAACACCTTGGCCGCCTTGAAGATAGATTCTTCTAGCTACAGCGGCAGCCCTGATGTAATACCAATCTGGATCATATGGAGCTAATTCTTTGGAAATGTTAGTTTTGGCTAGGTCAACATGATCTGGTACATTTAATTTGCCTGATCTATTAAAATTTAAATTGATAATATGATGTATTACAAATTAATGTTGACAGTAAAGTCAAAAAGGATTATTGATCGACACACTAGTAATGCGAACCTACGGTATGTATTATTAATGCTTACGTATAACTATAAGTTTAAGGCATGGGTTGGAAGCTGTTTATCTCTATGCTAGAGTTAACAAGCGAAACTACGAACAGAGCTAGAGACAGCCTACTGAACAGCGTTTAACCTCACAATAAAAACGGTACACGCATATAAATATGATGACTAACTGGTGCAGAATACTAACTGCTCAATTCACACCATTTTAGGCCACAACTATGGTATGTAACTACCATTCAATTATAACATTCAATTATCATACTTTTTCAAGTAGGCCGCAAAGGCTTTGACAAAGTCGTGAGGACTGACGTCCTTAACAGTTACACCACCAGAAGTCATCTATTAAAGAGAGCAAAATAAAGCCATCATGAAAATCATTCCAGAGTAACAAGGTTGCTAAGTAAGTATTGAAACAGTATGCACTGGTATACTGTGTAGCACACTGTGTTGTAATCGCTCTTAAAAATTCGGTCTCCATTTTAACATTAGCAAAAAAGAATAGAACTTTATACGCTTATTATTGCCATAACGAAAACACCAGAAAGACTATGAGCATGTCAAGAGTGCAGTCGCCTGAACGCGGTCCACAGCATCGCTAGCACTATCGTAGACGCCTGACTGAATTGGCTATTACTTCGCAGCTGTGCATTGAGAAGTTCACGGCATTCGCAATACTGTACTACTAATTTCTGCTTACAAGAAGTAACGACAACCAATAAAAGAAGTAGAACTACTATAGAAGCGAAGCCCTACGGATGAAATCGAGTCGATTTACTACTCTAAAAGTATCAGCATCATGGATCAAGTTGAAAGCGCACAAATACGATTTTCTTGTAGTCTAACGTACAATATCAGAAGCTAATATATCATCAGTTTTACACGAGTAAAACCCAGATAAACAATCTCAATCGGAGTGTATCTACCATAAAATCTTATGGACATAGTTAACTTGAAGACATGTGTAAATTGCACATCAATCTATTGGCAAATTTTAAACGATAGAAGAGCAAAAGCCTAAAATGATGAATCTTTCCGAATCTACACGTGGTTCGCCATCTTACCTTGCCACTCGTCCGTCACAGAAAAGGAAGGTAGAGGGGCGGCCTATCGTCTTTATCAGGGCGTCGATTCAGTACATTACGATGCCGTGCAAAGTGCAGTACAGTACTGTACGCTGTACAGTACTGTACTGTAGGTCAAATGCATTCTGTGATACAGTACAGTACTACCGTACTGTACTGTACAATAAGTACACTGGCCAATGGTACGGTAGTAATGTACTGTACCGTACTGTACTGTACAGTTTTCGAGGTCGTCAAGGTCTGGTCTGGGTCCTTTATTTACGCACAGTGTACAGTACAGAGCCCAGTAGCGTGCTGTACTGTACTGTACATTTCTCTTTATTTTACCGTACTGTACTGTACAGTACTGTACAGTATGCAAACAGTCTACTGTAGTGTACAGTACTGTACTGTGCAGTTTTCGAGGTTGTCAAGGTCTGGTCTGGTCCTTTACGCACAGTGTACACTGTACAGTACAGTGTACAGTATACAGTAGTGTCCAGTACTGTACTGTACTGTATAGTACTGTACAATACAGTATAGTGTCCAGTACTGTATTGACACTTCTGTTGTTTTACTCATTGTACTGTACAGTACAGTGTACTGTACGTAAAATTCACTCTGTGATACTGTACTGTACTGTACACTGTAGTACTGTACACTGTACACTGTACAGTACAGTACAGTCAGGTCTAACAGTACTGGACTTAAGAGCAAGTTTAACTTTCTAACTTTACCAGATTCAGATTTTTCAGAATCTCTTCATCAACCTAATATATCATTCTATTATAGCTTTACTATATTTTTAAAGAATAATATTGCCCGAAAGTGACAAAATGTTATGGTACACACTGTACAGTATACAGTATTATTGTACAGTATGCCAACAGTCTACTGTACAGTACAGTACTGTACACTGTACAGTACACAGTATAGTTTTCGAGGTCGTCAAGGTCTGGTCTTGTCCTTTGCGTGCAGAGTACAGTGTACAGTGTACAGTATAGTGTCCGGTACTGTACTGTACAGTACACTTCTGTTGTTTTACTCACTGTACGTACTGGACAGTGTACAGTACAGTACATATGCCAACTACAGTACAAATTAGAGGTACACTACAGTACTGTACTGTACCTAAGTGACTGGTAACTTTCAAATTGAATGATAAAGTGCACTGTACAGACGGACAACCGCTTCATCGTCATACTGTACTGTACGTATGAGTACGATAGCTTGAACCAATTCACTCCAACCCCCCCCCCCCCGCACAAAAGCAACAGTACCCGTGGTAATTTCAAATTTTTTGCACCACTTTGCCTAGCCTTCCTGTTTGGCAACGTTGCATTAGTTTGGCAAGTATAATTGGTAAATAAATACTCGGAGAATAATTAAAAGAGAATTCAATTGCAATAATTTCTGTCATTATTTCTGTTTGACCTATAACCAAGATTATTATTGTCATGCCTGCGTCATTTTTCCTTTAATTTCTGTTTGTTCATTGATGCACACTACTGGGTCATGTCGTCATTCAACCCGCCAATTTTAAAATGGAGAGTCAGTAGTATTTGCAGTACAGTAAAGGCAATTTTATTGATTGAAATTAATGTTGAACTGCATCCATGTCGAGGATGTTGTTTAAGCTATACTATCTACTAGGTATTGAATTGAGAGTTGTAAAACAGTAATAACTATGTCAGAGATTGAAGATGTAAATAATTTCATGACGGTTGCTAAAGACGACGTCGTTGACTGTATCGTCATACAGTTGTATAGTACTACAGCAGATCGTTTATTATTCCCATTTCACTCATCACTATTAGAAGTGATTGGCAATTGATCTAGCAATAGCCAAACAAAGATAGTAATCGTGTTTGAGTGACATGGAATCAATATTTCTACATATTACGTCTTCACATATTGGATATTTTACTTCCATTCTAACGGTTTAATATTATGAAGACTTATGACGATGTCATTCCTCAATCTTGTAGTATAAAATAGAAATTGGAATAGCGATCAACTATGGAAGTCAACGATGAGACATTACGTCGATTAGCGCAATGCCTTCGCCAGACATTGGATCCCTCTGCGTCTGTGAGAAGACCAGGTGAACAATCACTTACTTATTATATAAATAGAGAGAGAGAGAGATACCAATTGGACTACCTTGGCCAGTGCTGTTGATAGTCAGCCATCATGACGTTACATTGTTTGAAACATAATTCAAAAGGCATACTTGCAATTTTCAAATTACTCTTTCATCTTATAATTTAATGTATTTTTTTCGTCAACTACTTAGCTGAGCAGTCGTTAGAACAGTTAGAATCCAATGCTGGATATTCGCTGTTACTGCTACGCTTGGTGGATAACAATCAGTTAGAAATGGAAGTTCGAATTGCTGCTACCATTGCATTCAAGAACTTTATTAAGAAAAATTGGCGAATTGTAAGTCTGTAAACTATCTTATACAGTACACCCAAGACTGTAGTCGTTCAATATCTTATTAGTAATTAAGTGTCGCTACGACTAGTAATATGATCAGTTTTGTATAATTTCTTAGCAATGAATGGTAAGATTAGCTTTATGGACTAAATAAGCTACAATTTATGCTTCCCTTTTACGTTAGATCGAAGATGAACCATCAAAGATTAATGACAACGATAGACAGACAGGTATATAGGCTAATGAAACCACTTGATCAGTTGTAATTGCTGATCGAATAAATTTCAATCTGTGACTACATATTAACAGTACAGTATTTAATAAAAAGTAAAAAAACGAACCTTGTGATAGTTATCTTAATTAACGAACCAATGAACTTCAAAACTACTATTTGAGATACTCATCCTTTTTGCTCAAAAGTACTTTATCTTCAGTTAATTCCTATTACATTAATAAATTATTAAACAACTGGTTATTACCTATTTGCAACCTTAATCGTAGCGCGCTTTAGAGAAGTGCTACACGAGTAGCAATATCCATGTCGAAAATTTTTTTATCATGTAATGCACTCACACCGGATTTGTTAGAAATTATAACAACTGCCTTATAGCTAATAGGCTTCTTCTTATATACGTATCATGGCTAGCAAAGCAAAATAATTAACAACTACACTTGTGATTCATAGTTAAAAGTCTAATCGTAAATCTGATGCTAAGTTCACCCGAGATGATACAACGCCAGGTAAATGCTTTTCGCTAAGTTTTTGGAACGATCAATAGTTATAATATTAATTAAAAGTAGGTGTTATATAAAGAAAATTGACAATACCAATAATTATATTAGTAATTCTTATTTGTATTACGCATTTAGCTCAGTGATACCATTAGTATCATCGGCAGAGAGGATTTTCCTGGTAACTGGCTTGGTTTGATGCCGGTTAGTACTAAAATTTTTTGTCGAACTAATTTTTGAATCGGATGGTTTTAAAGCTACTTTACGATATATAGGAAATATTGGAAAAGATTAAAAGCAATAATCTGAATGTTATCAATGGAATTTTACGGACAGCTCACTCATTATTCAAGCGGTAAATGTCATTTGTTCTTATATATGATTATTTTAATCAGTTATCGTAATAGGTTGTAAAATTTCCAAAATCTAGATATCGACACGAATTTAAGTCTAATGAGCTCTTTGCTGAGATAAAATACGTATTGGATTCCTTCGCTGAGCCATTAACAGTATTATTTCAGGTAGACAAAGAGTTATATTATGATATGAACAATTGCAAACTGTGTCTTCACTGCCTATGCTTATTTATTTCAACTTCCCTTCAATTTAGGCAAGTATGGAGACCGTCAGAGGTAACGTGGATGACCCAACTATTCTGCAGCCCGTGTTCGAATCATTAACACTTATGTGCAAAATATTTTATAGTTTAAATTATCAGGTAAGGGCATGAATGACGATAACGATTATTGATTCTAATTTTGATCTTATAACCTGCGACTTCTCATTCCTAACGAGTCTGATTTATTAACGCTACAGGATATACCGGAGTTTTTCGAAGACAATATGAAAACATGGATGGATAGTTTTCTGTTTTTGCTGACGACCAGTTTTCCAAAATTACAGACAAAAGTTGGTAGATTTTTAATTTCTTTCAACACCAGTCTAGTAGTATTCATTAATTAGATATTTTCCTGTCAAATTTGCCTATTATAGTCCGACGACATTGCCGGACCTATTGAAATCGTTCGATCTCAAATTTGTGATTCAGTTACTTTGTATGCCCAAAAATATGATGAAGAGTTTCAGGTAATGATTAGAATGTTTTTATTGACTTGCTTGTTTCATGCTAAAACACGAAATCTTTCGATAGAGCTATTTACCGGCTTTTGTTACTGCCGTGTGGACACTACTTACCAACACTGGAATGTTGGCGAAGTATGATTTGGTAATGGTTATTTGCAGTGATTGACATGTATTTAGATAGGATTACTAATAAATTAATTACCGAATCGCTATTTTAATATACAGCTTGTCAGTAATGCTATCCAATTCCTAACAAGTGTATGCGAAAGAGAAAACTATAAAGGACTATTTCACGAAGAATCAGTTTTGATTTAATTTCTAGCATGGCAGTACTGCAGTTAATGAACTAGTTAATATAGTTGACTTTTTTACAAGTCAAGTAATGCCCGAATTGGCATCGACAGGTACGGATAGAATGAATTATTTATGGCAGACATCCACTAATGTCAGGCTTTATACTTGCTTATATATTGTAAATTATTAGATGAGTCCAAAAGTGTATTGAAAGCCGATTCCATCAAATTTATTATAACTTTTAGAGGCATGGTATGTAACATAAAGCATAATACTTACAATTCACAATGGATATATGCAACCAGTGTTATTCTTCATTTATATGTTCCCAGTTGCCTCCTAAGTATGTGATCGATTGTATACCGATTCTGGTAACTCACCTACTAAATGAAAGCATTGTCGTTCATTCGTACGCGGCATTTTGCATCGAGAGAATTTTTATGATTAAGAATGCTAGCGGTGGAGACTTGTTAGTTGATACTAATTCCTTTATAATTTGTATGCATTTATCTGACATATTTTGAAATGACTATAACGTTTTTCGTAATTGCTTCAGGATTACAGTAAATGATGTACAATCAATCCTGCAGCAGTTAATTACCAATCTTTTTGGTACTTTAAGTATAAGTGGGTCTGAGGAGAATGATTATGTCATGAAAGGTATCGCAGGAGTGCATATATATATATATATATGTAATTAGTTTAAAATGAACTACAATCTAACAACACCTTAGTAGCGAGTAGTAAAGTATGCTGTTTTTAATTCTTGACTATTAGCGATCATGCGCGCCATTTCATTAGCGAAAGCTTCTATCATTCCACTAGTTCCAAGAATTTTACCATTGCTAACAGAGAAGCTACGAGTTGTTAGTAAGGTAAGCCAATCTACCCTTTGTAGACTAGGTTATAACGTTTTCAGAATGTACTGTAATATATTTTACGTTACTGTTATAGAATCCACGACGACCACAATTTAATCATTATCTTTTTGAGACTATCTGCTGTATTATTAGGTTGGTGTATACGTATTTATTTGAACATGTATAGATAGCATGTCCGTATTATGACCGTAATTCTCGAATGTAGGTATACATGTAAAGAACAGATCGACACTATAGGATCTTTTGAGGGTTCACTCTTACCAGTTTTCCAAGAAATTTTACAGCAAGATGTTTTGGGTAAATGATATATTGATAACTGCAATAGCCTGTTGATTATTAGTGAGATTACGCGTGTAATTAAAGTCATAATTTTATCATTCTTTAGAGTTTTTGCCGTACGTCTTTCAAGTGTTATCTCTGCTTCTGGAGCTTAGGCAACCCCCTACTCCAGATATGTACTTGGGCTTATTTAGCTGTTTATTAAATCCAGTGTTGTGGGAACGTCAAGGAAATATACCTGCTTTAGTGCGACTTTTACAAGCATATGTTATGAAATCTCCGGCAAAAATTGCCACTGCTGAAAATTCTCTAAATGGTGTGCTTGGAGTCTTCCAGAAATTAATTGCCTCGAAATCTAATGACCATCATGGATTTTACTTGTTGCAAAGCATTTTAGAATTTATGCCTAAAGATGTTGTTGATAGATATATGCATCAAGTTTATCTACTGTTATTTCAGCGCTTGCAAAAATCCAAGACTACAAAATTTGTTAAAGGTTTTATAGTATTTTGCTGTTTATGTCTCACAAAAGGCGTTGATAGTCTGATTGAATTGGTCGATTCCATCCAGCCGAAGTTAGTATATTGCTGCAGCGTTGTAAAATTGCTGAACTAAAGCCGTCTTTATTTTTGTCTTAGGCTTTTTGGAATGGTTATAGAGAGATTATTCCTATTAGATCTTCAAAAAGTGGGATAGCCATCTGATAATTATATTAAGATATTTATATAATCAACCTATAAACTACATGAAATAATGACAATAATTCGGTTCTATCTTCAACCAGGTTGATGGTGTAATTGAACGTAAAATATGTGCTGTTGGAATATCTAAATTACTTACGGAATCTTCCAAGACTCTATCGGAAGATCAATACCTTTCGTATTGGTAAGTGTCTCTAATTGGTAAACTTAAAAATTATATGCTTCCTATTAAGTTAACAGAAAGTATTCTCTTATTCCTCAGGCCTAATCTTCTGCAAGCCTTAATCAACTTCTTTGAAATCCCAAGTGATGATACATTGCCAGATGATGAACACTTCATTGACGTAGAAGATACTCCCGGTAATGATAGGGTTGATACGACTGATTGTTATAGTGAAGATCCTATTGATGAATGCATCATTTATTATTTAAACATAAATTTAAATGCAACGATTTGCTATAGGTTATCAGGTTGCATTCTCTCAACTGATCTTCGCTGGTAAGAACGACTACAATCCAGTTTCCGATATCGGTAATCCGAAGCAGTTTTTAGCTATTGCTCTTAGTAGATTATCGAATAATCACCCAGGAAAGGTAAATCAATTGTTCGCTGCTGTAGCTTTGTAAGGATTTAATGTATTTACTGATTCTAAAATAGATAATGTTATTTAATGTCATTTAAATATATTTATGAAAATTTGTTTACTTGTATCAAACAAATCTATAATTTGCTTGAACTTTAGATTATCCAATTAATTAATCAAATGAATGCAGAGGCTCAAAAATTTCTTAATAACTATCTTCAAGCGTCTGGCGTAACAATAAGCTAAGATCGAAACTGTAAATGATACGAAAATTTGGTAATTAGAACGATTAGATGTACAACATCTCTTTGACACTATTAAGCCTTCTAAATTGGTTATCAGTCGGGCGGTATTACCATGGAAGCAATCACGTTTCATTTTGCTTAGTAATTTTTGTAGCTATTATTCAATCTTATACCAGAATCGGGATATTGCTAAAATGATAATAAAGACAGGAAAAATCCGAGATCTTGTTGCATTGCATTCTTTCCTCAATTGGTCAGTCGTTGACCGTTGTTAACACAATATAAAACGTACTGTGTGGGTTTTCACTAGATGTTTTGTTATTTCAATAACATTCAAATATTGATTACTATATATAATTATCTAATTAATAAGTATAATAATAATAACAAGCAGACTTATAATATGATGATATCCGAGTACTAAGATATATAACTTGAAGGGTAATATTTGCAACAACAGCCTAGAAAATCAAACCAAAATTTACTCATAAAAGAAGAATTGATAATCGTAGTCCATAAACTTACGAGCGAATGTTGTTAGAGGATATGCGTACATGGAACAGAGAAATGGGTTAATTTTACAGTAAGATTCGAATGAAACCTGGTAATTCCTCAACTGATTCGCGTTCAACGCTAACGTTGGAATTAGCTTTAGACTTGCATAATCAAAGCAATAGGTATAAAGATGTGCGAATAAATACGTATATTTGCAAGTACCTATGCTATTTATAGTTACCAATAGAGATGATAAATGTTTGTCGTTTGCCACCGTAAACTTCATTAACCAGATCGTAAATTAAAGACAGTAGACAGGTAATAACAAAGTTATAAATAATAGATAATGATGTTAATTATTAATAAAGTAATACAATTTTGGTAATATAAGGCTGAAAGCTTGATTATATTAGATTATACCGGTAGTTCACAGCACGCTTAAATACTTAAATTATAATGATTCATACGAACATAACTCATATATTGCGTTCTGTGTATAATATAATCCCTAGCATTCTTAAAGCAACCAACACGGTAGGCATACTAATTTATATTCTTAAATGACATTGAATGTAGTTGACAATAAATTAATTTATTAATAAATATTTTATATGAAATCGTAAATAAAAAATATACACCAGATAGGATTTACCAGTGTTATAACATTATCATCGAAATGATTTAGCTTTACTGCCGATCATTACACGTACAATGTAAGTCGTACATGCGTTTTACTATATATTAGAATTATTATCGACTATTTTCCTAAAAATTGTTTCCATTGTGAAGAAAAAGGTCTGGAATAGATTTTCAATTCTGCTCGCGATGTCAAGATTGATGATTAAGGTGCACATCAAAGTTTTATAATCTGATCCTTTCAAACTATAAACATTAATACAACTCATTTCTACTCGTATGTTGTGTTTAATCCTTCATAAGATTCTATTCTAATTTAATGCTGACGCTTTAAGAGTTTTCATGTGCTTTCGCTCACTTACATAACGGCATAGTTTGCGATCAAGAAATGATTGATGCTTGTTATCATTGATTTAACAAATCTAAGCTATTTTTTTAATTTTAAACTTATATTAAGATATCTTATCGCTTCAATATTCCTATATATTGACCCTGCAATACTTCGAAAATTAACTTTGTAATGATTTATCGGTTACTTTTTTAAATACGAGAGATAGTGTGGCACTAATTAAACTATATAAAGAATAGACGATATTTCTAAAACCTAAGCCATATCAGTTGTTGTTGACAGAAGCCCTTATGAAAACTCGTTTAGAAGTCTTGATTATCACGCAGACAGTCTAAATTAATCTTAGAGTTTAATTTAATATTAAATTTTATTATGCTTGCTATTAATCTACAGTGACTCAGCACTTTCCGTTACAAAAATCAAATTAAAATATGAACTACATACTCTATTTTATTCATAGCATATTTTTTCATTCATTCATTATTTTTTTTTTAATATAAATTGGGCTATAAAATTGAGTAAGGAATTAAATTTCTTCTCCTTTCTTACAATCAATTTTCAATATTTATTTAGAGAGCTAGAAAATCGAATTAAATTTAACTAAGATTGAATTTCTTTTTTTTCTGTAGCTAATCTTCATATCGATTCTGACGGCTAAACACGTAACAGGTTTGAAAATAGCTAGCAATTTCGATTTAAGTATACGCACCATTACACATCATTGACTATATTGGAATTAAGCCCATATTTCAATATATGGAAATCTATATTAGCTGTGGTCTATTCTAACCATGATTAAAAATTTTATCTTTTCTTTACAGCTCCGTTAATTTATTCTAACTTTTCTGCTGGTGCTTGTACTAATGATTGGGTTCAATTAGAAAATGTCTGTGCTAGACGTTTTTCATTGTTTCTTGATAAATATATTGATGCCCAGCATTATTGTGGAACTAGAGGTGGACAGCTTGTTACTGCACAGACGGTATCCCAATGGAAGCAACTTAAGAGTTATTTAAATTCTTTCATACCATCACTAACAGTGAGTGTTTGGTTAGGATTACGCGATATCAATCAGACCGATGATCCTACTAAATTTATTTGGGATGGAAGTAATGAAACCACAGATAAATTTTCCGTATGGGGATCCGGTCAGCCTAATAGTGGCTTTCAATATTGTGCTAAAGCATATGTCTATCGGTCTTGGGATTGGTTTGATACAGAGTGTAATAATCCGTATTCTTTGAATGTCGTTTGTGAGAGACAATTTTTCAGCTTTGAGGAAACAGCATTACAAGGTATCGGTCTCAGTAGGAGAACTAAATTAGTGAAAAGTTAGAAAAAAAGGTTTTCTCTTTCTCTGCAAATCATAACAGTAGTGAAATCTATAAATCATATTTCTTTTTACGTGTACAGATTTAAAAGTGCCTGCCATAGTTTATCGTATCTAGAGTGGATTGCTAGGATAGTATACCGATATATTAGAAAATAGAAATTCATATATACCCATATAAATTAATAATCTTGATAAACAGAGGATATGTAATTAAACAAAGAAAATAAAATTTTTATTTATAATCTCGTAATCCTGCAATTCGTAAGTATATAAAGTTTATTTTAATGCTAATGTAATTTGTATTTAAGACTTCTTGGCCATGATAACCCATAGAGACATAAAATGAACTTTTATATCAATGTACATTAAAGTAATTTTAAAATTCCAACTTTACGATCTTAAGGTCTTAGTTATTTTAGAACACATGAAATTATTTTTTACGCTATCCTATCATAAACGGTGATAAAGTTCCTAGTTGTCATACAATCATTTTATTTGATATACTAAATACCCAAAAGTAGAGAACAATAGAGTAAGCTCTTACGCTATCATCCACGTATAAGATTTTGCTTTTATAAACAAGTATTACGCCATTTTTTCTTTAATAAAAGAACTAGCGGAAGAAATGTCCGTAGAATCATTCAACGTGAGCTCAGAATTGGAAGTTCAAAGCGCTACGGATAGCTATCGATTGACCGATCCAGCCTTGATCAGCCGATCACAATCAGCAAATAGCGATATATCTGACGTTGATATATCGAGATCGATTATATCAGATATGGCTAGCAATTCAATAAGCATTTCATCTTCTGTTTTCAATGATTTATATGGAACTGAATTTGATACCATTAGTGACGAACTAAGTTCTAGTTCAGATTTAATTAATGATTTGGGTAGAATTTCATTTACTGGTATTGCTAGGTCGAAATTTTCTGCCGAGATATCTACTCAGACAACGATGTCGCCAATTATCGATCCGTCACTCAGTGTTGAAGATTATAATAGCTTTGATATTACGATTATGCCAGGTAGTGAAAATCAGTCAGGGTACTCTTTAAGCAGTAGTATATTGGCAGTAGCCAGTCCAAGCGATCTTTATCAATTACCAATAATCATATTTGATACAACTCAAACAACGTATATCCTACATGGACCAATGACCTTTAGTGCTGATGATTCCAGATATTCAGAAAGCAGAGTAGAGAATACTTTAATAGAATCGTATCAAGCTTCGTTAACAAATGGTAGCACAAGTTATGCTAACCTAATTCATTCTACCAGTAGGTTAGATACGATTAATTTAGAAGAATCTTTATCTAAAAGTTCTAGCCTTGTTCCAGGATATACTATTAGCGATAATTCCATTCTGGAATATGCAACCAAAGAATCGAGCGTGACAGCTTCTACAATAATGGCTAGTAGTAGTACTAATAGTAGCGAAAGTAGTAGTAGCAGTTTACCAGAGATTTCTACTGTTAGTTTTGGAGACTATGAAAGCCACCTTTCCATCAAAAGTTGCCTTAACGCGTACTATGAGTATACATCGTTATCTTTATCCACATTCTTATCCATCAGCAATACAACAAATATGGCATTTGAAGGTGATTATGTTATACGCATCTATATTATAATCATTCGTGATCTAGCCTACTTCATAATATAAGTACTCATTTTTCTTGCATATCTGTATCTAAGAATTTTTTAAAATATTTTCAGAAAATCCGACCACGCTACCGTACAGTTCAAGTTCGATAACTGAAAGCAAATGCTGTAGGTGTTTTCGTAATCGTTTGTCACAAACCCTTCTAAGCATTATTTCCATCATTACTTCAACTATAATCTTGAAGCTCTCATATTATGTAATATCAAGAGTACTGTATAAAAGTATTCCTACAATTGAAGTAACGGCAAAATCTCCAGAAGTAGATTGCAATATAGATTAATTAGCATTAATTCGTAGCGAGTCTTTTTCGTTCTACAAATTAATTAAAATACTTGGCAATGCCAAAAACGTAAAGCAAACGATAAACGTTGTATGAAATGTTCTGTTACATAATTATTATATGATTGAGGCATCTAACGAATAAGCTATTACGTTTTCTTATGTTTCAGTTTTGAACTCGTATCCTACTTCAATTAGCATAGATCTGTAATCGCAAGCAATCTTTAATTTTATAGTTGAAATTTTACTTATTAATAATGCGATCCGAGTTTGCTGTAATTTTTCTAAGTTAAATTAATTTTTGAATTCATGACGCTTAAAACTGAATATATATCTGGACTTGAACTAGAGATATATTCGATAAATATATTTAGCGAAGTTTTAATGCATTGTTCCAAATATAGCCATAAATCATATTTTATTTGCTGCTATTCTAATATACGTATTGTAACATAATTACTTTAACTTTATTATGTATTAAAAAAGTCCTTTTAGTTACTTGCTTAAATACTGCTAGTTGGTTCGTGTATACTGCACTTCGGGTTACTTATGTATGTACAAAACGTAAATGATAGCATGTTGAGTAAGCATATCTAGCTAGAGCGGAATCATATTCGTTGAAAATCGTGAGATATGTACTTCCAGTTAGAAAGCCTCACATCAAAATACTTAGTAACGAAATTATTCATGCTCTTTTACCTCAGTTGAATAGAATACAGTATAAAATAACGTTGTCATAAATTTCGGACGAATTAATATATTATCTTCGATTACTAAATATTGATGGTCAATAGAACGTGATATAAAATTTAGAATGAAATAATTGATTTTTTTATAATCTCTCTCAGCTTATATTGACTTTTTTTTAGGTAATTCAATTAATGGATCTACTGTTGTGACAATAGATGTTATGGAGGTAAAATTACTGTACAAATGTGAATATCGTTGCGAAATAAATTAGTGATTGGCACGATTAATAGCATGATATAAGATAATTACCACATAAAATTTTGCACTTACCCCAATTTAAGAGTAACCTTAAATAAATCGAAATGAATTGCAGATATGCAAAGCTAGAGATGAAGGCATTAGTCAAGTAATAGAAGAGAGTTCCTCTAATAAGAAACAAAAATTGGTGAGTCAGTTTAAAGATATTTTTATTTGATAGCTTGGTAAATAATCGTGAACTTATTGCTAACTTTAGGAGGAAAGTAATCAATATTTGGCTATATTTCGAGATAAACTTCTAAATTATAAAATTATATTAAATTTTCGGCATTTGTAAAATAATTTTTAAAATAGAAAATGAACAGAATCATTTCCAAAATTGAAAAATCAGATTTGGAAATAGCTGAGATATTATTGGCAAACAATCGTTCCAGTATCGCATCCCTTTCTACAAATATCTCCAGTAAGTTCACAATCATTTTCAAATTAAGCTATTAGCTGTTAACGTAATCCATTTCTGTAGTCAATATCCAATATTTAGTAGGTAAAGAGAGTTACGCATATGATTTAAGTCTATTATGAGTATTGTAATACGAAGAAAATATAATTAACAAGCTGGTGATTGCTAATTAAACCACTATCCATGCGTATCTTAACTTTTATCATTTATTGTGGGGTACGATATTGATTAAAATTTTTCTTACAATGTTTGAATTGCTTAATAGCTCAACACTTATTGGTACTCATAGTCTGAAAGTTAGATAGATACAACATTTTATTAATTAAATTAATTAAGGAGAAAGAATTGATCAATAACTATCATATTTCACAACATGTAATAAATAATCTCAGATCATGTATTCTCAATTATATTTTTCAAACATTTGCTTAACCTAATTAGCCAATTGGGACTTTATTACAATGTTAGCTTTTCGAGATTTTGATATATCAAGTATTCAAGATTACACCCAGTAATGCTATCATTTTTGTTACTTTTTTCTTAATTTTTATCATTTACAGTGGTTTGGATACGATGTATTCATTCTAGTAATATGCCAGGATTGCATTTCAATCTTTCTTTATCCAAATTGCAAGAGTCTGAAGTCTCATTCATCATACCCAAAGAAATTGTAAAAGCAGATTATAATGGTTTGTAATGTGCTAAAATATATTGTTTTAAGTATGGAAACATAGCTGAGACAATTCATTCGAGCCTAACTAATAAGTATATACTGCATAATAGCTCTGATTGCTAAACTACCATATAACCGTACTACTGGTAATGTACACTTGTTCATTCCGGTATGCAGAGTTAATTAGCTTAATATTAGCGTCATGTATTGGTCAAAAATTGAAAATTAGGATAAAATCTGAAAGATTTGCAACAGTACCATTTTGCTATATTAAAAAACTCGATAACAATAATTGCTGATACCACTGTAATCATTTTTTTTAGGATATATTGCTACAATTGTTCGATTGACCAAGCTTAGTGACAGTGACTTGGAAACAAGGCAAGTTAATTTGTTGACTATCATAGAAAGTTGGAGAGAATAAATTTTTGAATATTTCCAGTCTACTAGAAGTCACTGTCATGAATAATTCATCTGATGTTTTAAAAATTAGAGGACCATTGTCAATAAATGATAGCACGGTGTCCAAATATACATACTACATCAAAGATGGTCTCTTATTATCGTCAAATATCATTGGAGAAATTAACTTTTTGAAGCCTATAGAAATTATTTTTGATTTTACTGGCCAGGTAACAGCGTGGTGCGAATCCTATAACAGTAATAATTTCTTGCATCTATATTTGTTATACATTCTCAAGATCGACAGCTTTTAATTATGCATTAATTGATAGCCTTATTACTTTAAGCAGCTATAAATTTAAAGTAAGGTCATAGTCTCCATACTATTTTATAGTTTCCAACTAAGATTTGTTTGCCTTAACTAATATAATCTGTTATATGAAGGAAATATCTAATGGTTGAATAAGATTACTAAAAGATATCAATTGAAAAATTTGTGTAATTTATCTTTTCTATATTTCAGTTGAATGATAATCACGACGCAGATTTAATTTGTGCATATTGGATGTTGAAGTAAGTATTATAGAAATTATACAGTCTATAAGCTGATTAAAAAATCTAAATTTCTAACATACGTCAACTTAGAAAGTCTTGCTTTACAATGATTGATTTGAGAAGAATTATGCTGAATCTTTAGATACTTATTTACGGTGATCTTATTATCTCACAGTAATGATACTTCGGGAGAGGAAGCAAGGTGGTCTACTGAAGGAGTAGTAACAAATCGCTCAAATAGAACCCACATCGTATGTGAAACATACCATTTAACCAGTTTTGGAGTTCTCTTTCGAGTTACAAATATAACAAATGTAAGTTTACTAGAGATTATATGTTTTAGCTAAATCTTTTGTTGTCTAGATGAAATTTAAGAATTTTATATATGACTTATGAAATTTGTGTAACTTACTACTAAGATTAAATTTCGAGCAAGACTATTGTACTAGAGCTTGAGCATAATGTTGCGGCAGTTTTGAAATTAAAAATAATTCGCAATTTTAGAAAGTAATATTGGACGAAAAGCTAAGTTAAATTAAACCACCAACAATTGAAGTCCAAAACAAAGTAAATTAGGGGAAAACACCAGTTTATCGGAAATTTAGCAACAATCTTTGCAAAAATTTTTAAATGAGTAACAAAATAACGGCAGAACTCTTGCCTCAAGCAACCAAATTATCGATTAATGAGATAATTCACGATTATCGAAGACTTATCTTATTCTTCTCTATCTTCGACTGTACTAAACTATCGAATTACGCTACGTTTATATGCTATGCAGAGCAGTTGGAGGTATTAAACTATCCAACTATTATCCTAAAGTACTCTAAATTAAACTAGCAACCAAACACACATTAAAGATAAATGATACCCTAGATTCTAGAAATTACTAAATTGACATAATCGTAGTTTAGCTTGAAATTGTAGATTTCTACAGCATACACTAAGGCGGAAGAACAATCTTAAATTGGAACCTACATCGAACATTCAAGTTCATTCAGTATGAAATTATAAAGTGATATTAACCTTCTACTGTAATTAAGGATCAAAACTAGCTACATATATATTCTATTACAACGTTCGAATTACAATCTCACAATATTTCATTTGTAGCAAAAATTATGCTACTAATTATTTTAAATTCTAACCCGAATAAAACTGTCGGGTTTACAATATACTAAGAAACTAAGTAAAATCTACTGTTATAATCAATCAAATAAGTGATATTTTTTAAGCTAGAATACTTATCGCGATACAAAACTAAGCTAAGAATAATTACATTACAAAATTTTCGAGGAGAATTCTAAAATTTAACCTTTATTATAGCAAGTTAATATTAGCTGTCTAAATTTAGTACTATTCCTTGCTAATTCTTTTACATCTACTCTAATAGTATAATTTTCACAGATTAATGACTTTAAAATTTTATTCTGCCTTAATAACATATTTAAATATTTTTCTTACCTAATTTAGAGTAGTACAAGTGTGAATGACCATATTTTATCCACAATCACCTCACTTGGCTTGTCTATTTCTCTTGCTGCTCTGTGCGCAACATTATTAATGTTCGTTTGTGTAAGGTAATGCAAACTTTATAATTAGACAAATTAATCAGGTATGTTGGTATCAATTCATGGCCATAAGAAAGTTTTATTCTGAATTATGAGTTGATTGATTGATTATTTGATTGAAACTGTTAGTAAGCCTATTGACTATTTATATCTAGGGCTTTGCGATCTGTTAAAAACTGGATTCACGCTAATTTATGCGTGGCTATGATTTGTAATAATGCCGTATTTCTGGTTGGGATTGAAAGGACTGATAGTCAGGCAAGTATTAATTATACCCCCTCTAATTTTAATACATTTAAAAGTTTTCCTTCACTTTAACTACCGCCCTATACCTTTATTTTCGCTAATAATGAAAATATTAATTACTCTGTTTCCAGATTATTTGCAGTTTAGTTCGGCTTGTTTTGCATTATTCATGTTTGGCAACTTTTACATGGATGTGGGTCGAATCCATTTATATTTATCGTAAAGTTGTCAAAGTATTCTATAAGAAGAGACAACGTGGTCTTTATCTTCTACTCGGATGGGGTAAGTCAGATTCTTAGATATTTTTGTCTGAATGAGCAATTACTTATAAAGTACACCATACAAATCTAAAAATATAAGATTATAAAATTAACGATCAATTCAATAAATTTCTTATTACGAACATTAAAAATTTAAATTTAATCCATATCATGTAATCCAGGTGCACCGGTTATAATTGTTATGGTAACAGTATTGGTCAAATTTGATATTTATTTTGAACCATACCATATGTAAGTTGCATCGGCAAATTTCTAAGATTAATACGTATTGTTATTACTAATTATAAAAGTGATGATCTACTTGCTATATCATTGCTGTAATAGCAGCCTACAATGGAATAAGTTTTAGTAATGATGTATTCTGATATTTTATGTCTTGTAGCTGCTGGATTACAATGAAACAAGGATTAGTATGGTCGTTTGTTGGTCCTGCAATTGCTATTATATGTGTAAGAAAATAAAGCACAAAAGTCAATTGCTGCTAATACTTTCAAATACTTTCATTTTTGCGAACCTATTGACATGTTAACAACTAATTTATATAATTTATAGCAGTAATACTAAAAATTGTATTTAGATCAAGAAGATTAATTTACTACTGTAACTTATTCATTTACATCTACTTTTAGTTTAATTTCATAACTCATATTCTGGTTATCAAATCTTTAATATCAATAAAAGCCATGGCTTGTAAATCTGAGTTTGCAAAAATTAAGTAAGTTACGATATTAGCTGATAAGATTTTCTCTGTAACAACTTCAGATATTATAGCTTTTATGAAATATATTAGTTTATATCCTGGTCATTCTTAAAAATTTTGTATTAGCTAAAGATAGTATTGCAGTAATCGATTTCTTAATCTGTAAATCTTACGAATTTGTTATAAAGGGCTACAGTAAAAGCTTCAATTATTTTAATGCCACTATTTGGATCCACGTGGCTGTTTGGATTAATTTATATTGAAGATACAACCATTTTCTCCTATATATTTGTCACATTTAATTCGCTGCAGGTTTGCACATTTATTAAATCATATCATTGTATAAAGCAGAATCCATTACATATCGTAGAATCTATTTAAATATTTCTTAGCATATCTACTGTCACAAACCAGCCTTGCGACAAGGTTTACATAAAAATATATCTCTAAATTTCTAAATTGTTCCGGATTCAATATCCTTTAACTATTCATAAGAACTTCAAGGCATTTGCTTCTAAGTTACATAGCTAGAGAACTGATTTTACTCAGTAGTCTGCTCAGCTTGAATATCTTTCGGTAGAGGCTAACACTGATGCATCATCTCAAACTATAATTATCAATATGGACATTTACTGACTGATTTTACATAATCGGATTACATTATGTCCATTTACAAAGTCATGTTAATACATTTGTATCCAGTAATAGTCATAATTATTACTGTTACAAGAGCTTGTATCATAATCAATTACAATATGAGAATTGGATTACAGTACAACATATTATTTACTGTAACGCATTATAACATCAATGATTCATTGTGCAAGCAACTAAGTGTAGGTATCATATATAAATGTTATTTCGCTAAATTTAGTCATTTAATTCTTCACAGTAGTTTGTATCATGACACTACTCTGAGTGATATACATTTATGAGAGTATAGTATTCTTTAATTAATTTGCACATTACTGAATAATTGTAAAGGTATATATATATATACCCCTTTTTCTCTGGATTAATGCAACTATTGCGGTATCTTACAGGGATTGCTAATCTTCCTATTTCATTGTATCGGCGATAAGGAGGTATAATGCTCTACTAACGCAAGAAATAAAATACTTAATAAGAAATGTATAGGATAGCAATATGATAATCTTAATTCGTTAAGATTTGGATACAGTTATCGATGTAAAATTAATCAAGCATTATTTTATTTCAGAAATAATGATCATTTGCTTACTTAACAATTTGAGACAATTTTTACACTACCGATTCTATGTATAGGTTAGGCAAGAATTTATAAATGCTATTGGTGGAAAGCAGCAACAACTACAACCTCAAGCGCGGATACCTAGATTAATATCTCAACCACTTATCCAAGGTCTTCTGGTAAGCTACATTTAGCCACATAATTTACGTCATTGTTTATACTCAACTAACATCCTTGCAATAGTATTTTAGCGATCAGAGATAATATTTACACCGGCTATATTAAAATAAATTTTTTGTATGTGTTTTCCAGGTTAAAAAACACTATTTTAAGTACACTGAGTCGTACTGTAAACATAAATTAATTTTAATTCTAACTGTGCTTAAGGTTTATAGTTTTTCAAAATTTATACAAAATTTACTAAACACGGCTATGAAGCTCTACAGGAGAGTCGTGTTTAGTAAACTTTCCTATATACATATGTATGTTACTATATCTACTGAAATAGAAAGGCAATTGTCTTCAAAACTCATTTTTATATTTTATTGAAAACACCAATAGACCATTCGTAACGTTCGAGTAAAGCCATTATCTACTATACCAATGTCTTCTATTCCTAATACTAATGAAGATCACTCAGAATGCTCAGGTATATTTGCAGTTAAAATGAATTACTTATAGGCTCTTTACGTGAATATTGTGCTTATATGAAAGCTAATATATTAAAATTTGGCCTTATTTCATTGTTTATGATTAATTTTTCTTATTGCCATGTATCAATATTATTTGCATTCACTGATAATAATAATCTAATATTTTTTTAAGCATTACTAAATGCCATTAGCTTAAGCTGACGTGTAATTTACATTATCATTTATCTTAGTGGCTTTATCCTCGAGGACTTGGAGTAAGGAGAATCTCTAAAAGTTGCTAAATATCAACAATTGTATTATTTTGTTGCAAATAATACCATTTACTATAGTGGTTGGAGAAGTGGCCAATTTCATACTTTCAGCCCAGTTTCTGGTACATAAAGAATGATATCTCATATAGCGGTTATTATCACCGAAGATAGACAAGAACGCTGGGTCTCACTAGGAGTTATCATTTATGATTTTAACATTGATCTTGTATTCTATGCCTACTATGCTATATGTTTTCACTTATATTACAGTGCAAGCCCTAAGATTGTAAGCATAGAATAAGTACAGTCATGTAAAGCTTTCTGACTACACTAGTTTATTCTGCGTTTTAATGGCCAAAGGGTAAGTGGTGAATAGCGTAAGCAAATAGATGACTACTTACCAGAAATGCGATTAATTGATGAACCGTATCCTTGCTAGTATATTCTTATCGTTTTGTGCTAAGTAGCACATCGGGTCTTATTGCTTTTCACGATATTTATATCAGATCTTGTAACATTTTGTAGATTTAAGTAAGTAAATCTGTATTCATTCAAGGCTGATATTATGCTAATTCGAAAAGTATAGATTTATTAAAAATTGCTTGATGGAGAGTACTGAACTCACCAAAATGGCAGTGTTTCACTAGATCAAATCCTATCTGATTGATGTTAATTTACAAAACATTTTAGTTATAGCGACACTATATCAAATTTAAATGATAGGCATAGTGTACTGAATCGCTATCATTAGATCAAAATAAATCTCATAAAGCTTGTTATTAAGTCAAATAAATTGTTAAGTATAGTTTGCATTATAATGCTAAAACTAAATAACAAAAGTCAATTCAGAAATGTTTTACGTTATATTACATTGAAAACAAGTATTAATTATGTCAACTTTAACGCTCTTTAAGCCTTCAGATTGGTATTTATGTCGTTTACTAAAGGATTAAGCCCGTAAAGTTGCTAATTTTATATATTATTTAACTGTAATTATAGTTATTCAAATTTAATAAATAATTTCTTTTGTTCGCCTTATATTGCTAAAAAATAGGCCATATTATATTACTAGTACTAAAATTATGGTATCCGATAATATTAGTAGATAGTATTAATATTATATTGATCTCTTATTAATTAATTGCCTCCCAGTTTTAAATACTGTTAAAGACTATAAAGCGACTCATAATTATCTTTGCTATATTTAGATTGAAGCAATAGCTACCCAGGAAATTTCATAATTTTGACCCTTTATTCGATTCTAAATCAAACATTTGATCGATATTTTACTGGTAGAACGACATAATTCCACGTAAGCCACAACAAACATTTATTCATGTGGAATTATGTCGTTCTACTAGTGAAATGTCGATTAAATTTTTGATTTAACATTGAAGCGAGGGCAAAGTTACGAAATTTCCTGGGTAGCGATTAAAAAGAGTTTTTTACTAAAAATTATTGTTGAATAATACAGTAGTAATCCTAGAGCACATAAGCTATACACAACTCGCTCTCAGGCTACCATCTTAACTTCTTCCTAAAAGCACACAACTATCTTAACATTTAATGTATCCTTGACACCATTAGTCCATTCAGGTCTAGTACTGCCATCTTACTTATGACACTATGTCCAAATACGGAGCAGTTACGAGTTAACATGTACTCAACCATAAGTTAGTCATAATTACAGTGATTCCAACGGGCAGTAAATTATTATTTCTTTGCGTACGGTAAATAACCACTAATTTTGGTAATACTATCTAATAGTAAGATAGTACTGTATTAAGGCCCAATATAATGAACAAAAAATTAGTATTTGACTAAACAAGGCTAAACCATAGGCCACTAAATGAAAACTGATGTTCTTATAGTAGCCCATGGCTAAACCAGCGTATTTGCGCTAATACAGACATTAGTCAAATTACTATTCTATTTTCTATAATTACAATATTATTACACTTTATTATTATTTTTTCGAAAACCTACAGTGTAAATTTAATGTGCTGTATAACAAGACAAACTCTTCAATTGAATTCGAAAATTGAAGATAATTGGAGCTGTATTTCTCAATGGTACAATTTATGTTGCGTTAAAAATGGTTATATATCATTAATACCGACTACCATCTAAGATATAATATAATGGTTCATCGAGATTAGCCAGTGTACTTACTAACCGTTAGATATTCAAGTATCGAACAAGTATCGAAGTAGCAACTCTTTAACTAGCCGGCTATTATAGAACAATTTCTTTAATAGCCCAACAAATTTATTGCATGTCGTTTCGTGACGCTATCACAGTACTTGTGGCGAATAAACTACAAATTTCGGTATATTTTATTGGTATATTTTCATGCGTGGAATATAATTCGTAGAATTGATCACATATGCAATCTGCTGCGTAAAAATCGAACATATACAGATTTATATTCATGTAACCGCTAGATTGACGATCTTCCGGAAGAAAATATAGCTTCTCATTCATTGTGCTAGACAGGCATGAATTCTTATCATGATATTTTGTTTTAGCAACATTACTTCGTCAGTAAAGGTGTTACTTATAAATTACAGTTATCACAAAATGGAGAGTACGAATTTAGAAGTAATATCTAAGCGTATAGTTATAGTATAATCCGTACGTAATTGAACTTGATTGATTATATTTTATACCCCTGTAGTATATGAGTATTTACTAAATACCGAATTCATTCATAATCTAACATCTTTAAATTCTCTACCTATTCTCTTAAACAATGAATATAGAAGCAAGGGAGAGGGAAAACATTAGATAAAATAAAAAAATATTCACTTGGTGAACAATTTATTCATTGACATGACCGTGCTGTAATAAACAGGATGCAATTTTTCCTTTCTTTTATAGCTAGCATGGATTCGATAAAAGCTCTGAAAAATATTCTCAACAGTCTTCACTGCATTCATCCTGGGAAGGCTTACAGCAAATGAAACTAATTATTCAATGTTTTACAGGAAGATTACAATGGAATGTAATTTATATCATGAAATTTAAGCTACTCATACCTTACCGATGAAGAAAAAATTTTTGTCGTATTCATACGGCAGGTGTTGTATTATGTTCCTTAATTTTAAATATTTTGAGTAAGATTGTAATATACTCGTAAATTCCAATGTAACTTGCTTTACAGAATTTTTTTACAATATTATTAGTCTTAAGTTCATTTGCCAATCACAGTACAGTATATTTTCAATTCCGAACTCATCAAGAGTTATTAATGCCGAAATAGCATCTAAATCACAAATACTTTACAAAATGAAGGCTAGACAAAGCATGAAAACATTCAGAAAGTAAATAAGTTACTCATCTAACTAAATGTATACGTATAGTCATAAGCGTAATCAATATTTTTCCCCGTCTATCAAATAACATCTAACACATACAATAGTAGTATGCGTAAATAAAATTGCTATCGATATTCCTTATATAAATTTCAAAGGTAGTATGGAAGAACTACAAAAATTATAATATTAATATTATCCTTATTTTGCCGTACAAAGGTCAGATGTATTTCCTTATCTTTGAAATAAAATAAGCAATAAGAATGACGTTCAAAAAATAATTTTCCAGAATGCACAGGGTTTGAGAAGAAAACTCATGCTTCACTAAGCACTTTGATCATAATAGGCGTAAATTTATGCTTGGATTTATGTAGGCAGGTTACTCTATTGTGATAGCTGTGACATTGTAAGGCCTAGAAATGGAAGAAGATTCCAATATTCCAACTTACTAACAATATAAGGGGTGTGTGATATATACCAATCACGAAATTCCAAATTTTAGAAAAATAAGGGCTTTATTCAATCTTATACAAAGATTAACTACACAGCTCTACTCTAGCCGAATACTACTTCTAAAGACTTCTACAATAAACTAACAGAATAATCTAAAGTTGCATGCTTTTATACTTTCCGTAGCATTCGCAGCTACAATCCGCATGGCAACCTTTTACCTTATTTTACACATAGTTAAATTATTCTTAGTAAGACTATTCTACTACGGACCATCATTAATCCAATATGGATACGACTACAGTACTTACGTAGACATTATTCACACCAGCCAAAGTACAATGAATTAACCATATCCTAATATATGATTTACAGTTCTCTTACGCTATCTAAGTGTTCCTACAGCAATACTCAGTAATAATTGTTAGAATAAACTATTTTCAACCGTTACGTTGCAACGCATAGCTTACGCTGTCAAAGTTCTACAACTGTAATATTCAAAATACTTTTTAGTAATAAGCTAATTATAATAGCTACGTTGGCATAGTTTACGTTGTCTAATTTTTACTAATGTAATGCTAAACAATAATTAAAAAAATAAACTATTTTTAACGGCTACGTTGTTATAGTTTACGTTATGTAGGTTCTACTACTGTAATATCGAACAACAATTTTTAGTAATAAAGTACTTTTTAACCAATAAGTAGGAAGACTAATTACATATTATTGGGTGACTAATTTAAAGTGGGACTAGAAATAGGATTCTATTACAATCATGTAATAAATTAAGTTCTTGAAAATCTGTGTTTGATATAAATTATAAGGTATGTAAGTCTTATTAATTGGAAGAGGAATAGTATTGCAGTTAGAGTAGATATTGAGTTCTGATATGTAGTTCAGCGACATCAAAATAGGTCGTAAATTACGTTACTTTGTTGCAAAGCTATTTCATAGCACTTGCAAAGATATCTTGCTGATATTAATGAAACTATGATATATACGTTTAGAATAGTGTATTAAATATAAAGAATTACTTAAGATCTGTACTTAGAAAATCGATGGAATTACTAGCGGAGACGATTGTACTTATTCTAAGTAGCAATAGCGACAATTGAGCGAAATCAGCAGATAAATGATCAGATGTGTATGCTGTTCATTGATAGCACAGGATAAAGTGCTGTTACTTAGTTTTTGCCAGTAAATAATATTATTTCCAATAACGATGTATATTATTGAGGGGTTCAATGGCTCTACTGATGGAGAACTAGTAATTATATTAAGCTATAGACTAGACAGAGCACCAATCCAAGCTATAAAATACTATCACTGTTTACACGAGCAATTTAATCTAGATTTTAAATGTTCATTGATGCTTTATTATAT